TCAGATAGCTCTAGTACCGAAGCAGAACCTGATTTGGAGATGCAGTGGTCTCCTTGAGGATGACCACGATACTGGCAGCATACCGGTCTTGTGGGGGCAAAGGTACCAGTGAGCTTGATGATAGACCATTCTCCATCCCGCAGCCTGCTGCTCCAGCATCCGCCATGGCTCAATATCCTGCAGCCTAGGTTATACATATGTTCTATTGTAGTCTCCCGTCATTCAATGTGCACTTTTATGTATCGAACACGAACGAACGTGAGCTCTGAGGCTCTGTGGGCGCCATTCTGTTGCGGGGAGATCTCGGATCGGGGCGGATTTCGCATTGCACAAAATCATGATTTCGGTCGTACGAATCTCAGACGAAAACCAAGCCTCAAAGATCACGATAGTCCGGATCCCAAAATTTGCCAGATCTTGAGCTCCACAGTCTCATCCGTGCAGCTGTGTACTCTCACAGAGACTCGTAAGAATTGCCCACACAGCTTTACCAACCGTCAAAAACGACCCGTCAATCGACTTGTAGCGAAAATCAGATGTGTCGTCCTTCCCTTCTATTCGCCTTACAGCGGTGTTACTTGTTCGATGGCCACCGTCGTCGCCGCAAGGACACCAGTTATGAATATTGCATGAAAACATATGGTGCCATGAGAACAACTACCGAGAGAACGCTAATCGCGTAGCGGAGCGAAGGCCTCTCGTATTACCATGTCCTTCGCGCGACGTCATTCAATAGATTCGTAGAGTTGAAGCCTATCAGCAGAGAGCGAGCAGCAGGATGTATCGCGCGCGCGCTCTTTGAACGTGTGTCTGCCGCCTGAGTCAATTCTGCTGACTGCTCCCTGACGCGCTATTGGCGCAAGGCGCCTGCAGCTCACTCTCGTCCACCTCGTACGTCCGTACCACTCCGTCCAGTTTATCTCTATATCCCTTGTGATTGGTGGAAAAATGTCTGGAGCAGCATCAGCAGCAGCGGGCTCAAAGTTTCAGCAGTTCATGAACCACCCGGCAGGCAAGTGTCTGCGTACTTTTACCCTCCCCCCGTGGCGTGCCAGTGCAGGTTCATTCGGCGCACCACCATCAATCTCCATCTTACCGAGTCGATAAGTTTGAATGATTTTGACTGACAACACCCACGCTTTGTGTAGGGCCTAAAACAGTGTTCTTCTGGGCGCCGGCTATGAAGTGGTGCCTCGTCGCTGCGGGATTGAAGGACCTTACCCGGCCAGCGGACAAGCTTAGCGTGTCGCAAAACCTTGGTTCGTGTCGCTGTTCCTCGCATCTGTAATCTCCATCTGATTGCTCCGCGTCCTATGCTAATCCCGACAATGTATGTCACGCACTTTCCTCCAAACTCCATTACTCGCCCGACCTTCAGCCCTCACTGCCACCGGCTTCATCTGGGTGCGCTACTCAGTCGTTATCATACCGGTAAATTACAGCTTGGCTGCGGTACGTGTCAGGCATCTGCGCCATGTTCGTGCACTTAATCTCGTGACGTTTAGGTCAACTTCTTCGTCGGGGCGACTGGTCTGGGTCAATTGGCTCGCGTCTGGCAGTGCGTATTGTATCGTACATATTGGGTTAGAACTATACTGACCGTATCCTCAGCTTCCAACGCACAGGCAAGGACCCCGTGATGGATAAGTTTGGCCCGAAAAACACCGAGGGTGGACACGCAACAGCTTAAGTCCTTACTCATGCACAGTCTCTTGCTGTACCTCTCCTGCTGGATATTCTAGATTCGGACCTATAAACAATACTGGCACTGGGTCTACACCCCCAGTCCTTACTTGCACTCAGCTGCCGATTCCACAACAACCCCAAGGCATTTTGGCGGTGTTATGGGGCTGAGCTTGAAACTTGACATGTGGTATATTAACGTCCCTCGATGCGACTACTCATGCAGATATTCGTATCGTACAATCCACGCGAGAGCGAGTAACAACTCTCGTCGACTGACCAGTGGATAATTGGTGGATGACCGCCATGAAGTGTCGTGAAAGGCTGAAAAAACATTGTGCTATTTGACGAAAAACTATCCCACACGGGGAAGTGAACTTTGTGTTCACTAGTACTTTATGTTCTCAAGTCGTCAAATCAAATAGCACTCTCTCACAATTTTATATTCAAGTACACTAGCGTCTCAAACATCGCCTCAAAAAATCTCATAATATATTTGTGGAGAAGTGTGGTGCAGGAACGATGCCGGCGAGGTGACTTGAGACTAGTCAACTTCACACAGCTCTCGCGTGGCTTTTAAGCTCCGCAATAGCGCGCACGGGTGCCGGCTCGTTCACAATCTCATCGCGCACAACAAAGGAGGTCGACGTGAGTAGGTTTTTCACTAGAATGTAGGAAATTGTAGGAAATTGTAGCATATGTTACATGTAATTTATTTATCGAACGTGCCAAGGATTGCTTTAAAGACTTACCACATTGGGATATCAAGTCGGAGTCTGAACTTTCACCAATCCTTCGTCACACTCAACATTTGCACATTCTCTTCCTTTCGCTCTGCCTTCCGGTCCCTCGTACGTTGTAACGACTTGAGACGACTTATAATAATCGTTGGATTATATGATTATAAATTTATCGAAATTCCGTAAGTGCTTCAATCGCCACAAGGTTTCAAGCACAGCAGCGGCTCACTCCTTGATTCTCCTCTTGCATGCAGACATTGAGAAATATGTCCAAGATTTACACACATGTCAATAGAGTAGTTTCAGAACGATTTTTTTTTCAAGTGCATACGTGCTGTGTGTGAGGCAGGAGAAAATTCACATGACGAAAAGTTCACTACTAGGGGGTGTTCATTTCTCCGCGCAGGATAGTATCCAAGTGTGTAGGTCATGAGACAGTTTTTGAGGGAAGAGAGAAGGAGTACGAAAAAGACGCAGCATGGGTCGAGATTACAACAGGAAAAGAGCAGTCCATGACGAGAGACGAGGTGTGCCAGAGCGAGAGCTTCAGATTAGGATTGGAGATGGTACGGGTGATCGTGTACGGCGGGCCAAAATCCAGGAAGTGACGATCGCACAGCCCACTACCTTAGGACTAAGGTCTTCTTGCCGAGCTTTGTAGCTCCTCCCCTGTACCCAGCTCTCTCATTCGTCCCCGCACAATCTCGAATCTAACTCTCGTGGCGACACCACGCAAGACCGAGAAAGGTCAAAATAAGTCGAGCAGTTTTGGATGGCAAGTGGGTGAGATACGCAAGAGTATGCTGGTGTCACAGATCTGGACTGTGTCGTGATCGAATCGTTACAAGAGCCAGAGAAGCTACGACTCAACGAAGGCGTGATGGGGCAAGGTGTTGGCGATGGCCATGCGATGGCCAACAGCGAAGCGCCTATTCGGCAACTGCCGAGAGGCTAGGCAGTTTTGACGACAGGGTTTTCAGCCACTGGCGACGCTCCTACCATTTACAGAGACTACCCCGCAGGCCCGAATCCTCAAGACCTCAAGATGGGTTCGTAGCGAAATCATGCTGGTTCACGGATCTGACACTAAAGAAACCATGCAGTACGTTACGCCGCCGCCGCCGTTGCCACAAACCCCGAAAAAAGTGCAAATTTCCGTGTCGTTTTAGAGGAGTGCGATGGTCTGACTGGTTTGTGAATCTGTAGCTTCGCGCGCCCGCGGGGAGTACCTGCGCACTCACTTCAAGAACATGCGCGAGGTGGCAGCCGCCTTGACCGGTGAGTTTGGAGCAGGTTTGTGGACTTAGCAGAAGTTGAATACTAAAGTGAAGATGTGCCGGATTGATAATAGGTCTCAAGCTGACCAAAGCCTATGCTTACCTTGGAGACGTTGCCGAGCATAAGCAAATTATTCCCTTCCGTCGGTTCGCCGGTGGTGTCGGCCGCGCTAGCCAGGCCAAGCAGTTCAAGGCGACACAAGGTGTGTAGTATCCCCATCACTTAGAAGTCTCGAGGACTTGATTCTTAGCCCATATCCCATAGGTCGCTGGCCCGAGAAGTCGGTCAAGTTCATTAGCCGCCTCCTAAAGAACGCTGAGTCGAACGCGGATGCGAAGAACTTGGAGCTGGAGGATCTGTATATCAAGAGCATTGTTGTTCAGCAGGCCCCAGTAAGTCTTACTCTACCCGTGGCGGGAATACTTGATTAACGCTTTCTCCAGAAAACCCGCCGCCGCACCTACCGTGCGCACGGTCGCATCAACCCTTACCAGGGCCACCCTTGTCATGTCGAGATAATTCTCTCCGCTTCTGATGCTGAGGTTGAGCGGGCGAAGGACAAGGACGTTGTTGCCAAGTCGTCGTTGAGTGGGCTCAACAGGCGGCAGGTCGCTCGCAGGCGGATCGAGGCTGCGCGCACATAAACTTGCGGCCACATATCTGTAGATTTGGGTCTGATACGTCAAGACAGCAGGCTGGGAATGCGGTTATGCTGACGCGATGAGTTCTCCTTCCTATTGTCCTATCCATGTACATACACTATCGTTATGTCATGCTCTTAACGAAGCGACTGGATACGACTCTCGTGTTGTGTGTCGTGCTTGCGATCCCCTACCAGCCCGTGGCCGTGTTGTTCTAGTTTTCTCACATTTTACCCTGTATGATTACTACTAATCTTTTCCCGAGTACGCTTTCTGTGTGTGACTGCAGCGTGAAGGAAGATCTAACAAGAGTAGTGCGCCACGCACGCGGAGCGCTCGTGTGAGCGCGGCGTGGCTGGAAAGTTGAACGTAAACTCGAACCGCGACCACCACTTGGCCCCTCTGCTCGCAGCTCATGGCGCGCGAAGATATCACTGCGGAACCCCTGGATCTTGACTCTGTGGAGGGCGAGATAGCGTTCTTTCATTCTTTAATGCGTGCCCGACCCGTCGGAATGCACCGTCACTTTCATGTCCTCGCCATACGCAACTACATCTACCGAACTACGAACCGATGGGTATTGCCCGAAGAGATATGGAGAAAACTCAAAGAATGCTATGACTTAGACATGCTAGAGGCGTTGGTGAGATTCTTTCCAGTTGAGCTGAACGGACATCCTCAACAGGTGTAGGAATTGGATGGCTTTGATGTCTCAGGGGAGAAGAGACCCACTCCTGTTGTCTTCGCATATCCGCCGACAGATCCCGCGGACAACCTCCAAACCCACCCATACTTTAGAGCTGAGTATGCCCCTCCAGATGACCCCACTATCGAAGCGGAATTTTCCCGCAGGCGGATGAGGACGTCGGTGTCAATCGAATCGAGTTCGCCGGCACCTTCTCCTATCCATGAGAAACCGGCACCTTCGGGTCGAGGCACCAAGAGGAGGAAAAACCAAGCGCAGCTGAAGAACATGGCGGGATTGGTCGCGGGGGACAGCGACAGTAGCGCGTTAACCCAGGAAAGCGGAGATGAAAGCGCCGCACCCACACCAACGACGAATCCTGACGCAGGCACCGAATACGCGGAAGGTGAGAATGAGCGAGAGCAGTCACCTGGTATGCTTCCAGCGGTACTACGTCCCGTCGTCATCCTCATTGACCGTTTTACGGAAGCACCCAAGCGTAAAGGCAAGGGACGGCGCAACAGCACAGCTACTCGTGGGAAGCCAACAACGTCAACCCGGGGAGGAAAGAAGAGGAAACGGTAGCATTCCAGTGCCCAGCAGCCACGTACGAAGAACCGCTTACGGTTCTTCGTCGCGCAAACCCTGCCTGTAGAGCATTTCCCGTCGTGCACTTAGACTCGCCCTACTTTTCCACACCCTTGTGAGTTGATTTTAGTTTTTGCACTACGAGCGCCCACTTCTCTGGTTTTAGCCAGAGGTGCTAGGATACCTCCGTGGGATTGTGTAGCCATTACAATATATCATCACCCGTATGCCCTCGGAGCCATTCTGTAACTCAATTGGGCCAAGCTCTTTATGAGTTCTGTTGGACTTCGCGTGTACTGAATCCTGCGTTTCGGTCAGTCGACTTCGGCACGAGGATGTGCCATCCTTCAATCTTGCCATAGGGTGAGATATCATATGGTAAACCTATTGGCATCTCACTCCCGTCATAGAGACTAAAGAGCATGTTCCCAAGGCTTATCGTATTGAAACCGGTGTTGAAATGTCGTCCGCCTCGGATGCGTCGTTCAGCCGGATAATCTGTTCTCGGGAATTGTCACCACAGACGAGGTGCCCGACGTCTGTTTTGACACTCATGATTCACGGTTCACACGCTCAAGCGTCCACGACATGAACACAACATCCCCCGACTTATTGGGTCGCATATAAATTGCAACATGAATCTTTCGTAGAGAGCGCACTTTCCGCCTACTTCCTCCCCCATGGTTCAACCCAGCACAGGCATGACCGAACTCCGTACTCTCGTGGATATCCTTCAGTCCACTGTCGACAAGCTCGACGAGACGATGGCCAGCCGTGGCCAGGCTTACCCGTCTCTAGATGATCCGTACAGCGTCGAAAGCGAGGCCCCGCGCAGCTCGCCTGACGTCTTGGCCCTGTGTGATATTCTCGTCTCTGCAGCTGGTCAACTTATTGCAGCGGCCCGTCCGACACCGACATCGTCCCTCCTTACCGCACTACAGGTTTGGATATCCGGATTGCTAGCCTGTTGATTGCTCATAGACCCACAGTTCCAAACGTCTGCTTGCTTACGCGCTGTAATCCGTGCACATGTTCCAGAGATCCTTAAAGAGGCTGGGCCCAAGGTACATACGAGGTATTCCATGGCCGACCGCTCGATGCTCATGTTTTGCAGGGACTGCATATCTCACAGATTGCAAAGCCGACCAACGTAGAACCCAATAAGCTTGGTTAGTTCCTGTCTATGATGACTGGCACGCCACTAGTACTAGTGCTGATTCCATGTTATAATAGCCCGGGTTCTGCGATTATTGGCAACCAACCACATTTTCAAGGAGGTCGCTCCAGATGTCTTCGCACACACCAGGATCTCGTCCATCTTAGACACTGGAAAGTCACTCTCAGAAATCTTGGAGGAGTACGTACTCCCGGAATGCATGCATGTATGCCTGGTAACTCACCGGCGGGGCAGCCCGGAAGCGAAACACGACGGTACTTCGGGAATGCCGGCTCTGTTCGAACAGCTGTAAGCCATTTTTGCCATGCTGCTAGCACGCCTGCCTTCATGTGTTTTTTGCAGGTCGGACTACTCGATGAAGGCTGCAGCCTACATGCCTGAGACCCTTCTCGACCCGGCGTCAGCGATTACAGGGAAAACTGCGTTCAACCGCGCCTACAAGACTGAGCTATCATCATTCGAGTGGCTCAAGCAGCCAGAGAACGCGTACATCCACCGCCGTTTCAACATGGCCATGGAGGGCACTGCTAAGATGAGCGTACCTTGGGAGGTTTTTGAAGGTTATTCAATCCGGCTTTAGTACCGGATTTTTCAAGCTGATTCTGCGGTAGGATTCGACTGGCAGACGTTGCCAGAGAAGTCGCTGGTCGTCGACGTCGGTGGCGGAGTTGGCTCGCAGACTCTTACACTTGCCAAGAAGTTTTCGCACCTGAATTTCGTCACCCAGGATACCGAGGCCACACAGCCTAATGCCGAGAAGGTGACGACAACTATCTTGCTATCTGCACAACGCTCATGCATGTGATTGCAGTACTGGGCGGCGCGTTTCCCTGAGGCTATCTCTTCGGGACGTGTGCAATACCAAGGTATGCTCTAACTAACTACTGCCACAGTCCCGCTCACGCATTCGATCACAGTCCACAACTTCTTCGAACCGCAGCCTATCAGCTCTCCGGCAATGTACTTCCTGAAGAATGTCCTCCATGACTGGTCTGACAATCATTGCATCTCCATTCTCCGTCACCTCCGTGACTCGGCCGGTCCCAACACCAAGCTTGTTATCCAGGAGAACGTCATGGAGTACGTCTGCGAGGACTCACCGTTGACGAACCCCGGCATCAGCGTCTCGTCGGCGACTAAAGCTCACCCGTCTCCGCTCCTGCCCAACGCTGGCCAAGCGTCTATGTTCACATATTACATTGACTTTGTGGTAAGCATCCTTAACAGCTGTGAGTGTGTTCGAGATTCACAAATTGCCGCAGATGATGAACACTCACGGCGGGGTCGAACGCACCTTGCCACACTTCTGCGAGCTGCTGGCAGACAGCGGCTGGAAGGCGATCAGCCTGTACAAGGGCCCACCGGGCGGACGGGGGAAGATCATTGCCATTCCGCAACGGGTCGGCGTTCAGGTCTCTGGCATGCTGTAGGGATGGTATGTTCACTTCTGCGTGGTAGTCCCCATCCACGTACGAAGAACCGCCTTGTACGCGCTACACGCTTCCGATTCTTCATTTCGCAAAACCCTACCCACTGAGCATCTCCCGTTTTACACTCAGACACGCGCCTTACCTTCCCACACCCTTGCGAGTTGATTTAGGTTTTGGCTCCACCCTAAGTACCGATCCCCTCCGGGGAGAAATGATATGAAAGTGAATTATTACACAAGTCTTGAAGGTTACAACTGGAGCGTAGCAAATTAGCATGTTCCTTCTGACTCTGCTCCGTGAACGAACGGTTGGACTGCCTGTCGGTGCCGCCACGAGGAAAGAGGCCGGCCGCGCCATTTCATTCCTCGTCCACATTTGTCTCAGCGGAGTCTCAGTACCTTGTCCTTATCTTTGTCACATTCGGTGGCGGCACCTTTCTCAATGTGCTCGAGGTCACGATCCAGAGCCATAATATCGCTCTTGTCGCCAAGAGCCAGGAGCTTAGAGGCACATCGAGGAGTCAGAGGCATGACATTGACAGTCGCTTAGTTTCGCCGTCCTACAGCCCTCTCTTTGGTGGACAGATGGGCTGCGCGACTGCGGAGTAGCAATGGAATCTTCCTCATCCCAAAGAAGCGCCATTCGAGCTGCTGCAGATGAGGAGGGAGCTAAATGAGAAATTACCGTAGTTTGAACAGGACATCCAACCACAGTCCTTGTAATGGTTCAGCACGCGGTCCGTCATGTGCTTTCGGCCCTTGTACTCGCGTAGACGTGCATTCATCTGCACGTCGACAAGGAGCTCGGTGAGCGGATTTTGAGATGTCGCCGCGAGACTAGCTGGTGCTCCTCGAGAGAAGCTATCCTTAGATCGCTCCGGGATACGCAAAACGTAGACGCCCGGAAGTGTTCGGATCAAGACCCCGAAAACCTCCTCCGAGTTCGCGCCTAAAGTCGTTCCGCCGTTGCTTGTCGTGTTGTAGTACTTGCGAGGCATCCTGTGCTGTAGTGTGTATTTATGCATGAGGGCTCTCCCCAGTATATTTTGGCACTCATACACTTGAATAAACCTCAGTCTGGCCTGCGAAATTCGGGCGACTCACGGCGGCCGCTTGCCGCCACGAGCGAATATATGATCGATGGCGCGCCTTCAGCGCCGCGACGTAAACTGTGGCCGCTTGGCCTTCGTACCGGTGCCAGCTGAGGATTGTCTAAAGCGATTAGTCTTTGAGTGGCTGGCGCCTAGAATCCTCAATGTCCGATTCTGGAGGGGATCGGAACTTCTCTAACTTTCAAGTTCACCAGTGTAAGTTAGGACGCCTCCGCGATATTATGTAGCCATTACAATATACCGTCATCCGTTCGTTCTCGGAGCCTAAGCTTTTCATGGGTTCTCTTGAACTTTGCGTGACTTGATTCCGAGGATGTATCATTCTCAAGGCTTATCATATCGAGAGTCGACCGGCGCTGAAGCACTGAAATGCCGTCCGTCTCGGATGCGCCGTTCAGCCGGACAATCTGTTTTCAAGAATTGTCATCACGGACAGAATGCTCCACGTCTTGTTGTTCACGATTTGCATGCGCCCAAGCGTCCACATGAACACAGCTTCTTGGGTCCCATATAAATTGCGACGCGAACTCTCTGCAGAGAACATACTTTCTGCCCGACTCCTCCCCCATGGTATCCAACACAGGTGTAAGCGAACTTCGTGCCCTGGTGGACATCCTTCAGTCCACCGTCGACAAGCTCGACGAGACGATGGCTAGCCGTGGCCAGACTTACCCATCTCTAGATGATCTGTACAGTATCGAAAGCGAGGCTCCGCGCAGCTCGCCTGACGTCTTGGCCCTGTGCGACGTTCTCGTCTCTGCAGCTGGCCAACTTATTGCAGCGGCCCGCCCGACACCGACATCGTCCCTCCTTACCTCCTTACAGGTATAGCCTTCCAGAGTGTCAGCCAGTTGGTTACTCACAGTCTAGCAGTACCAAACGTCCGCTTGCTTACGCGCTGTAATCCGTGCACATGCCGCAGAAGTCATCAGAGAAGCTGGCCCAAAGGTACACTTAAGGTATTCCTTAATCGACCACTTGACGCTCATGTCTTGCAGGGACTGCATATCTCACAGATTGCGAAGCCAACTAACATGGATCCCAGCAAGCTGGGTTAGTTCCTGCTTATATGACGGGTACGCTTCTGGTGTTGACACCATGTGACAGCCCGGACCCTGCGATTATTGGCAACCAACCACATTTTCAAGGAGGTCGCTCCAGATGTCTTCGCACACACCAGGATCTCGTCCGTCTTAGACACTGGAAAGTCACTCTCAGAAATCTTGGAGGAGTACGTACTCCCGGAATGCATGCATGTATGCCTGGTAACTCACCTGTAGAGCAGCCCGGAGGCGAAACACGACGGTACTTCGGGAATGCCAGCACTTTTCGAACAGTTGTAAGCTAGTTTTGCCATGATGCTAGCACGCCCACATTGAGGTTGTGTTTTGCAGGTCGGACTACTCGATGAAGGCTGCAGCCTACATGCCTGAGACCCTTCTCGACCCATCGTCAGCGGCCACAGGCAAGACTGCGTTCAATCGCGCCTACAAGACTGAGCTGTCATCGTTCGAGTGGCTCAGGCAGCCAGAGAACGCGTACATCCACCGCCGTTTCAACATGGCCATGGAGGGCATTGCTAAGATGAGCGTGCCTTGGGAGGCGCTTGAAGGTAACTCTTTTTGGCTTTAGTCACGTGCCTTATCTTCTCAAGCTGATTCTGCGGTAGGATTCGACTGGCGGATGCTGCCAGAGAAGTCGCTGGTCGTCGACATCGGTGGTGGAGTCGGCTCGCAGACTCTGACGCTTGCTAAGAAATTTCCACTTTTGAATTTTGTCATTCAGGATACCGAGGCCACACAGCCCAACGCGGAGAAGGTAATCGCAGCTATCTCACTTACCATACAACGCTCATGCATATGATAAATGCAGTACTGGGCGACCCGTTTCCCTGAGGCTATTTTTTCGGGTCGTGTGCAATACCAAGGTATGTTCCAACTAACTGCTGCCAGCTGCACAGGCCCTGCTCATGCGTTTTATTACTTAGTTCACAACTTCTTCGAACCGCAACCTATCAGCTCTCCGGCAGTGTACTATCTGAAGAATGTCCTCCATGACTGGTCTGACAATCATTGCACCGCCATTCTCCGTCACCTCCGCGACTCGGCCGGTCCCGAGACTAAGCTTGTTATCCAGGAGAACATCATGGAGTACGTCTGCGGGGACTCATCGCTGACGGGCCCTGGCGTCAGCATCTCGTCTGAGACTGAAGCTCACCTGCCTCCGCTCCTGCCCAACGCTGGTCAAGCGTCTATGTTCACGTACTACGTTGATTTTGTGGTGAGTATCCCTAGCGACTGCGAGTATTTTTGAGATTCACAAATTGCCGCAGATGATGAACACTCATGGCGGGGTCGAACGCACCTTACCACACTTCTGCGAGCTGCTGGCAGACAGCGGCTGGAAGGCTGTCAGCCTGTACAAGGGCCCGCCGGGCGGACGGGGGAAGATCATTGCCATTCCGCAACGGGTCGGCGTTCAGGTCTCTGGCATGCTGTAGGGATGATATGTTCACTTCTGCGTGGTAGTCCCCATGACACCCCTCGGTACTCGATGAGCAGCCACGTACGAAGAACCATCTTGTATGTGCTTCCGATCTCCGCTACACGAATCCCTACCCGAGGAGCATCTCTCGTTGTACACTTAGACTCACCAGAGGCACCCTACTTTCCCACATCCTTATGAGTTGATTTAGGTTAAGCTTTGAGAATAAATGACACATCCCCGCACAGAAGTCGACGTCGGACTGGCTGGAACGCGGGATCCGCGTCGCGCAAAGTCTTGGTCTTGACACTAGGGCATGAGTTGATTTCAGGTCACCTGAAATGTCCCGGTCAAGCCATCAGAACTGTTTCACTTTCGGGGACTTAACTGTAGCTTTCTGGTACCTACAAATGATAGATTTGCTACCACTTTCGTAGCCGTTTGCGATGCAAGAAAATGATAAATTTCGTGTAGCCTGAAATGAACCTGAAATGACTCACTATGGTTACATTTCAGTACGGCAAAGAGTTGATGTTTCAAGGGACTTTGTGGCACATTTCAGGACATCTGAAAGAACATATGTAGAAATCATTTCTGCCTCATGTTTGCAATGAGGAAAGGTCCAGGTGAGGAAAGCTTTTGATGGTCCTGAAATTGCCATTTATGATGACTTTTGAAACTATTTTATAAGCTAGAAGATTTTTACTTGAGATAAGACAGAAATATCCCAGAAATGTACTATAAATCTGCTGTAAATGGCAATTTCAGGACCATCAAAAGCTTTCCTCGCCCGGACCTTTCCTCATTGCAAACATGAGGCAGAAATGATTTCTACATATGTTCTTTCGGATGTCCTGAAATGTGCCACAAAGTCCCCTGAAACATCAACTCTTTGCCGTACTGAAATGTAACCATAGTGAGTCATTTCAGGTTCATTTCAGGCTACACGAAATTTATCATTTTCTTGCATCGCAAACGGCTACGAAAGTGGTAGCAAATCTATCATTTGTAGGTACCAGAAAGCTACGGTTAAGTCCCCGAAAGTGAAACAGTTCTGATGGCTTGACCGGGACATTTCAGGTGATCTGAAGTCAGCTTATGCCTGTAGTGTGAGTTATGGAATGATGGCTCCGAGGACGAACGGATGATGATATATTGTAATGGCCACACAATCCACAGAGGCGCCCTAACACTGGTAAGAAACAGAGAAGTGAGCGCCCGTAGTGCAAATCGTGTTGAAACCGGCGCTGAAATGCGGTTTCAGATCTATCATTCAGTTAGCCGGATTATCACAGACGAAGCGTCTCGTAGTTCACGTTTTGCATGCGCCCAAGCGTCCACGACAACATGAACATGACATCCCCCGGTCGCATATAAACTGCAACATGCAATCTCTGTAGAAGCACACTTTCTGCCCAGCTCCTCCCCCCATGGCATCCAACACGGGCATAGGCGGACTCCGTGCTCTGATGGACATCCTTCATTCCACCGTCGACAAGCTCGACGAGACGATGGCTAGCCGTGGCCAGACTTTCCCGTCTCTAGACGACTCGTACAGCGTCGAAAGTGAGGCCCCGCGCAACTCGCCTGACGTCTTGGCCCTGTGTAATATTCTCGTCTCCGCCGCTAGCCAACTTATTGCAGCGGCCTGCCCGACAACCACATCAACTTTCCTTACCTCACTACAGGTATGGATCTCGAGAATGTCAGCCCACTGATTGCTCACAGTCTCGCAGTATCAAACGTCTGCTTGCTTACGCGCTGTAGTCCGTGCACATGCCGCAGAAGTCATCAGAGAAGCTGGCCCAAAGGTACACTCGAGGTATTCATGGCCGACCGCTTGATGCTCATGTTTTGCAGGGGCTGCATATCTCACAGATTGCGAAGCCAACTAACATGGATCCTAACAAGCTTGGTTAGTCTTTATCTATGATGACCGGTACACTATCAGTACTGACTCCATGCCATGATAGCCCGGATTCTGCGATTATTGGCAACCAACCACATTTTCAAGGAGGTCGCTCCAGATGTCTTCGCGCACAACAGGACCTCGTCTATCTTAGACACCGGAAAGCCAGTTTCAGAGATCCTGGAAGAGTACGTACTGCATAAATACATGCATGCATACCCGGTAACCCATCTGCGGGATAGCCCAGTAGCGAAACACGACGGTACTTCGGGAATGCCGGCTCTGGTAGAGCAATTGTAAGCTGGTTTTGTTATGCTGCCAGCACACCCGCCTTGATGTGTATTTTGCAGGTCGGACTACTCGATTAAGGCTGCAGCCTACATGCCTGAGACACTTCTCGACCCGTCGTCAGCAGCCACAGGCAAGACTGCGTTCAATCGCGCCTACAAGACTGAGCTGACGGTGTTCGAGTGGCTCAAGCAGCCGGAAAATGCGCACATCCACCGCCGTTTCAACATGGCCATGGCAGGCCTCGCTAAGTTGGGCGTGCCTTGGGAGGTTTTTGAAGGTAACTTTTCTCGACTTTAGTGTCTTCTCTACTTAAATCTGATTCTGCATAGGATTCGACTGGCAGACGCTGCCAGAGAAGTCATTGGTCGTCGACGTCGGTGGTGGTGTTGGCTCGCAGACTCTGACGCTTGCTAAGAAGTGTCCACACCTGAATTTTGTCATCCAAGACACTGAAGCCACACAGCCCAATGCTGAAAAGGTAACGGCAGCTGTTTCACTGTCTGTACAACACTCACGTATACAATGCAGTACTGGGCTGAGCGCTTCCCTGAGGCTATCTCTTCGGGTCGCGTGCAATACCACGGTGCGTTCCAACCAACTGCTGTCATAACTCGTGCTCACGCGTTTGATCACTAAGTTCACAATTTCTACGAACCACAACCCATCCGCTCTCCAGCAGTGTACTACCTGAAGAATGTCCTTCACGACTGGTCTGACAGCCGCTGTACCACCATCCTCCGTCACCTCCGTGACTCGGCAGGTCCCGATACCAAGCTTGTCATCCATGAGAACGTCATGGAGTACGCCTGCGAGGGCTCGTCGCTGACGGTACCAGGCGTCAGCGTCTCGTCCGCGACTAAAGCTTACCCGCCTCCACTCTTGCCCAACGCTGGCCAGGCATCTATGTTCACGTATTACATTGATATCGTGGTGAGTATCCTTAGCAGCTGCGAGCATGTTTAAAATTTACAAATTGCTGCAGATGATGAACACTCACGGCGGGGTCGAACGTACCCTGCCGCACTTCTGCGAGCTGCTGGCGAACTGCGGCTGGAAGGCGATTAGTCTGTACAAGGGCCCGCCGGGCGAACGGGGGAAGATCATTGCAGTCCCACAACAGGTCAGTTCAAATCTTTGACATGCTGTAGATGTGTCTTGTTCACTTCTATGGTTTTTTCAGCATGATTAGATTTAACGCCACGAAGGGTGATGTAATTCAATATCTCCGATGTACCTTAGTCCACGTCAGAGGATACCCTAGCGGTGGAATTCTGTTCAGCCCATGTTCGACTTGCGTCTTCGTGTCCCACTCGATTCTGCTGTGACGACGGCTAGGTTATGAGGCCCGCTGTGTCAGTCCACCAAAACGATCAACTGCGAGTGGAATCGCCGGCTCCTGCCTGTCTCGCGCTGTTGAACAATTCAGTTCTCCTTTGGGGTGCATATCCTCACATCAACAGGTTGCTGAAATAAAGATATTTATATTTACATAACCGATACAGGAGTGTTTGATTGATACATTGATACGGTGACAGTGACTGGACCTCATCCAGCGAGGACCCAGTACACACCGATAATGAATAGGCTGTGAGGACGACCCGGAGGGGCATTGTACGCTCAGTACGACTCTGCATGGCCAGCCGCACGGTGCGCGGACCGCCTGAAGTGCCGCCTCTGGTTGATGGTGCCACGCTCCCTTGCCTTGAGCGAGCACGAGTTGCCAGACTGCGTCGGAGCGGCCGCGGCTCCCGTAGCAGAAGCCGGTGGCGCGCCGTCGTCGGCTGATGTGGCTGCCGCGGGGCCCCCAGACGCGCCGGAAGCGGCGGGAGCGGACGCGGTGGGCTGGCCGCTGTTCACCGGGGCAGAGTCTGAGGCAGGAGCGGCAGACGGGAAGACGGTGGGGCCGGTGTAGGGGGACGCCAGTGTCATGCTCGTGGCGGCGAGGTTCGCGACGGGGCCGCCGGGGAAGGTGTAGTTCGCGAGAGCCTGAGGGCCGTTGTAGATCTACGACGCTTGTCAGTAATGGATGCATTACAAAGGAGATGTAGCATGCTCACGCCAGGGACGTAGATACCCGGGTCGGTGTCAGAGTAGGCACCGGGGAAGGACACGGCGGGGCTGGGAGAGCCGTTGCCATTGCCCCCGATCATAACCTGGAAGCACGAGGGGTAAAACTCAGCTCCTCCGACCGAGATACCGTTCTGCAGCGAGATGAGCTCATTCCGGATGAGGTAACCTCCCGGGGAGAGATTCTCTGGGAGATTTAGGTCGAAGGTGTCACCCGTGCCTTGGGAACAGTAAGAACCAAATGGTTAGTGAGGTCAATAAAAACACTCACTCGCAATTGTTCCCTGGTACCATGTGCTCCCATCGGACTCCAAGCCAGCCTGGTTAATCTTGAACCAGCCGGCTCCAGTGCCATTGAACTGATTGCAGGGCGTCGACCCGCAGGGGGCCATGTAAGTCATCACAGGTCCGACCTCGTGAGGCCACTAGAGAAGCATAAGACAGTGCATTCAATAAAATAACAGAAATTTGCTGACGTGCTCTGCGCTGCCTCCGCTGCCGCCAGACCACTGGACAGAGAGCAGGCTTCCAGAGTTCGCGGGAACGACAAGTTGAGCGTTCTGAGCGCTGAGGCCGCACACAATGTCTGGGTTGGTCGCGCCCTTGACAGGCCCGTTGTTGGCAACCATGCGAATTGGACTCGGTCCTGCAGATTCCGTGTCGGTCTGATCGGTTCAGAGTGCCGCCAACGCTGAGCATACCTTGGTTCTGTCCTGGCGCGTTACCAGAATACCACTGGCCGTCAATGCCGATGCCGCTCACGTATCCGTGAGCAGCGACAAAAGGCAGCAGACTAAATACGAAAGCAACGCAGAGAGTAATGAAGGACATCATTCTGAGTGAGAATAGTTATCGAGGCTCGTCAAGAGCTCGCTGGTGGGTGTGGGAGATGTGGAGAGGCTGATGATGTTCTCCGTCGGCTGCGGCAGATAGTATATATACGCGATGCTGATACTGCGCTCATTTTTTGTAGCCAGATCGCAAACCTTGTCCATGCTGTTGCGGACCAGCAGCCTCGAGGCACAACATAGACTTCGTCAACTTCGCGGCGGCTCATCCCAGGAACATGAGTGATAAGCGCCCTGCGAGCAGCACGTTGTTTTCGGCCACAACCAGTGTCTGCTTGCACACGTCAATTATCGTGTATGTATTGTCGCACAAAGGGCCAATATACTAACAATGGTAGGAGTCGGGCGTAGCATAAAACAAAATTTGCAGCAAGTTGTGACACAATGGTGAGAAGCACCATGTTGAAGACTTGAAGCCACTCCTCGTGCGCCGGGAGTTATCTCGCTCGCATGTATGTCTAGCGCATGTTTTTCCTGAAATTACCGGCACATGGTGCAGGAGAGATGTTTAATTCCTTGTACAGCCCGCTGTGCCCTTTTCCTTGCAGCCTCCCCGCGGCTGCCATCAGCCTGGTCCCCCATGCGGCGGGCCTGGCAGGACTGGCCTATCCAACGCGAAAACGCGGCATCTGTGCATTCGGGTCTTATTTTTGGGTCTGCACGCTGGTTCAATAGTCGCAGGGCATGCACTATAAGGTGATAGAGGAAGGTCAAATGAATCACGGGCTTTGTGCACCTGATCAACGTTTGTCGGTTCTTTCGTGCCCTGGTGCCTTCGGCACTGGAGGCCCTGCCTTGCCTAGATGTCGACCGATTACTGCCCTTCTGTTGCTTGTCTAAGCGGGCATTCATATGTCTGGCAATGCAGTATGCACATGTTTTGCGAAAGGGTTCATTCGCCTTCGCCGGTTTGAGGTGACGATGTCTTCGCCACAGCTGTAGCAAACTTTTGATGCAGTCCTTCTTGCCATCATGGTGTCCTCGATGGCGATGCTTTGTGAATCCACACCCAATTGAACCAGAACGACACCGAGGGCGGAGACAATATTACCTGAAGCAGGAAAGGCGACTCCCAGCATACGATCTGATATCAATCCATCGTCTTCCATCGGCACGAATGGGAATGAATGCATGGTCGTATTGTAGCGTACGTACGTATACAATACTATTAATCTTCACGACTATTGGAAGCATAACGAACCGCAGCGATTAGGCTGAGTGAGCTTCAAGCGAGTCCGATCCATTACTGATAGCTACAGGCATCCGGCTCACCTACCGAACTGCATTTCCCATCGGGTTTCTATATCCTGCTCTTCCTTGGTAGGAACCATACCTCGAACAACCTCCACGCCAAGCTCGCGAAGCTCCGCCTCCTCTTCGGGTGTGCTCCTGTATAGGGCCGGGATGTGCACTCGCTCGAGTGACGCGCCAAGCTCCTTGCGCTTCTTTACGAACTCGATGACATCTCGCACGGCCTGCATGTCGGGGTAAAGCGAAGTGAGGTTCGGAGCGAAGATCGGCGAGTCCTGGGTCAGCGCGGCCTGCTGCTGCGCGCCGCGATGGGTCTGCTCGGGGTGGAACAAGCGCGCGTCCTCGAAGAGCCAGCCGAGCATGATCTCGCGCGGCATGTGCGAGAACTTGACCACTCTGAGCCTGGGCAGGGACGCGAGCCACTTAAGGAGCGGCGTCCTGATGGTCGTGGCGTACCGGATCGCGAAGAGCGCGAGCGACTCGAGCCGCGGGAACCGGCCGGCCAGGAACGTGCACAGCGGCGCGTCCGCGACGAGGTCGCACCTGGCGATGGCTAGGACGGCGAGCTGGGGCGCGACGAAGTGCGTCATAGCCCACTGCATCCACGTAGGGGTCGCGCCTCCGAGAAAGAGCTCCTTCAGCCTCGTGAGGTGGACCGGGTGGCGGATGCACGGGGCCGTGTCGACCATGACGGGTCCCGCGATGTCGAGGTTGAGTCGCCTGATGTTGTTGGTCGCACGCAGCATGTCAAGGAAGTCGGCACTGGAAGGGCAGAGCGCTTGTGGTATGCGGCGGAGATCCAGGGTACGTAGGTTTGTGCAAGGAATGCCGGCCCAGCGGACATTGATTCCGTTGAGACAGATGCTCCGCAACTTGGGGGCGTCGCCGCAGAACAGCGTCACAGGCTGCAGAATGCAGGGCGAGCGGAATCCTGGTGTAAGCCAGGGTTCGCCGGCGATCACTGTAGAAGGACGATGCACCTCGAAGCATTCGAGGACCCGAGGGCTGCGTGTGTTAGGATGAGAGAAGAACTTCAGAACCTCCGCCGCGGCTGGCCAAGTGTCCAAAACAAAGATAGAGGCACGAATCTGATGATATTTTGGATAAATCTTTGCCAAGAACTCTTGCATCTGCTCGGCCGTGATCTTCGGAGCAATGTCGTTACCCTGGTCGTCCTTCTGCTTCCTGTCTGCCAGCCGGAAGGCAACGTCGCCAGCACCGGCTCGCTCGAAATACCTGAATGAGCGCGCCCACGGGTAAGGATCGTCGAAGATGATGGTTCCCCAGAGCACCGGATCCGCCATAGCGATGTATCTCCATTGCCTGCAAACCCAGGTGATGCGCATGGCCCACAGACATCCTAGCTGAGGGTCTGTTCGGCGCACGTTGCGAAAGACCATGGTCAGGATCTCCGTCGGCAGATCGTTGATTGGGAACACGCGCCACGCAAGGATCTTGTGCCTGAGAAGACTGCCCTGCATCTCGTACTTGAAACTCGGCCCCTCCCGGGGTTTCATCTGCTGTTTGATGTCCTTGAGGGCGTCGACGTGAATCCGGGTGAACGCCATGCGCAGTGATTCGAGCTCTTGATCGACGTCATGGACTGTAGGCTCCTTATGGGCCGCAAGATACTGTCGAAGAACGAGGTCTATGTTCCACATTCCCGGTGGCAGCGCCGCCCGGACTTCCATAGGGACTGCGCCCGGATGTGGCATCTCAAACTTTGGATCTGCCATCCGTTCTAATTGGAAAATTTGCTCCATAATGGCCGTATATCTCCTATTTAAAGTGAACTTGAGACAGCTGAGTAGTGGATATGTGAATGAGACGTACTATGCACAGATTGTGGCAGGGAAGGCGATGAAAAGCGCTAAGTGGGTATAGAAAGTGGCTTGACGCGAGGAGTGCAGAAAGGGTTACTATTCAAGCTGGGAAAGAGTTGAGGCGATGAGCGAGCCTTTTATGTTTGGAATGGAGTCAGCGACCCTTGCTTGTGAGTGAGATGATAATCAACGCCGGAGAGCGGAGTCTGCCACTCGCAGTGTTGTGGCCGCAGTACCAAATTTGGCTGTTTGGCCCTGTGAGCCCGCCCATAAGCACAAACGTCGCCGGGGTGCCTCTACGGAACTGGTCAATCCTTTGCCTCTGGATGCTGACCGTTTGCCCAATAACCATGTAGAAAGGCCCGTCGAGAGGCTATGTCGTCGGGCGCAGGATCGGAGACTACAGGTGAGTGCATTCGGCGCGCTGGCGGTCCACATCGTTGAGAAATGAGAGTTGACACAGAAAAATTCTGATCCTTTTCTACATGGGTTTGGACCTTGGTCTCAGAATGAAGACGACGGCCAAAGCTTCAGCTAAAATTTTGAGTTTGCAATTAGAATCTTTACGGCTGCCCGATGGCCGCCAAAACTTCGGTGAACGCGTGGGATCAACAGCGTGACTGCTCTCGTGAAGGTCAGAGCATCTCTCGAATTTCTTTGTTCAGCTGAGACTGACCTGACCTCGTCCGTCTGAGGACGGCGGAACGCGGGAGCGCGGCTGCGGCGAAGGGTTCCTTTCTGGGAGAAAGCGCCCGTGGTGACTTAGCTCGCGCGTCTCGAACCGGATTGTTGAGGCCCGCGGTCCAGGACCCACGATGAGATGTGCCCTATCCGCATCCTTTGTTGATAATGAGTACATGTCATAAGCACTAGAAGACTGTGTGTACAATAGCACTAATCCTAATCGTATACTCTACCAAATCAGTGAGCACGAAACTTGTGAGGTGTGTGATACCGGTACAAAAACAGCGATGCAAAAAGCAATGTCCGGGAGAGTTAACAAAGCAGCCATCACTGTGAGGTGCTGTGCTCTATGCACAGACTGATTCGTTCGCCAGGGGTGACGCCTGCCTCTACGTTCTCGATCATTGCACGAATGACACCGCCGCATCGCAAACCGCCAGCTCGGCAAGCGCACTTGTAGCGCAATTCAACGCCCGTACCGTCCATATCTGTGAGATTCCTACGGTTCGCTGATAGATCCATCCTGTGAAGGGAGAAGGAGTCAGTTGAAGGCCCTTAAACGTCCCCGCGGCGCGGGTAACCCTCACCTGATAGGAAGACGAGCTTTCTTTATGGCCACGTCCACGACCTTCTCGATACGGCCCTTAGCATCTAGGTCGTCGAGATCCCGGACCACGCAGTAGCAACCTCGAAAGTCGACCAGCATGGCGAACCTACCCGGAGTCTCGCTGAGACGCGCGGCAGCTACGGCCTTGGCGAAGGCGCCAAACAGATCGCCCTCAGTGCGGTACTCCGGAATATCGAGGTGCGCTTTCTTGACGCTCGCTGAACCACCTGCAGGAGAGTCCGAGTCATCCGTAGCCTTTCGCTTGCCGAGGATGGCGGTCTTGAGCTTTCCCAAGGTACGCAGCTGCCGCATGAAATTCCCGAAGCGCTCTTCCACTGTGAGCGCGCTGGCGTCTTGTACGGGGAGATCGTCCTCCACCTTGGACGGAGATGACATTCTCGCCTTCTCCTTAGCCTGTAGATATCTCCGCCGAGCATTGTCCCTGGACCTCTTCCGACACTTGTCGCATAGTTTGTACCGCATGGCGATGAACACAATTCCGCTGCATTTTTTGGTCGAGCATGGGCGGACGATCAAGTTCCCGTCGGCGTCCTTGTCGTCTAAGAATGGCGCACGGAGAGCTTCGTTGGGGAGCTCCCTGTAATTATTAGGTTTGTTCTTCGGACTCTCCTTCAGCACGCTAGACCCGGTAGTCGTGCCTGCACTTTGCTTCGAAGAGGCGAACGGTGTGGGTCTGTGTTCCTTGGACGGCGCGATGGGCGGCGGAGACAAACGCTTCGGCGTAGCAGAAGTGTACTCGGACGGGCCATACAACCTGATATCCTCCAGACCCACGATGGGGGTGAGATGCTGACGCGTTGGTGTGGGTTTGTGTTTCTTGGACGGCGCGATAGACGGCGCAGACAAACGTTTTGGCGCGGCAGACGTATGCTCGGGCAGGTCACGCAACCTGATTTCCTTCGGACCCACGATGAGGGGGTGCTGCTGACGCGTTGATGTGGCATGCGGTGTAGACATGGCGGCTGTCGCGAAATGAAAGTGCGGTAGGCGCGTGGCAAACGGCGTGAAAGGCCGTGCGTGGCAATGTGCCAGAATGGATACGTGTGGATACGCGCGAGGGAACTCTTAATTGTAAATAAGTCCCATTGCGACGCGTGCATCACATATTCGACCGAGACACGCGTACCGTTCGCCGTCCGCGTCCCAGCTGCTACGAAGGCGATGCTCGACCGCGCTGCGACAGTTCTAACACAATCTGTGAATGCTTAAAGCTTAAGTGCCACACAAAGTGCGCTGCATAAACGAGATGGTGGTGGTAGTGATGTGGGTGGTGGAAATCAAAGAGGGCGCATCAAGCGCGAGCAGAATTAAGTAATCAATTAGGCGCCCTGAGCGCGTCGTGCGCAGCAGCCTTCGGGTGATTCTCGCCATTCCGGCCGCGTCCCAACGACAAGAGCCAAATTACAGAGGCCGAGTATTATATAATGGTCTAGATGTCTAATTGGAAGAGTGTCAAGCCACACATGCATATCGGAGAAATTAGACAACCAACATGGACGACATGGCCAGGTCACATGGCATAAGTAGTGATGTGCGGGTCGGGCCTCAAAGCCCGCGAGCCCGCCAAGCCCGGCCCAAAAAGCCTGACCCGAGCCAAGTCTGGCAGCGGGCTCAAGGCCGGGCTCGGAGCGTAGTCAAGCCCAAGCCCGGCCCGAAAGCCCAGGCTTGGGTTGCACCAAATGTGTTGCCGTTCCCTGGGTTCAAAACATGGTAAGAACAACTTTATATACACATACAAGACAAAACGTTGACTTACCAGACTGGGCAGTCCCTGCTAGTGTGGCTAGGCGCGATTGTGTGCCACTACCTGGCATTCGCCGTAGGTGCCCCTTCGCGAACCTTGTCCTAACATGGCTTGTAGCACGATTGCATGCCCTCTGGAGGCTGCAGTACGGTGGGTACATGCAATAGCAGCCTATCACATACAAATATGCTCACTTTCGTAGCATATAAATACTTGTCCTAAGCTTTGCAAGCCCGGGCTTAGGCTTGGCTCAGGCTCAGGGCTCGGCTTGGGCCGGGCTCAGAGCTCGGCTTGGCGTCGCCACAAGCCCAAGCCCGGGCTTTGAGCCCAAGCCGGGCCTGCACATCACTAGGCATAAGCTCAGGATTGGTAGGCAGCTTTGCCCACAGAGAAGAAAACTGTCTAGAGAAAATAAAAGTACATACTCTGACTACCCAAGAAACATGTGATCCAAGATATCCGCATCCGCCTGATATTTGTCGCACTTCCTCTCAGCTGCCTCCACCAAGTCTGCTCCTGGTGATAGCCCAGTCCAACATTCCATGTATCACTCAGCCCACGACCTTCCCTCAATAACGTACTCAAACCCTCCTAGTTCCAACACTGCCTATTCTACTTGTACTATTCATTGGAATATTTGCTTTCCTACTACTCGGTCTCTGTGACCGACTGGATCCATCGTGCCACAGTAGGTCTATCGACCGGCGTAATAGCCATCTGTGCATTGGACGATGCTGAGCAGGATAATCTCACCACCCTGGTTGGTGTTAGTAGGAGCAGAGAAAATATTTTCTGCCATAAAAGATTTGACAGGGCGTTGTAGACATTTATGGCACTCTCTGTTGACAGCGCACAGAGCTGTACCAAGACGAGCCTTTCCAGGATGCCATGGGGCACAGCTGTACTGAATTTTCTGGTCTGGTACATGATCCATAGTGCAGGAAGATCGATGGTGTTCATATTGGTGAACGCAGCCTCTGATTGCTCGAATGGCAAAATTTTTTGGTGTAGCTGACGTTTGGGCATCTGGGCACGATGTAGCTGATGTATGCAGGCGGTACATGTGACACCCTTGAGCTCACTCTTGAACTCCGGTCATAGGTGGGTATCAGGCTGCATGCAGACGAGTAGACACCTACTTGGAGTATCACATTCGTAGTTGGCATCTAACCTGGAAATGATGCCGTACTTGGGTTAATGAAATGATACAAAGCTATGGGAGCACCTCACCTCTAACTGCTCAATAGAGCTAGCCAGCAAAAATTATATCGGTCAATTCAATCCATGTTGACTTCTCTATGTCGTTCCCAATGATAAGCCTCAGTCATAGGCCCACAGATGGCGCTAAAGGGGAGGCTGTAGATGGGGAACATATTCAGTCCTATTCAAGTTCTCGTCCAGGAAGACAGCCTTATGGAACTGGAGCAAACTGATCTGTAGGTATTTGACATAGTTTTTAAAATTCTGAACTGATAGCATCTGAAAACAAGGTGAAGCAGGCCAGATGTATTACAGACACAGGCAGCACTCTGGGAAGCAGAGAGAATGGAAGCCACAACGACCATTGTCTCAGATGATGTTGACCATTTCAACTGGAGTTCTTTCCATGCTCCAGTTGAAATAGGGCAGGGAGTTGCTCAGATAGCCCAGAAGCAACTGGCAGCCCCACAGTATGCCAAAAGTTTTTTATTTATCTTCGACAAGATTCAGAAAGGGGATGCAGCCTTTGAGGGTACATTCTTCAAGTGGAAGTCATGCGCGCTGAAGAATGCAAACAATTGATATTTGTTCTTCTCACTTCTGAAGATAAGTTTTCCGAGGAGTATGAGCTCGATGACCGGCTTAGTAACGATAGCGATTGCATTAGGATGGCATAAACGAGCTCTATAGGCAAGAGTGCTCCTAATCTACTTGACATTAGCCTCAATGGATAAGAGGGGAACACACCGCTTATAGTCTTCAGCAAGTGGCAAGTGCAATGACAATGCAAACAACGCATGGGAGGTAGAAGGGGGAGCTGATTCAGTTTGGCAGTACAGACATGCAAATTACTAAGTTCACGTGTCTGTACCGCCAAACTGAAACTCTTGGAAGGGGTGCCACATGTATCGATGGACCTGCCACCTTCCGAACGCCGTAACCACTCCCTCCTCCGGCCTTGTGAAGTACACGCATAGTGAAGCCTACAGCTTCAGCATGCGCTGTGGATGCAACATTTGACATCTAAGTACAAGCTTCTTGGGCTGTACATGCTTGTCTCGCCTGCTACAGCAAACTCATGGCTTGGCTGCCAACGTTCGGCAGACTTGCGAATTACGATGCTAAAAACGTCATTGCCACCATAGAGTTAGGTTTCCCTCATGCCCATTGTATGATTAACAGGGTGAAGATACCAGTGAGAAAACCTCCACAAGGCTCACGACCAGAGATAACCTGGCCTAGTAGAATGGAGTGTGAGACATCAACTTCATTGTCAGTTCACCCTCGATGTGCGTCAGCAATGACCAAGAGCGACACGTCAAGATACAGAAGAGCCATCCTGAAGGGCGCTGGTTTTACAGAAGCACACCCTGCAAGCTTCACGTGCGCAGCATCTTCATTTGTTGCAGGTTCTGCCTGATCCTAATCAATTAACTGCGCATTAGTTCTGCTGCCGCATACACTCACAAGAATCTGGCCTCAGAGCCTCATGCCAAACAGATATGAAAGAATTTACGACGACCAAACGAGATGTTGAGGTAAATCAAGTAACCACACTGGTGAGATTAGCCACATTCGGCGAGTAAACCTGAGTACCGTACCTAGAGAAACTACTGATGCCGGCATTCTTTGCTAGATTGCAAAATTGGTGAGTCCGCAAGTCTGACTCGCCTCACCTTGAGCATTTCGAGAGCTGGCAAGGGTGAGTCTGCTTCCATTATCCCATCACTACCATTTCAGTCATTTGCTCATGATTGTGGTGCAGTAGGAGGCCAATTGAAAAAGTATTTCATTCCCACGGGCCACAACTGCAACCTGCTTGTCAAACCCGGTCAGTTTCTCGTACTTTATTCTTCCAGCTCCAAGGCTTCAAACTCAGCTTTACATATTTCACACTCAAGCACAGCAAAATTAGTGTCTATCCTGCTGGACTCACACTCGAACTGGCTTGGCTCAGCTGGTGGCACTAGTGGATCACACAAGTAGGCGTACAATATACTCTCATGCTGCCCCTGATGCCTCTAATTAAAATTATAACATTGTTCAGCTTTGTTGTGCTCTGCTTACCGAATTACACTTCTAAACTGTTTGCATCAATCTTCGAGCTTACAAGCTTACCTGGCTGCTGATTCACGCTTCACTGCATCTTCACCGATGAGCCGCGAGCAGACTTCGGCCCCAACGCATTGCAGAAATTCGACCCTTGCATCCCTAGATATTCAATTTGCCGCTGCAAAATCTGTGCAGAAATCTTCGTGTGCTGAGCTGCACGACAAGAAAACCGAACATCAAATCTTACAATACCTTTTACAAGAGCTCCCAGCCAACACGGAAGGTATGTTTGTTTAGTCACTTTTTTGTCCACTGTATAAATGCAGTTTCGGAATTTGTACTCCATCTTCAAAGGCGTTTATAATGCAAAGGCCCATGTCGGACCGGCCCGCAAGTTGGAATGGAAAGCTTGACAGTGGTGCATGTGAAAGGAGCAGTCGAGGTGCATTTGAACCTAGTCAATCTTGTGCTATCGAATGTTTTGTCAGCTCCATTCTTGTTGTAGGTCAAAGATGAACAAGGTGGATTGGGCAGACTCCAAACAAGCGTGACAAATTACACTCCATCCAGGCAGCCACAGGCCCCTCTATCAGCTATAAAACCTGGCATCTGACGCAGCACGGAAGTAGGATTTGGTGAGAGGTGGCAAAGTTCAACTTTGCTGCCCAAATGTGACTCCGTGATGCAATACTAAGTAGGCTCACATGCAAGGCGGGTAAGGCATGGCTGCCACTGGCAGGCAACTCCAACGATAAGATCAGCATGGTCATATTACGAACAAGATGTCGGTGGCGCAGCAGCTATGCGCCTTCTCTTATATTGAAGCAAGGCAGTCAATGAGTGTGCTCAGAGTCCGTGAACAATCTCATCTTCTGGAAATTCGAGATGAAAGAGTGACAGGCACGTGAGGCGATGGTGTCTCTTGTACGAGCAGGGGCCTGGTGTTCTTTTCTGCGAAGCTGCGCCGCGCCAAAAAGCCACAGTTCAGGGTGAAATCCTAGGCTGCCTCTTCTCCCGGGCACTAAGGTAGAGGTCACCAGGAACGGGCACCCCTTATGTAATCAGATGCCGGCCGACAGTGATGGCCTTAATGGCGACAGGCGCACCCCTCCTTTGGTAAAACTGCTCAGTAGGAAATGTCAGAAGAGGTTCTGGCTATAATTCCTATTCAGCAGAATCTTTGTACATGGCGCCTCCATTGAGTTATTAGGAAAAAAGTGGTCTCAGCGGAAGGCGCATTTTTCAGCCAAACCAGCCAAATTGGCAAGATTTTGTGTTGGCGAGAGGTCAAATTTTGCGCAAGCGCCTCAATCACGTGATCTGCCACGCGAGAGTGCTGATGCGTACAAGCTCCATGTTGGGCAAAATCCCGCCTGTCCACTGGCACTTAGTTTCTGCCCCTTGGGAATTGGCCTCGAGTGACTTCTCTGAATGAAGTGGCAAATGTAGAATCAAAACCAGGTTATATATACACTACTACAGCCTGCTGAGACATTTCTCAGCCTCCCCTCGACCTTAAACTTGGTACGGGCAAGCGAAATCCCTCAGATTTTGCGCCTCCCACGATCACGTGATGGCACTTACGTAAGAGTGCCCGTTCCTGGCGACCCCTGCCTTAGCCGAGAGCGGCGCCGTTTGGCAGTGCCCAGCGAAGCTCGCGGTACGGCACAGTGGAGACGAAACATGCGCCGAAAAACAAGGCTTTCCTGATGTGGCGTAACCAAGCGACCGAGGTCAGGAAGACGCGGGCCTCGGGGAACCAAGTTGCTCGACGCATTGTTTCGTCCTTCGAGTGATCTGGATATGCCCCGCGGCGTTCGGACCGAGCACAGCACTTGCTGTGGTAACGGTCATGATGACGACGGATCGTCTACTTGGCGGGCGTGCAGGCGGCTTGCCATCGTAGAAACTTATCTATGGGACTGGCCCGGCGCTGCGTAGGACGATGGCGTTGACGGCCCCACAAAGCCAGGAACATTACATCCGCGTGCCTTCAGGAGGATTGGAAACTTGAAGCGCGCCGGACGCCGGCGGGGTTGACGAATACTACGCGCTCGTGAAGACGATGGAGTAGAGGGATGGGCAGGCCATTGTATGGGTAGCCAAAGGCTGTGAAACATCCCGCAATTGTCAAATCAATTCACAGGCATCGAAATCACATTCGGGGGCAATTCCTGGACGACCGAATGCCGGGCGTCTTCCGACAAGCTCGGCCGTCCTCATTGGCTACGGCAGAGGCGCGGATGCAGCGCAGTTGTCTCGACGCTCAGCCGGTCGTCCAAGCCCTCTCCAGCTCGCCCTGCAAAGCATCATCCGGTATGCGCCTGGTAAACCGGAACGGTGCCGCTCTCTCATTGAACACCGGCAGGTCGTCTACATTTATCACAGGCACCGCTGCGCTAACCGCACGCATAGCGCTTTCCGACTCGGTCCTCCTGGAACGCTATTCAGCTGCCGTCCCCATTCTCCGCCGGTCTTCCAAAATCGCTGGATCGAGTGAAGCCGAGACCCACCCAGCGCAACGTGAACCTTGCTCGACAAATACAAGCTGCGCGCTTCTCGTAGCGCCAGTAAGAACATACTTGCACTCCAGCCCGGCCGCTCCTGCCTCCATTAGAACCGTTCGCAAGCGGCGCGTTACACGTCTAACATCTTATACGCCCTAGATTTTCCATTCTCAGCTCGCCCATTGACCTGGATCGTATCTGGGCGCCGGACCATCGTGACTTTGAACGTGGGTCGACGGTCCAGAACAAATAGCCCAACACCATCTCGCTTCCTTTCAGACACCACCTTTGGGCTATATAGTTCCATACGTTGTGCACCTGCTGTTTCGAACGATTTGCAGACCTCACAGCTCGGAAACTTGTGTCACTACCCCAGCGACTCAGACGCACAATGAACCAAACTTGCATAGCTTGCAGGCAAGCACTTTGCCCCTTCCGGTCCAATGACGTACTAATATCGAAACTCTAGATCGAGGAAAATGGTCAGGAAGCGTCCCGAGCACTGACATTTTACGCATCGACTGACGGATCAACTCGTAGCGCTGCGACGGCGAGGCCCCCGTCTGCGGTCCATGCTCGCGGGCTCGGAAGCCGATAGAGTGCACCTACACCAAGCCGCCGCAGACCGAACACAAGGCTGTCTTGCTCCCTAAGGGAGCGGCATGTCTACCCTGCAGGTCAGTTGGTTCAGCACATCGCCGCCGTAGATTTTTATCTCTTACAGCTGGGTTGACAGGCGCAAGAAGAAAGTGGGTCCGCTATCTTTCCTACGAAGATATGCTCTCAACCTCGATGCAGAAGTGCGATGCACAGCGACCTTTCTGTCAGACTTGTCACCTAGCGGGAAAACATCTTGACTGCGAGTATGAGGACGAGCTTAAGCAGAACTTTGCTACCACGCTATTGATGCGAACTCAGAAGTTGGAGGAGCGCCTTGCATTTTATAAATCACGGAAGAGCCACATGTCGCAACCGCCTACCTATGGGAGCGATGGCCCAACGGTCCTCGACGTGCCGTCGGCATTGCGCGACCTCGTGACGCCACCGCTTCCAGGGTTTGGTGCGTCATATCTATATTATTGTCGCCGCGCTTCTTACGTCGTTTCTTAGGACCAAACCCCTTTGCCACCGCATCGCCGACCCGATCCCTCCACTCAAGCTCTAGCGATGGATCCTCGTCCCAGTGGCACACTGCCTCTCCCTTCACTCAGGCCTCCCTCTCCGACGTGAGCGATCATAGCTCAGGCTCTCAGCACTTTGGACTCGTGTGTCAAAGCACATATCAGCTGTGAGTCGTTGTACCGTCAGCCAATGCCTCCTGATGTGTTGACGATCGTCGTCTTCGTCGTCTAGCCGTGCACTATTTCTATCTCACCACATCCAGCTGGGCTTCTACCTCCGAGAATCGAAACGAGAAGCAGTCCTAGCCGGCGACCTCTCAGGGCAAGTGGTCCACCCAGCAATCATTCACCTCTCTCAGCTAGTTGGAATTTATCTATGGAAGCTACACCACAAGACGGATGTCCTCGTCGTCTCTGAAGACGTCGAGATGTTGAAAGTCTTAAACGCTCTAGAGTATGCACCCGAGCCAGCGACATTGGTCACGATCTACATCGTCCTGGGAGAATATCTACTTTTCAAGCGGCAGCTCGATACTGGCCGGCAGTATCTCATCAAGGCCTCCAATGTAATGTCATTACAGGACTTGCAAACATCTACGCCAAGCCTGGACGCTCTACTCATGGTTGGTGAGCCCGAGGAAGACACAAAGGAGTATCTTACCGCTTTGGGACAACTCACCTACGTCGACAAGGCGACTAGCATGGTTATCGGGTGGACACCGTTTCTGGATCATGAGTATGAGAAGCAGCTGAAGCAGCTGGTGGTACGCGTTTGTTATCTCTGCTTGGTAGTCTGCCAATGCTGACCCTCAAGTGTAGTTGTCTCAACCATGGTTTGCCACACACTCCGCCGTCGCGCTGCGGTGCAAGAGCTTATTGTTGCTGCGGGAAGCGATGCGACTCTCACGTATACGAGCGTCAGCCGCAAGCAAGTCATCGGAGCGGCTAGAGACGGCCCTCCCTCTCGAGTGGTACACACAGTACTGGGAGATGCTAGAGGACACCTGGCGCCACATCGCGCTGCTCTATCCGCAGATGCTCCAGTCGAGCCTCTATCCAGACCTCGAGCAGCACACGCTCTGCTTGAAGACCTGTCTCATCGTCTCGCTCAGCGCGCAGATCGAGATGCACAACATGCCAAGCTTCTTCCACCTCGAGTCGCGCCAGAAGGCGCTGAGCACCGCCATCGAGGTCATCGGCCTGACGAAGGGCTGGAAGGAGGAGGACTACGCGATGCTCGAGCCGACACTCGGGGTGAGTTGCAGCAACACCGCCTCCAGCGACCCACACGCGATGTTGACGACCTGACATGCCAGATCTGCCACGGGATAGTCGCAAATGCGCTGCGCGACGATCGCAGACTGTACGCCGGCAGCCCAGACGAGTTCGTCAAGATACAGGAGGCCCTGGCCGTCCTGATCACGTCGACCACCTTGCTGGCGGACAAGATACCGTACCTCGGTGCGTTGTCTTTGTTCAGCAGCCGTCGATACTCCTGATGAAAGGCGATCTAGAGCCCACCCTACAGACCTTGCGCGAACTGGCGCGCGGGACCTGAGTTGACTGCCAAACAGGCTTTGCGGACCGAGACTGTAGCCATCCATTGTGTGATACCTCAGACACTTGTAATCACATATTACAAAACAGCATGCCGCGCGGTACATGTCCTGACGCCACGTCTAACAGCGCTGGGCACAGCGGCAACTCAGTCTATTCTCCTGTCTCCTGATTGTCCCGGCATACGGAGCGGAATCAGAGCTTCGGCCCGGACACAGACTGGTTCTGTGTCTGCTGGTACGGGTATGGAGGATAGCGCGGGCCAGCGAACGTCAGCGGCGGCATCATACCGGTCAACCACGTCGGGACGAACGACCCGGTGACGCCGGCAACGTGTGCGGGCGCAGGCTGGAGTGTGGGATCTGGCACAGGCGTACGAGAGGTAGACGACGTTGCAACGACCTGTGCGTTCCTGTCCATCATGATAGAGTGCATCTGCAGGGCGCGAGCGGGTGAGTACTTGGATGCGTGTGTCAGAGACAAACGAGCGAGCGGACCTGCATGCGCAAACCGTGTATCACGACCCGCAGACCACGGACTTCCTCGTTCAGACGCATCACCTCTGTCGCCAGCGCGACGTCTTGGCGCCGGGCGAGCGAATCGACGGCGTTGCTCAGCGTGACGATGCTCTCGCGCAGCGACAGTAGTGAGCGGTGCAGCGAGGTACTGATGTTGAGCGGCGCGACGGCCGGGACCTGCGGCGGAGAGATCGAAGATGAGGATGCGGGTGGTAGCGGACCAGACGGCAGGGCGTATGGAGAGGTGGATGGGTACATATGATCATGATATGGATACAAGTGGGATGATGGCGGAGAACGTGCCTGGGAGTTGCCAGTGGTGTCCGGGGGAACAAGAGTAGCGCCGTCGTGAGAAAACAAAACGTCGGCACCATTTGCCAACAGTTCACCGTCTTCTAGGCGCAGTTCTTCGATACCCTCTGGTGGGAAGTAAGACGCAATGTCCGGTACATCACCCGACGGACGTCGAGCCCCTGGGTGGCCTGTAGTATCTGAAGTACGTGGTGGACTGTGGAGTAAGGGAACGGTCGACAGCGGAGATGTGGAATTTTCGGGGTTGCCTCCGGTTGTACCACCAGGGCTCCTTGACTGCTGTGGTTGGGCAGCGGGTCGTTCGGCAGGAGGCGGCACCATTTCGGCGGTGTAGCGAGTCGTCGATGCAAAGAGGGTCTCATCTTGTCCGTGAAGCCTGTACCACGGCCCCAAGGCCCTCTTTGCTTCCTCGTTCTCTCTCCTCAAGACGTTCACTGAGCCCTCTAACGCTTCGATCTTGCGCTGCAGGATAGAGTTCTCGCCCGACAATGAAGTCATCTTCGACGAGAAGACGTCGAGAAAGCCTTTCATTGCTTCATAAGAGCATGAGCGCAGGTGTGATGCTAAATCTTCATGACTCCCGCTCCAAGTACACCCGTAGGAGTTATAGCAGCAACACGCAGCCGTGAAAGGGCACTCCTAATCTTGAAGGTCAAGCAAGGAGAAAATATACAAGGCGAATTGGCTTACGTCAGTTTCTACCTTGCTGTCTTCGCCTATTTCCTGATTTTTCTCCACCGCGGAAGAATGGGCATGATGCTTCGCATTCTTCCTCGTCACTTTCCTGTCACACGCTCCATCCGCACATTGCACTTCAACGAAATGGCACGAGTCCTTGAGATGGGACTCGACCAGCTGCCGTTGGGTGATATGGGGACATCCAAGGTGTCTTTGAGGGCAATTGACAGCGAGTTCGTCTACCAGCTATGTGCGCGGAGAGGCGCTTAGTCAGCTGCCTTGACCTGTAGCGCGAAGGACATACATTCCGGATGAGAGGGTCAGCCGGCGATAGATCGTCGACCGTCAAAGGACAGCGGTCGATAGGGCACTGGCTTGAGACGGAAAGCGCCCTGGTAATGCATTCTTCGCAGAATGTGTGGCAACACGTTCTCGCTTTGAGCGGTTCTAGGAAGGGTGCTCTAGGTCGGCCTAAGCGTCAGCCCTTGTTCAGCCTCCTGACTCAGCGAAGCCCATATACCTGCAGATGCAGCATATCTAAGGGGTATAGAGTCGTTAAATCAGCGACATTTTGCGAATTATCGCGGATGCGTACCAGATTGTCGTTGGGAGTGTCGACATAATTGAAGGAGCTCATGGCGCAGGTGAGAGCGTGATTGCCGCCAAGAGGACTCCGGCTTTCATGACGCAACGGCAATCAAATGCTAAGGAAAATGCCGAACGCCACGAAGCTTTTTTTGAGCGCCCATTCCCTCAGCCCAACGTCAATATCCAAGCCTTTTCTCTGCCATATCTTCCACATGACCCTTTGTCGTCTTGAAATGTTTGCACTAACCTACTATACGGCTTGCACACGTCTTGTCGTATCATTTGAAGAGCTGCGGCATTCATCTACTCTAGTACTCTTCGGTGAAAGTGACTACAAGTACAATGTACATGGATGCAAATTATACTGCATACCTGTCTCTCGGGCATAGCGAATTCATAAATATTTTAAGGCCTTGCACACAGGAGAAAGGGCATAGCTGCAACCCATTCTGAAATGCAAGGGCGAATGCATGTGCCTCTGTGTTGCCCGAGGTCTTTATCCGTTCATTCTGCCATCAAGTCATCTCAGTTGTACTCTTTTCTGAAAGATCAGTGCGTCTGCGTCTGCGGGCTGCGGAGAGCTCAACGACAGTTTGTTTAAAGAAACACTTGAGCGAGGCTTTCAAGAAGATTGTCGAATGCGGAGACCGCAGTTATTTAAAGTTTTGGCTGGGGCTGACTGAGATACCATACCCTGACGAATAAAGTTGAGGTTATCGCGGCGCTCAATCAAGATCAGATACTCTATCAAAACCCCCTTGTGGTTCCGTTGTTGCGTTTCTAATATTATTACGACGCGCGATCTGATCGTTGGTATTGGCATCTGTGAGTATATTAGTTTAAGAACGTTTCTCTCAGAAGATCCAGCTCCCCGTGATTTGATATTTACACTGAATTCGGCACAAGAATGTCGAGCCGCGAGCGGCACGCAAGCCTTCTTTCGATGTTCATGCCTCGTCCCTCTCGCCGCTAGTACGCCCAATATCCACCAGTCATCTGGACTGTGATCAGTTGCAAAGAGACTGAAAGGCGTTGGACAGAAGCTGCAGAGCACGCGTCTGCGTATAAAACTTCGCGCAAAGTTGACATATATATGATCGTTGAGCTGTCTCCTGGCGTGAGTATTCGGTGATTCTGGCAGCGATGAGCTCAAAGTCTAAGCGGACTTATTGAGCTTCGCCTTCTGTATTAATATAGTATTAGTAGAATAATTCCGTCTGTATGCAAGCCTCGGTGAATCATCTAAAGCTTTTACTTGTTTAGAAGTTCCGAAACCTCTGCTCTGGGGCCAAGCCCAAAGCGCCCAGTTATGATAGACGCTGGGCTCAAGATTGATCGAGGGACGGAGTCCGAGGGCTGAGCCAGTCGCGTCTTGCTTTGCTTTCAACGTCTCAGTCGACCTCAGCCCGCCCTTCACGGGGTGAGCTGGCACATACGCACGACTCGTACACTCTCATTCTCAGTGTATCCGGATGCCGAGCACGATGCCATTGCCTGCGCACACACTCGACCATCGCGACCGCAGCTCGCACAAGTCCCGAAACAGCGATGGTGCAGCCTCTGTCGTGTCAAATGCCGCTCCGTCTACAACAACTGCCTACCTCAGTGGAGTGACTTTGATTGACCGGGACGCACAGGGAGACGAAGGGAACCCAGCAGACCGGGTATTTAGCCACATTCCCCTGCTTTACAGTATATTGACATGACGCGCATGCGGGCAGCTGCAAACTCTCAACACCCAGCTCCAAGTGGAGAACCGTATTAAGGAAGGGGCAGAGAACCTACTTCAGATGCCGTTGGAGGTCTGTCTTCCAATGCTTATCTATTGTGAGGAATATCGTAAACAGACTTGTCACGAAGGAAAATCTGCGCTTGCAAGTGGAAGAAGAGCTGGAGATGGCAAGGAGTAAAATCGATGCTATACAGAAAAAGATAGAGTCACGTATGTCTAGCAACGTCGTTCGGCTTCCTGTACTCATCTTGATGCAGACAATACCCGAGGAGTGCGTAGAGCTGCTAATGGCTCGGAAAGTGCAAAGCGGAAGTTCAATGGAACACCCTTGGCTGGTCTTTCTGTCAAAACGAAAGATGACACAGAGGAGAGAGGTACGTTCAAGACATCTGTACTAAGACCCTGATGTTGAACTGTGGCAGAGGACTTCCGCACCGCTCTACAGCAAGCAAGCAGCTACATTCGCACTTTGCATAAGCTGTCGAGCCAGAGCGGAACAAGATCGCCTCCGGACTCTCCGTCATCTTCCAATCCCACTGCACCTACAGACTCCGAAATTAGTCGTATGCGTATCGAGGCCATGAATCAGCTGACGAACGTCTTACAGCGTAATCTTCGTGTCCGATACGAGATGAACATTCCCGATGTCGTACAAGCGTGAGCTCGGTACAACTACTAGCTATACCTGCCCCATGACCCGTCTACTACAGAATCACACCCGCATTGTCAGATCGTGCCACCAAGCACGGCCGGGCTATGGCCTACCGACTCATCCGGCATATGCTAGTCAACCCACCGTCTGTGGAGAAGCTTCAGGAGCAGTCGCTGGACTGGTACATAGTCAAGTATGCACGACTACCTTTTCGCGCACTCTCCCACCTAACTGCGCGTACTAGGTCCTTGGCACGCGACTCTAAGCATGCGGTTGAGAAAGAGCAAGTAATTAAACTTATACGAACCATCGTTGAAATAGGCTCGTCGCGCCGTGGCCCCGGGGCCGCTGTTGGCTGCGGCACTGTTCCTTTGTCGGACGCGGTTATGCGGGCACTCATGGCAGTTGCGGAACAGCCAGACGAACCCTTTAAGCTCATCTGCTTGCAAACATTGACGGAAATTTGTACGTACGCTTCCACAACACGAAGATATACGCGTCATTGATAAGTTGACTGTGGTACAGTGCTTATCGATGTGGCGTTAGTCGCCAGAACGGGTGGCATTCGTCTACTTCTGCATGCACTGTCTGAAGGCCCCATTGAGATGGCCCCGATGATCTCGTCTGCTTTCCTTTACATTGCTGACTCTCCGAGAACAAGGGCATTCCTCCACCCGGGAACAGACCTGGAGGTATACTTTGTGTCAGGATGTGCGCTGGTACAAACTAACGTGCTGAACCCGCTTAGATGGCTCTGTCTGGCGTGACAGACGCCTATGGCAAGGGCACGGAGCATGCCGATAGGATGAGAGCCAGTACGAAAATCATAGCTTCAATGCTGCGGACATGGAGTGGTGCGTATGATACTTGCATCAAATTCCTCGCCAAATGACGTATGTTTGGGCAAGGTTTGCTCTATTTCTGTGTACACGACAAAATTGCTTTACGCGCCGTCGTGGATGGCCTTCGAATACCTTCTCTCCAAACCAGGGTGAGTTCCTTTGTATCAGTATACGTCGAACGCTTCTCGACCTAGCCTACAGGAGATTATTCTCGACATGTTCTTCGACCTCTTCAACATCAAGCCGCCGGAATGGCACCAGGCATTTATTGATGGGCGACGCCTGACAAGTATGAATCTTGGGTTCAACATCTGCAGTCATCAAGGTTCCTGAACCACCTATTAGTGTATCGTAGGACACGAAGAAACGTCGAGTCGAAGCCAGCTGAGGCATCGCACAAGCAGCAGGACACACTGAAACTTACGGAGCAGTACATCGGTCTGCTGATCCTTGTGTTCACTAGCGCGGGGCTGATGGACGTACGTATACTTGCCGGAACGAAATAAGATGACGATCCTGACGCGACCTGTACAGGCTTTGACGGCAATGCTAGAGGAGACGACGCTGGAGGAGGAGCCGACGCAGACTGGAACCAATCTGCATCGCAAGGCTACTTTACTCATTGCAGAGATCCTGCATACCGCCAATCGCGTGCTGCCACTATCGATGGCGGCGAAGATACAGGTAGGTTCGAGTGCGGCGATGCGTCCATCACAGAACTCAAGAATGATGCCTGGAAGGCTCTGCCGAGAGTCTTCACTCTTGCTTCAGATTATGATCAAGGAAACAGTCGTGCGATAGGCACTTCGACGTTGTCGGCCATTGACAGTTATAACCGTCATCGTATGCGCCTGCAGCCAGCGGTGGTCAAAGATTCATCGCGGCCGAGGTGCGACTCGACAGTATTGTTCTAGCGTATTCAGGATTAAATATCAGGTCTAGAGCGAACTCCGTCGAGGACGCCATCAGACGCGGCCAGAAGCAAGTCGAGCAAGCAAAGATCAAGCAAGGTTTGCAAATGGACGACAAGACGTTCCAGACACTGCTACTTGACAGCCAGGTTATGACGACAAAGGATCAGACAAAGTGGAACTTTGATGTCTTGCAGGACCTCATGGAAGGGCCGTTCCTGAACCCCAAGCGCATGGAGGAAGCGATCAAGGTCTCGCGCTACGTACGCAAGCTCATCTCATTCTTTCACCCGTTCAGCCGCCGCTTCTCCGACTTGGCAAAATCGAAGTCGAACATAAGGTGGATTAAGCTTGGTTGCTTGCTCATGAACGCGTTGCTTGCGAGTTCGGAGGGGACGCGCTTCTTGCAGGAAGATGAGCTACTCGGGCAGATTTTGAAGAGTTTTGCACAGCTTGACCCAGTGAGTGCAGGTTGAGCAGCTTCCTAGAGGGTGAAAACTTACGTGAACGGCTCTTTACCTACAGTCTAATGCATTGCAGAATCAAGATGCCTTATTTTCTAAGCGGCGGATGCTGGAGACGCTTACCTATGGCTACTTCGAGATGCTAGGGACGCTCAGCAAGCGCAAGGAGGGCCTAGAGTGCGCCTTTGCTTGCTTTTTTGAATTTTGTGTTCGCTGATAAACTTCTAAGGCTCCTGGAGAGATTCAAGTTCTTCACTGCCTTCTACCACCTCACAGAGCTAAGGGACAGACAAGATCTGATCAAAGCCATGATTGAACACCTCGACTACTCGATGTAAGCGATATATTTGTGCTCAAGAGCTATAAAATCTCATATTTCTTCCAGTGACGGCCATGCACGTATTGTGCTCGCTAAGGCGCTGACGTCGAGCTACCGCGAGATTCGCCTTTTTGCGACCAACCACCTTGGCGAACTGATCCGCGGAAGTTCGCAGGCAAACGCATGGGCTCTGCGTCTACTGCTTACGCAGCTGTACGACCCGGACATGGTAGTGCAGGAGGTCGCTGTGCGGTACCTCGAGGAGGCATGTGAGTCGCTAAATGTGCTTGAGATGGTCGTGGAGATGCATCCGACGCTCGAGCATCTGGGCGACATTGGGCATCCACTATTGCTTAAGTGAGTCGAGACACCTCGTGAATATGTCTGGAACTGACGAGGGCTGGAAGGTTTATGTCTACCACCTTGGGCTTTCGGTATCTATATGCGGCAGATTACATCGACCGGGAGATGGATGCCTGGTTTCATGTGCGCACACTGAGAGTGGCCGCTTTCATTCGCTGACGAGCGTCTAGGAGCGCAACCTTCACTACGTCGTGCATATTGAGGTCTTCCTTGCCAAGGCGTTCGGCTTCGCCCCGTCGGACACAGAAGATACCAACATGTAAGCCGCACATCTTGTCATAAGCACCCTTCTTGACTGCGGGCATCTCTGATAGGGCCGAATCGGTCATTCCCCCTCATTTTTACGGCGTGATGGCAAAGACTGAGCTCGGATGCCAAGTCTTGCAGGAAAAGGGCCACTTCTCCGAGTTTGCGCAGATTATACGGCGACATGGCCTAGAGAGCGAAGATCAAGACCTGATACTAAAGCTCAAGAGCATACTTTGGGCAGTGGTATGTAGTACCCGGACATCCATTTCTGTCGCTAACTTACTGGTCACCATACAGGGAAACATTGGCTCAACAGAACGAGGGCTACCATTCCTGGAGGAAGAGGAGATCATCCCTACGATCTTGGAGATTGCGGAGCAGTCTCTGGTGCTGTCTGTACGAGGGTGAGCACAGCGCCGAGCTGTCATGTTGCTTCTCATGAGTCATTCGCGCAGGACGTCTTCCTTCGTTCTGGGGCTCATATCGTCAACCCCACAAGGAGCAGAGGTGTTAGACGACTATCATTGGGAGGCGGCGCTTTCACCACTTGGACTGCCTACCGGAATGTGCGTGCCGGCGAACGTCGAGCGGCTAATCTCAGTAGGTCTTCGTCACGGTCTGCACGGAGCGATCCTGATAAAACCACAGATACCTTCGTGGGAGCCAATAGACGTGCTGGCAGAGGACCAACCACGTCTCCAGGCACCAGCAACAGAGGAAGAGAACGAGGTTCTCACGGCCATATACAATCTGGCGAACACTGTCATTGCCAACGCAGCATCGCGAACGCTTGCTCGGTGTGTATACTCCATCCACACACGAATTAAGCCCGTAGTTGCTGACCATTCTCAGCATGAAATCCCGCTCAAAGTACAAGCACATCTTCGCATCGACGAGTATGCTCTACCGCGCACTTCAAACCATTTCCTCACAGCGCTACCGACTCCCGGTGCGGAGATACATCATAGACCTCTTCAGCATCGAGCTCGACGACGCTGTCGTGAAGCGGCTCTCAGAACATGCGGTCAAGCTGCGCATTAAGTCGACGTCGGGCGGTGCAACCACGCGGACCTCACGCGCCGTGAGCATCATCGGGCGGCCGGTGCGGCACCGCCAGATGAGCGACAGCGACGATAATTCGATGTCGGAGGATGAGGAGCCGCCCGACGTGAAGCAGTATCCGATCGTCAAGGCACGCCCAAAGAGCCAGATCGTCGGTTTTGACAAGGCAAACGAGTCGTAGCCGGCGACCAACGATTGAGTGACGACCTTTGAGACGACACAACGACGACGATATGGCATGATTTCTTCTTGGTAAAAGGATTTGGATTTTAACGCGTCATCTTCTGACATGTACTCACCGCATTCATGCATGTTTCTATACCATCGCAGGCAATGAGAGAGCATTTGATGTTAAAAACGGACGTGAGTGTGAAAGAGGCAAATTCGTGCACGAGGAGTAGTAGAGTCTACTTGGTCCTGCAGATGCGCAGCTTGTTGGGCTTGTAGACGTAGTTCTCCGCGTAGTTCTTTGGAGGAATGCGCTTGACCTCAGGCTGCTGACTGTAGATATTCTGTGAGTGAAAGCGGAACTTGCATACGAGCTTTGTAGAGCGTACACGAAGTAGTCCCAACCTGTTCCAGAGTTAGATGAACACAAGATGAACACAAAATTCCATGCTCGCCTTGTTTCTCGGCGAAGTGAGCAGCGTCCTCTTTGGTCTGGAAGGAAAGACGAGTGCCTTGCATGTAGTCGGCGCTTTGTGCGTAGTCAGCGCGATATGCGGGTCACGTCCCGACCTCCACTCACGAAGATGCCCAGCCCATCAAAGGGTTCTCCCAGCGGCCACCTCCCTGCAAGATTTCCCAGTCGATTCGCCAGCGGTGGGACTTGCCGCTTCCGCTCTGTGTAGTGCTTCGTGTGGGCTGGAAGATGCGGACGGGTCGGCGGCGGAGCTCAGCTTGGGGAATGACAATACATCAGCCATAGGTATGAAATATATATGTTAGGGACTCTACCAGGGGCGCCGCTGACGACCTCTGCGGCAGTGACCTCCGCGGCGGGAGCACCGGGAACAACGTCTGCTGGGGGCCTCTGGGTGATGTTTCCAGCAGGGCCCTCGTTGGAGTGCATCCTGGCAGCGGAGCAGACGCGCTGTGGCAGGGCCCTGTTGAGAGCCTGCCGGCATGGTTGAAGGAGAGACATGGTGAACGAACGAGAAGCCTTGGCTGCAACAGTGCAGGCGGACTCGGGGCAGTCCGCCAGCGAAGATCGGTTCGTTTGTTGGCACTGATGTCTCAGACGCCCGAGCGAAACCAGCCTCGCGTGTTGCCGATCAGCGAAGGTGGTCGGAAACGATATTCTTTCGTGCTGTCTTGTCTCTCCCTGTCTTCGCCCATGCGGCAGAGCACTCACGACGGATGGCCACCATTCAGAATCGGCCATTCTCGAAGGACTACAGGCATGTTTCCTCCCTCTCGCAGGCATAGAGCAGAACTGATGATGCTTTCATACGACAGCGGACTCATTAACCAGTCTGTCATAGCGGTGGGAATATTCGTCGTCGCCTTTGCTTTTCATGAACATTCCAAGCGCAAGAGGCGCGGTCCCAATTCAGCCAAAGACCTGGGGAGCGTAGAGAGCTGGCAGTTTGGATAGTGAGTCCTTCAGCCTACCTGCTGTCCCAGAGAGGCTGACTACTCTCCGAGTCTCTACCAAGCTAGGTCTTGGGCCAAGTACACAGCCTGTCAACTTGTCTTGCTATCAATTGTTAATTGATATTTTGCACAGGAAACCGTCACCGCCGATCTCCCAAGGTTGGCCACTTTCATGGATTCATCAAGCCTTGACACTTCCTGAGAGCAAATTCCTTGAGCTGCGAGGCATAGACGCGTCGCTATACGTGCGACTTCTACAGGGATGCGGTAAGTTTCCATTTCTGTTACAGATCCCTTCGATCTCACTATCGAGTCTTCGTCAGTGCGCTTTACCTTGGTGCAAACTTTGACAACGTTCCCCATCCTATTGCCCATTCATATCATATTCGCCGACAGTTCAGTTTCCACCAAATCCATGACCCGTGCCTCGATAACGTCTCTGGTCAACTCGGTCAAGGGCACTTCACTCCTCTGGATACATCTCCTTCTGCTCATCTGGCTGACCGTCAGCTGGGTGGGCACTTTGTATTGGATAATCCGCGGCGCATTCAACTTCCGGGCCGCCAAAATTAGGGAAACTGCAGAGCATGTAGCCAATCAGAGGCAGGAGGAGAATGAGTCTCAATACCATCCACATCCACATCCAAATTACCCCTTCCAGGCTCTTCCTTCCTTGGACGACGATCATTCAACTCGGGGGATGCGCACACGCACGATCATGGTCACGGATATCCCTACCGGTCTCCGCTCCGAGAAAGAGCTGAAAGAGTACTTCGAGTACTACATGTCCCGTTCCATCCCGAAGCCGAGCACGGGTATGACCTCGTCCGCTCAACCAGGCTACTTGGACAGATCTGCCGCCTTCATATTTAATAAAGGCGTGCAACTGATCTCCCGCGTGTTCGAGGTTCGGACACGATCCTCAACGAACGATACCACAGACACAGAGGTGGACACCAAGCAGGCTTCGCACGACGCGCCCGTGATCGAGCGCGTCATACTGGTGCGAAATATGACTGAACTTGCGACCCTACTTGGGCGCCGTGAAGAGGTTTTGCGCTACCTAGAGACAGCGCATATCAAGCTCGCGCGCAACGCACTCGAGGCAGTCGACGAAATTGTCAATGCTCCGAAACCGACTGTTATCCGCTCCGTCGCGTCTCGTGTCTCGTTCGGCTTGATCTCGCGTGGGTCGCCTACCGGTTCTCTAGACGTTGAACGCGCAACCGATAGGGAGGTGGAGACGGAGGATCGGATGCGACTGCTAGTTCGCACTCTTAGCCCCTACCTGCCGGAGCATAAGCCCAGGCCTAGTATCGCGCAATGCCTTCGCTCTCTCTTCTTCCCGCATCCAACGACGAACCCCGACCCTTCGGTAGGCGAGCCACAGAAGTCGGGACGACAGCCTGAACGAAAGACTGTCTGGGAAGCGCTGCTCAGTCTCCCGCGGAGCACCCTGGACACCTATCAGCCGTTGATCCACCTCTCTGCGCTTTTTAGGGGGAAGACAGTACCAGCGATCGACTACTATACCGCGAAGCTGAATTTACTCACGGGCTTGATCACTGAAGAGCGCTCGCTTCCCCCTCACGAGTTCACGCCGATGTCGACGGCATTCGTCACGTTTGCAGACCCAGTAGACGCGCGGCGGGCCTCCAAATATCTCGCGGTGCATCCGAATAACCCTGTCAGTGTATGCTTGGCCAGTATGGCCCCGTCGTACGAGGACCTGGACTGGACGCGGTTGATGAAGTCAACATATTATATGGAGGTGAGGCTATGACGATGTGTCTGCGCTTCCCAGATATTGACAAGTGCATACAGTTCGTGAAGGATTGGGTGGTAGATCTTGGCGTGTGGGGTTTCACGATCTTTTGGGTTTTCCCGGTGTCGAGCATAGTAGGTCTGGTGTCGATTCAGAACATCGGCGCCTTTTGGCCTGCCCTGGTAAGTCACATCTCTTGGTCGCTTTCGCTGACAGCTGATAATACTATTAGAAAAACTATCTGGATGTTCACGAGTGGCAGTCCGAAGTCTTAGAATCCCTTGTACCGACTGTGCTTGTCGCCTTGCTATCACTTCTTATTCCACTCCTCCTTCGTAAGTCTCGGCGCCCGCGGTTGATGCCCTCGCTCTAACTTCTTGCCACCAGTTCTCATAGCGAAGAAAGCTCAGACGATCGTCACGCTCTCCGCCCTGCACGATCGCATTATGGCACGCTATTACAAATTTCTGATCGTCAACGTTCTCGTCTTCTTCTGTGTCGGCACAACAGCGCTTCAGTCATTTTTGGTATCATTCCAGTCGGTCGCTGGCAATCAATTAATCCAGGTCGTGGCCAATAGTTTCCCCACTGCAGGGCCTTTCTATGTTGGCTGGAGTGAGTGGGAGTTACCAAGCTTTGAACTGGTCGCTTATCAGAATTGTAGTGATCTTTAACATGGGTATACACGGAGGACTTGAAATCGCACTTTGTAAGTTTTCTGAGCTGGGGACGCATGTCGTTGACTGACCATGGTAGTCGGTCTACCTCTTCTATTGTATCCGAGCACCAAGCATCAGGTCACGCCCAGGAAGCGAGCAGTCGGTATCCGACCGCGCACGTACAACTTCTACTGTGAGTCTTCCCTTCGCAGGAACGATTCGATGAGTGCTCACCATTACCATCGTAGATTGGTTGCCCAATCACCTGCTCGTCATCCACGTTCTCCTCCTGTTTGCTGTTCTGAACCCTCTTGTCTTACCGTTTGGCCTGTTGTATTTTTGTGTGGAAGCAGGTACATTTCCTCTTCTTGTTGTCATGCAGTCATGTTGACGTACGCCCAGTTGTTGTTAAGAATCAGGTGTGCCAATTCCTCATTTACGGTTACAGATCCCCGTGCTAAACCGTGAATTAGCTGTTACATGTTTATGCAAAGAACTATGAGGGCAATGGCCAGACACTACTTATCAGGTTAATACGTTATTCCTTGGATGGTACGTCAATCAGCCCAGGTTTACGAGTCAAAGGTTGAAATGCCCCTTGCTAGGCCTTACATTGGCACAGTCCGCTTTCCTCGCTTATATGGCTGTACTCAAGCAGAAGGCCAATGTTGGCGTCTCCGCTGTCTTAATTATATTGACGGTATTCATGAAGATCATGTACGCTGTTTCCTTCTTCAGCAGGGCCCCAGCGCCTGACAAACTATATTCTCTTGCAGCTTGACACGATTTTGTCGCGCGAAATTCGAGCGCGACGATCTGTTGGAAGCTCAGATTATGCGTGGGTCATCAGCTCTTGATGATTCTCCTCCATTGCCGGAGTACCCCAACGAGGAGGCGAAGGGCGAGAAAGGAAAGTTACCCGAAGGTCGTTCGCGGATCCAACACTGGACGTGGAAACTATCCAACCGAGTCGGCATGTCCTACCGTACCATAATACATCGCCAGCACAATCACCAGCGACCCTCGAATCCCTTCACTCACCCTTATGCGGAATCTACTATACCTACAGAACCCTGCTCCTCCACCGCCGAATTGCTCACGAAGATCAACACGACTGCATCGACTGCTATGGTTACCGGCGAGCCTCTTCAGGAAAGTCCGACTGAAGAGGATCCACGACCATTTCAAGGCGACACCCGATCGACGCTGGTCGTCAGCCACCCACCCCACCCTGTGTGGGATGATGATTCCAGTCCAGACATCCCGTACGACAACCCCTATTACACCCGCCCTATCAGCAATACTCTGTGGCTGCCGCGGGACCCGCTTGGCATCCTTCATCTTGATGACACCATCGATCTGCGTATGGCACTGACGAGCGAGTCAAGTGGTGGTAAGCTCGGCGGGTGGCATGAGGATGAATTCCTCTGCAGCGCGATCTCGTCCGCTTTCGTTACGAGTTTCGGCAGCGTGGATGGCGAATTTGAATCGATCCAGCTACCACAGCATGCTGAAGATGGCGAAGTGCTCGAACCGCCTCCTAGCGGTACATCGAGAACAGGCACTGTTGAGCGCCCTCGTACCGCCGATGACGGTGCGCGGAAACCCTCTCTGCCTCCTCCCAGGAGGCCGAGCCATGCTAGCGAGCTCGGTGACCAAGCCTCTAACTCTGACTTCCAACGGACATCACCTCTACGAGAGAGACAGTCTTCAACTGGTTTCAGGTCCTTCTCTCTGGGGGTGGATGCACCGGCTGCTCGACCAGTGCCGTCGCATCTCCCGATATCTGACACCATGCACTGGCGACAACGCTCTTCTTCCGTGGATACACCAAGCATGGACCCATTATCCACTTCACGCTCACAGTTCAGCGCTGGTTCGCAAGGTCTGCGCTCTATCATCAGGTCGCAGACCATCGTGGTCCCGAATTCGGCGACATCTCAGGCTGATCAGAGTATGATCTCCACGCGCGAGGTCGTCGTCAGCGAGGCGATTGCGGAAGAGCAAATTGCCGCGCAGCGGAGACAGCGCCAAGAAGCAGCTGACGAGGTAAAGGCGAAGGAACCCCGGTCGTGGTTGACATCGTGGCTCTATGCGAAGGGCTAATAAGGACGCTATAATGACCCGTGACGATTCGCCCCCACACTCATGTTGGATACATCACTATCATGTAACTTATTTGTACCTCCAGAGTCGTTAATTCTCGGAGGCTGCAGTCATGTTCCGTAAGGCCTGCCAAACACGCGTGTCTTCGAAACATCCTACATTCTTCCGAGTACGCCTCTGGTACGTCCACTTTGGCGGACGTCGTGACCAGGCGTGATTGCCTCGCGGATAATTCGCTAGCGTACCCGACGTCCGAAAATTATCCAATTTAGAAGGCGGGCTATTCTCGCTTTGTGCGTTGAGGCCGATGTCGACAGCTCTCTGCCCCGAGGTTCGTACGGGGCGGTACATATAGCATGCGGGTAGCCTAGGTGCTGGTCACCTATCCTCGGTGCGAACGAAGGCAAAAATGAAGTACTCGGCACGCGTCGCCTCTGTCCTCGGTCTCATCGCCGGCGCGAAGGCGGGCACGACCATCTGGTCTGGCTCTTTCAACAGCTATCCTAACGTTAGCGCTTTCGACAACTGTAGGCAGTCCCTGACGGCAGGGTTTACTGAATATGGACTGACATGTTTACAGGGTCGTGGTCAAATGAAGTTGGAGAATACCAATGGGTATGCATTCCGCTTTTATGACGAAGGTCATCAGTGACCTCTAGTACGTAGTACATCCATGGGACGGAGCCTACGAGTCACTACCTCGCTCTGGACCCAAGCTACAAGAACCCCGCTGACACCTCTGAGACCAATGGTCTGCGCATGACCATTGATTCTACTGCACAATGGAATTCGCAGATGGAGAGGTAGGTTCGGACACGGCTCCTGTTCACAGCGGATGCTCAAGTAGAGATGCAGGTCGGAACTCATCCCGCAGACGACCCAGAACTTGGGTACGGGCGAGCTCTACTACCACTTCTCCATCATGCAGGACGGTACCAACCCGCCAGACGTGAGCTGCTATCCTTGTTCTCGTTTGAAGACATAACTTACTACTTACATCCCTCTTAGTCCACCTTGGAACATCAGATCTTCTTCTTCGAGTCACACTTTACTCAGGTGAGCTGATCTCATCCTCGTTCCACTAAGCCCTCTGATGTTGTCTGCCAGCTGAAATATGGTGTCAGTCCGAGCCCGACCGACTTGCAGTGGATGATCCAGGATACGCCGTACTGGAGTGCTCCCTTCACCGCAGGCACCTGGTTCAACTTCGCATACGACATTGATGTGCGTTACACTGCCTAGCTGTACCACCAAGCGTGCTGAGACCTTCCCCAGTTCGATGCTGGTACCGTCGGGCTCTGGGCCTCCACCGGCTCAGACCCTCTCACGAAGGTCGTGGACAACATCGCGACGTCCACCTCGACCAACTCTGAGGACTTCCACGTCGGTATCCTGCGCCTCGTCAACGGGCCTGGTCAGGAGGACTACTACGTCTCTGGCGTCTACGTCGAGTCTGGCCCCATCACGACGGCCATCGGCGACGGCTCTGCTCCGCCGCCGCCGGCCAGTGGGTCGGGCACGACCTCCGTCGCTCCTACAACTTCCGTCGGGCCGACGACGACCGTCCCGCCGCCTCCGACAACCACCACGCCCGTCACGGGCCCGGCGCAGACCCAGTACGGGCAGTGCGGTGGTAAGTATTCAAGTTGTAGCGCATTAGACATGGGTTAACGGGGCTGTGTAGGCACCGGCTACACTGGCCCTACCACTTGTGCATCGCCCTTCACATGCGAGGCTATTTCCCCGCCATACTACTATCAGGCAAGTCTCAAGACATACATCGAGAGATACGTTGACTGACATTTTACAGTGCCTGTGAACATCGGAAGGCCGTAAACGTTTTACTATTTAGGAAGCGTGTAAAAAGATCGACTGCTTATGCCGTTTCTGAACGCGATTTTGCACTGGTCCTGAGTCCCGCTTGAAGTCGCTTGAGTAGACGAACATATTAAGCTGTCAAGCCTAAGGTACGATTAGAGATGGTATTGTTTGCGATGATAGCTGGCATACCTATCACACCACACGCCGCTCTGGCACCGGCATTGCCGGTTTTCAGAGACTCTTCGTCATTGCCGCGGCCGAGATCATCGGTTCCCTGCGAATGGCTGCGCTGAGTCTAAGTGCCTCTTTCATTATTCTGTCACCTACCGCATGCAAGACAACAGAGCGCCTTCGAAGAAGGTCAGATATAGCTGGATAACTAGTCGACTTTACTAGAGCTTACCCTACGATACTGAGTGGGCCATTCAAAGAGATAAGCTTGTCTTCAAAGTTGAACCTGGCAACGCCGTCCTCGTTGCCCTCAATGTTGCCAAGGTCGCCGACATGCCGCTCATTGTCACCAGGGGCACCGTGGTTCTTGTTGAATGGATTGAAATGGGCCCCAGCGGAGGCACATCCGTTGGATAGGTCTCCCGAGACACTATGGCACCCGGTAAGGGAGCGAAACGACCTACGCAATCTGAAGAGACGTACTGAATATGGAAGCCACGCTTGGACGAGGGGTCCAAATTCTTCAGATCACCCGTGATTGACACAGGGCCAAGCGGTGTGGACTGCTCGAAGGTGACAGTGCCGGTCACGTCAGAGTCGCCGCTGAGTACGGTAACGGCCTGCAGGCTTCTTTCGGTAAATGGTCTGAAGGACGTGTATGAAGCGTACCTTGGTCACTACCGGCACCGGTGCGGACGCGGTGGGTCGCATGAGCAGCCAGAGCACGACCACTCCGGCGATGACGCCGAGCACGGTGAACAGCGCCTTGTTTTGTACCGGTTTCGACCTTGAGTTATAGGTGTCCATGGCAGCCTGTCCGTCTTCAAGGTGGTTGTGGAAAGAGAGACATTTTCACACATCGCTCCAGGCGGGCTGACGGAGTCTGATTCCCAGGAGCATCGCGCGCAGAGTCGTCATCGCGCCTAGAGCGGATATCTGATCCGGAAAGTGTCCGCACGTGTATGGCAGGTCCTGTTGTACACCCCCGAAAGTAAGCAACCGGCTTCTTACCGGTTTCTTACTATTTGTTACCCCCTTACGAGCTCGGACCACAGATTTTGTTACTCCCGCTTGGAGACGCTGCTCGGCTGGCGCAGTCCCTGTGTGCTTAAACGACACACTCGTTCTTCAACCCCAGCTGTTTCACTATGCTAGCTCGTCATCGCTCTCGTGTAAGGTGCAATAGGCTTTGTGGCGTTTGAGTGTCTGAGCGGAAGCACAGTCGTTCGAGGACTTGATATCGACGACTCGGCGAAGCGCGCCGCGGCGTCGATTCTCGCTTTCCCCCGCGACCATGGGTGACTCGTTTGACCTTATGATTCTGCTCTCGCTAACTGCAAGGTATGGGTGTTAATAATTCGCAAGGTTAATACATCGTGTGCTAATCTTCCGTTAGTACACTGACTCCATCGCAATTAGAGTGCCCGGATTCCACTGCAGATCGGCGCGTGCCCATTCGCTTAAAAGAGCTGCTTTGTCAGTATATTATATCTCGTAAGTCTTGTTATGATATTCGGCGTTGCACACCGACAAACAAAGAAAATTCCTATCACGAGGGCGGGATGATGAAGGTAAGCGTCCTCCATGCATCAAACTGTCGACTCTCAAATCCAATTGGGAACAGCCAGCCTGAGAGCAGCTCTTTTGTGGAGTCTTGCCTCGAGGGTCGTTGGTAAGCCTTTTAGCTGACAAATGCTCGGAAGGCCGGCAGCCGCGGGCATCGAAACCTGGAAGCGATGGCGACAATCAAAGTTTGCAGCGCACGGGCAGGGTTCCGACGCATCGCGAGCCGCATTTTGCAGTCCGAGGACGCGCCATCGACATTTCCGTCGCTCCACAAAGACTCATGCATGCAGCACCCCAGGACACTTAAGGATGAATGTAACGCGGTGGGTGAATACTCGCTGGCGCCACAGCGATGGTTAGCTGCTCATGTGTACACTCGCAGTAGTTTATTCCACCCGATCTTGGAAGCAGCAGGTACCAAGCGATTTGGGACTCTGGGAAAAGACGCCTCGCCTAGATGATGTGCTTACAATATCAATGCTTACAGAGCAGACAGGCAGGATCTTGATCTTTCCGAGGTACGTACGTCCATAGATGCTCTCGAGCCGCAGGGCGTATTTAAGGAGCCGTCAACTCGGTACAGAGACTCCAGCTCCCTTTCCACATCCGCAAAACCTCGTCGTCGACATCTCTTCCGCCTCTTGCGCACCAACCATGTCTCACGGCAAGCAGTTCACTCTCTTCTCTCACAAAGGTGGTCCGAACGGGTGGTAAATCTTATCTCCTATAGCTTTGCAGCGATACGGTACTGATCGCGTTTTCACACTCACAGGAAGGTTGCCTTCATCTTTGAGGAGCTCGGCCTGACCTACGAGTCTATCTACTTCGACTTTCAGAAGAATGAGCAAAAAGCTCCGGAGTTCACCAAGTATAACCCTAACGGACGCATCCCTGCAATCATCGATCACGGCAACAACGACTTCGTGGTCTGGTAGGTCACCTTAAGTCGTCTACGCATTCCACCGGACTAACATGTACACATTGAAAAGGGAGTCCAACGCGATCACCCAGTACATCGTCGACAAGTACGACAAGCAGCGCAAGCTATCGATCGCGCCGGGCACCGATGATTACTATGCCCAGCTCCAGTGGTTGTACTTCCAGGCGTCCGGCCAGGGCCCGTACTTTGGTCAGGTCGGCTGGTTCACCTTTTACCACCCGGAGAAGGTCCCGAGCGCAGTGGAGCGGTACAGGAACGAGACCAAGCGTGTGTTCGGTGTGCTCGAGAGTGTGCTGTCGAAGCAGGAGTGGCTTGTCGGCGATAGGCTGACCGTCGCGGATATCTCCTTTGTCCCGTAAGTGCATGCTGCTCGCCAGTGAGAAATCTTGCTCATGTTCATACGCATTCCGCAGATGGAACATCGCCGCCACGACGCGCCTCCTCGAGAACTTCGAATTTGAGAAGGAGTTCCCTGCCACCGCCAAGTGGCACAACAAGCTTTTCGAGCGTCCGGCCGTCAAGAAGGTCTGGGAGGAGCGTGAGAGGCTGCTCGCTCAGCAGTAAACAGGATGCAGGACTGTGCAGGGTCGTACTCTCACACTGCAACACAATAGTTTACTGAATAAAATACGTGCACCATGCTGATCTCTAGACGGGAACAAGAGTGTCTTCAGGTAGACGATGACCGCGACCGGGGTTGTCAATACTGTAACCCCTCGACGGGTACAATTATGGTATTTAGAGAATACCGTTTACACACGCTGAGAAATGATCCATACGAACGCGCTTTCTCGTTCTCGTACATACCAAAGAGATGTGCACAAAGCAAACTGGGCTCAAATACCTGGGCTCTAGCCTTTTGCACTGCGGCTTCAGCTGCAGTTACCCCAATTGAAACCTTCACCATCCCCAATTGTACAATTCAGGTCAGTTATTAATTCTGCTAGACTGCGGTTTCAGACCAATGTGATAAGTGCTACGAAGAGCGCGTTAGGGTATTATACAAGTCAGTTGTCCGTGGCCAGGGTATCAGTTGCATGTTCGTAAGTGTCATCACGTCAAACAAGGGGAAAGTTTGCAAAGGGAGGACGGCCATGTCTTGCCCGCCCAGCGTTCCTTGTACAGCGGGTCGCGCTTGTCCGGTACATTGAGCTCGTCAAGTGGACAGATGCGCCAACCTGGAGGACTTATCGCATAATCCACTCCAGGGATCCAGAACCGAGCGCAGTCGCCAGTCTGCGAGTCCAAGCAGTGCCGTTTGAGAGCATCATCGCGAGGAAACAAACCTCGGCATTGAGGGTTCTGGCACTGAAACCGCTTATCGAAATGCGTGTCCATGTGTCGGTTGCGGTCCTTTGCAGTGGCGAATGTACGTTTGCCTGTACAGGTTTTGACGAGGCATTTGAAAGTGCGGGGACCGCGCTCGCTCTGTCGTGGGATTTCAAAATCTGGTAAGAATGGAGACGGAGAGCGAGAGCGCGAAGCGAAGGCGGGAGTATTTCGTCTAGAGTTGTCTTGAGGATCATAGTCCTCGTCGTCGGACTCCCGCTTGCGCTTCCTTGGCGGCTGCCAAAAATTGTTAGCGATAGCACACTTCAATCATCAAAATACAAGACACACCTCTTCGTCATCTGCCAGGGCACGCCTCTTCCCCAACACCTTCTTAGACAACTCCTGCCGTAACTCTCCGCTCATTTCAGGGAGATGCATTCCCGGGAGGGCGGACGAGGGAGGGGCAGCAGGGGCAGGAAAATGGAACGTAGGATGGTAGTCGGCAAGGATGTTGCTGCTGCTTTGTCCAGGCACATCCGACTCATAACCGGAGTCGCCTGCCACGTCTTGCGGCGGAGGATCCCAATCATCGAGGTTGCTTGCCGCTGTGAAAGGCGAGCCGAAAGGCACGGAGCATGTCGGAGGCGAGAAGGGCTTGAACTCCGACGGGTCTGTCCCGTATGTCAGCGACTTGAACGTTGGTGCCATCCGGAGGCCTTCAGACGTGGCAGAAAGTGTAGTGACAATAGATGGCGTTTCCTGGTGCCAGAACAACTGCGAGGGATCGTCCACGGGCTGTTTCATAGAATATGAGTGAAACGTATCTTCATTTTCAACCAGAGGATGACTTACCACGTCTGGGGCGGAGCTGACATTGAAGGGGACGGGGATCCCAACTATCCTATCCAAGTAATCTAGCATCCTGGCAAACTTCCTCTCCGGGGCGAGCTTTTTCTATTATGGGTCACGAGATGTCAGATGAGCAATACAGAAGTTTTAAAATATCACGCGCCTGCCAGATAAACAGAGGATACTCGTTGAGGATAGTCCGGCTAGGTAGGGACTGCTCCTGGCGGTCCGTCCTATGCATAAACAGCAACATTGGTGGGCACGCGCGACGGGGTTATAAGATAAGGCCAGAATTAAGTGGGAGCCGTTCAACAGCTGAGGGCGTAATGAGCGTAAAGACGATTGGCAAAGCGAGGTGAGGGGTATATATTGCGGGATCTAGGACAAAGGGTACGCTCAGCCACTCTCTGACGTTCGGTGTGATATGAAAGAGAAACCGCACTTTCACCTAGCTTCGCCTCATCGCAGAGAGAGCTGGCGAGTGGAATAGTAGGAAAGGGTCCTTTCGCTTTGGATCTGGGCCGTCAAAATTAAATATGAGAGATGCCTTTTGTTCATTTAGCTGCTTCTCTAATGATCGACCGTATAGACGCTCGGCGGGCAAGGCACGCATTGAAGTTATCGTAGAACAGTGGTTTGACCACTTTGCGACAAAGGTAGCAGGGGGGGCTCAGTTAAAAACCAGAGGACTGTAAGCGTCCTGTCGTGATATGCATATGCAAGTGAGTCTGCGTACCTAGGATTATCGCCATACGAGCGAGGACCATTTTGCTGATGTCTGATTATACGCCGTAATGTACCAGACATGAATGTGATAATGCTTGGACCGGGAGCTCAATTGGCGTCGGAGCTTATGGTGGTGATATCTCCGCCCGGATCAACGAAGGGCACTCCGACAACGCGCTGGTCCGCATGCCCCATCGAGCAGCGTAATCTTCGGGGTGTACAGCCATGTACTTGTACCTATGTACACATGCGAAGGCCCTCGCTGCCCAATTGATGGTCACGGTGTCTCTAAAGGGCGCAAGCCGAAGTTCCGCGATGCCAATGCGTAATGGTGCCGTCCTCGAGCTAACCTAACTGGGTTGCCAAAGAGCCGGCTACGCGGAATTTCACTTTTTTTTGGCTGGACGGAAGAGTGTACGATAGCACCCAAGACATCTGAATTGGGCTGAGTACGCACCCTGATACCATCTGACCCAAACAAGGAGGCCAGATTCTTAGATATGTATGATCCGAGCTGGGGAACATGGGGCACATCGATCCCGTCTGTGTCGTCCCTGACTTGCCCGGCTCAATGATGCAGGTACGCTGTTAATAAATTGGCCTATGAGCGGCGATCTCATAGCCAGTGATCTGGGTACTCATACATAGCATCGAAAAATCTTCGTGAATGGTGTCGGGAAGCGGGACGTGCTGGACGACAATATGGATTGCGCCAAGAGCCCGAGGGTAACCTTCATTGCGTTTAGAGGTGATGAAGAAATTGAAGCCTGAGGACTTGGCAATTTGCATGACTAGGCATGCAATCAGCATACTGGCATCGCCTGGCGGCGGGAGTACTGCGTACCGTATTGTCCAACCAAAGAGGCACCGCCAATAACAGCGATCGGCCGTCCGTCGTGCGTGTTTTGACCCCCGCCGGTTCCTAGGGCAGGAAAAGGCCGATGTCACCGTTATCTCAACGCATAGCGGTGCGCGAGGGTTAAATTGCGTTTTCCTGCATGGCCCACGCCTACTGAGGATGCACTAGACTTTTTTCATTTTGCCCCTGAGGCTGAAATGTCAACAAGCTATCTAACGTTACGCAAACTTGCGACAGCTGTCAAGCCGTCACCGAGAAAGCTGCAGCTGCGGCTTCTGCGAAGGATAGACCGGATAGAATCTACAACAATGCTGGTCAAAGACTGGAACATATATTTCCACCAACACAGCGTACCTTCGCTGCGGTAACGACAGCTATGACGTAGTGCTGCTGAACCGTTGTACTCTGCTTGTCATAAGTATCACGGGATAGGTTGATAGCAATCAAGTCTGGACTCTGGATTCGCTTGTCAGAGCGAAAACGACTTACGCGCAGCTCCAACCACGGAGAACACGATGACATCCTCCCGTTCGTTCAAGTTTCATGACGCCAGCGCTATGAAAACCTGATGGAAGCGAAACAAGCCATAAGTTTACTTGCATCGCCGAACTCGTGTCATGAATCTTCTACAAGAAAAAAAGAAAAAGACAACTTTTAGATATAAGTCGAGTCGCTGGCATCGGATTCTGTCCTGGTGCTCAGAGACAGCCGTCAATTTCTTTCGCAGGTGATATATCCAAAATACTGTCAGAACGCAGGCATGATGATGACTCGCATAGGTCATCATACGCGGTCTAGGTAGGCACAGCCGCAAGTGTAAGGGAGCCGCGGTTCGGAGTACGGAACAAGTGGACGCTTAGTTTTGTGGCGTTTATCTTACTTAGCGCCAATATTCTACTCCGACTGATGGCGGATCTTGCATATAGGAGTTCGTGGGGTTGTCGATGAATGGATGAATCAAGAGAAGAGTTGTCGGTGCGACAGCCCACTCTACATGCTCTGGCCTGTCCGTTCCGGAGCCGTCGCGTCAATGTAGAAACAGTTCGGGCTGACACAATACATCGTACATTTCAACGGACCCCTCGTTAGGACCGGTATCCAGAGGGATATGGCCGTTCTCGGAAATACAGGTACACAGCTGTAAGTTTGAAAAAAATCTAAAAATGATCTGATAAGCAGCATCGCATCGCTGTGGACATTTCGCGCGACGCTCCACGCCTTATTTGGCAGGCATCCATCCCAAGTGGGCAGCTGTCGTCTTGGCGACCACCGTCATTTGGGTAGCGCCGCGGACGCAGGTGGTAGTCTCAGAGCTTTGTTCCACACCAACAACTGCTCAGGTAGCAGCCTTTGTGCATAGGTGCGTTCGCAGTGTCAAGATCGCGCCAAAAAGACGGAAGAAGCTGAGAGCGGACGTGGCAGTTCACCTTCGCGACCCCACCGGTCTACATTCTTTTTGTCGCACGTTCCTTTCATTGGCCGTCTCCGCCCCTTCTTACCCGATGACACCGATTTCGCGGTATGGGAAGAAGCTTCTAGCCGCCTACTGTAAGTACTAGTCGAGATTGCGATCCTGTGTTCTGTCCGCAGTACGTTGAATCACTGATGTGCGATCCTCGAATGATTAGGTGCCTTGGCATTGCTTGACTCGACGGTGCTCGCTCTAGCGACACGTGTGAATATTTGGCAGCAATTTTTCTGTAAGTGGTTAATTGAATATGGCGGCGGGCAAGACTGACTGAGCATTCCACCAGTTGTGGCAGATATGTTCCCGTTGGGACTGTCGATCGCATCCCTTGTTCTCATCCTTCTCATGTATGTATATTTGACCGGCCGACGTCCAAGGCAACCATATCTAATACCAATGCTACTTTTCTGCAGGTTTTTATCCAGTGTTACCTTTCCAAGCTCGTTTCTTGCCCGCCCCGCTGCGCAAATAGGCATATTCAGCTTCCTTAGCGTGCTTTGGCTCGGTCGGTCTCTTATAATTTGACCAGGCTACATGATATTGATCACTTTGCGTCAGCTTCGAACGCTTTCTCTACTTCCCGCTGGGGCGGCATCCCGATGCCGTGCTCCTCTGTACCCCAAGGTGAGCACTAAACATTGACGAACAGAGCAGCCCCACAGCTCATCGAGCCAGACTATCCCGACGTGCGTACCTGGTGTCAGGACGCACAGGCTCTCAAGTTCTTCATCTGGATCCTCTTCGCCGGTAGTGCGTCTCCTCATCGTCCTCTCATTTCTCCTTTATAAGACTCAACGTGCACCCAGTGTTCTGCACGACCTTGTCCGTCACGCGCTACGTCGTTGCGCAGCACAGGCACGGCAACCGGCACGTCTGGCGCGTCGCCCTTGCGCGGTTCGACCCGCGTTCGAGCATAGACTTCGGGCACGTCCGCTCGCCCAGCGTGTTCGGCGGTCGGGCGACAATGACGGATTACTTTGGGCGGGCGAACGGCACGTTCCGTCCCGGGACCGACTCTAAGTGGTAGATTGTGGGCACGATCATTAGGTGCTCCTTGTATTTTGACCCTTGTTGGAGCCTTCTCCCAGCACCTTTTAATTCCCTACATATACCCTGAGCTGACTCATGGTCATCTGGATATCAGACATACTTAAGCCATGGTGGCTTAAGACGTAAATTGATTCGTGTATACCCAAACGGTTCCTCGTGGTTGCCATCCCCGTGCTCTTAATGTACTAGAATAAGTATTTCCTGATTGCGCACGCGACACTATGGCAGACAGATGGTAACATCCTATGCATCATTTGGGACCCATACTGATATCGAGAACGACACGAGACGAGACGAGACTAAGAATCCGAGACAGAAATTACATAGGGGGCGATACGTTACGTAGGAGCATATAACGGACCGGGTAACAACGAGCGTATCGGGACTGCAGTGGCGCAGGAGGGGCAACCATATAGCGCATATAGCGTGAGATAAAACGAGACGCATGGCCCATGATCAGAAGAATAAATATGTGGTTATGAAAACACCGAGGGCAATGATGATCACGACCTGCAGCGGGACACCCTCGGGCGGCGGCATCCGTTCGTCGACGTAGCTGCTGACATCAGTCTGCGAGACGACTGTGCTGCCGTCGTCGGAGGCCGCGCGTGTGCGCCTGCGCAGTTCCGTGGGGGACGTCTGTGACGACACCGTGCTCGGGTCGGGCATGGACGAGATAAGCTTCCGTAGACGTCCGATCTCGGCTTGCGCCTCACTCAGCTTCGCCATCAGCTCTGGGTTCGGGTCGATGACCTCGACTCGCTGCGACGGCATTGGCGCGATTGGTGTGGGCGCTAGAGGAGTATGAACATTGACGTGGACGACGGGCTCGGACGACGGCGAGGGCTCTACAGGGGACTCTTCGACGCGACGAGGAACGGGTGGTGGAGGAGATGAACGCGCATCGTGGTGCTGTTCAGTGTCCGTCTGCGGACCCTCGAAACTATGGTCTTGTGCGAAGTCTGGGATCGGCGCATGTCCGTTCTCTTGGCGCTGAAGGACAGTATTGTAGTTCTGCGAACGACACTTAGTCAGCAAGTAGAGGAGCATGGTTGGAAACATACTAGGATGCCGCTCTCTTCTGGCGGTGGCTGGATCACAGAAACATGAGGCTCCTCCTCTTCGGGGACAGTTTGTCCTTCCGGTGGCAGGTAGGCAACACGGATTTTGTGCGAGTGAATAGCGTCCTCTGCTGGCTCACCACCCCACTATAGCATACACTGAGTTAATTCACGGAAAGTCAAGTAAAAGATGCATACGATGTCTGTGAGCGGCAGCGTCTCCTTTTCTGGCGTGATGAGCGTGCTCTGGATCAGAAACTTGTCTTTGCACTTTGCGCCAAGCGGGGGCTCCTCCTTCATTGACTGAAGAACAACTGCGAGCCATGTCGAGAAGTCTGGAGACAGCGCAAACGAGACAACGCACCTTGAACCTCGACAGTCTCGCTTGGTTCGACTCGGCCCGAGTTCGGTCGTACGCAGTACAACTAGGGACGAGTCCAACGTCAGACAAGCAGTGGCGAGAGAGAGAGAGCACAGAGCACCTTCGGAGCGGTTGTCTTGACCTTGAACGCAACCGGCTGCGTGTTTGGATTGGAGATGGTCAGCGTTCGCTTGACATGCTGCGTGAGGGGTCCTGCACGATATCTCCTTCAACAACGAGCCTCATATCGCCGTACTCTGGGCACGTACTTGGAAACCCCAGGGTACTACTGGGGTTGAGAGTGAGTGACATGGCGTGGGCAGTGGCGGGTGATGGGGAAAAGGAGAGTTGGTGCTGCGAGAGAGTTGGCTCGGGTGATGTGATGACGGTAGCGGGCCAGGTTCTCAGCGCATCCCTCCATAAGAGGCAAGACTGGCGCCCGTAGCTCCAGGCTGGATTCCTCGTGCAGGCCTGCATGCATCACACCCCTTGCTTCAATTCTTGTCTGATATTTCCGATGAATCCACGACCCACACCGCCCCGAAGGGTAATCTTCCGCCCACGGACAACAGGGGCGCCAAGTGCTTAGCAGGAAAGCGCTTAAAGCCCCTTTACAAACCGTTATTTACCTCGTTACGGTCAGGTAAAGCGCGGTCTATAACCCCATAACTTACTTCACTACAACAAACCTTGACCGCCAAGAAGCCCCTCACTGTGCCGCATGTTCGCCATTCCACGTTCCAGAAAAGTCTTATAGCAACGATGGCGCTGCTGGCCCAAAGATCCCTACATGACACTAAGTGCGAAAGTAACCAAACTAACGTTGGCAACTAAATTGATATACGGATGAAAGGGGTGTGCCCGAGAAATGCAATGTCATGCAAGTGGATTAATCCGAGAGAGGGGGTGAGGGCGTCATCGGACAGCGTGAGAGCGTTGCGTCAATGGAAAGGTCGTGAGTCCCATCTACAGGATAGTACGTGCGGACGGAATCTTGTGAAAAGATGCCTGTCTATTAGTTCTTGCTGAGTGCTTGCATCTGGACATATTCGTAGTAGCCCCCACGCAGCGCGATGAGCTCGTCGTGGGTGCCAGATTCGCTGACTGCGCCATCCTTGATGAAGTATCTGTTGCCGTGCCGTCAACACCCGTCACTTATAGCCCTAAAGTAGATGAGTACTCACATGCAATCTGCGTTCTGGATGGTCGATAAACGATGCGCAATCGCGATCGTTGTCCGGCCCTTGGCAGCACTGTCGAGTGCTTCCTGCACAATCTTCTCCGAGGTCGAGTCGAGCGCAGACGTCGCCTCATCAAGTAGCAGCACCTTCGGATTCCGCAGCAGCGCCCGCGCAATCGCAATACGCTGCTTTTGGCCACCGGAGAGCTGGGAGCCCTTACCACCAACCTCGGTGTCGAAGCCGTCTGGTAATGACTTGACGAATTCGAGGATGTTCGCATTACGACATGCGGCCTCGATCTCCTCTTGTGTGACTTCTTCGGCGGGCTTCGTCGCACCAAGGAGGATGTTGAAGCGGATGGTGCCAGCATACAGCGTCTACCTATAAGTCAGCATGGACACACTTTAACTGGAGTAGACGATGACTCACTGGCTCCTGAGAGACCAGAGCGATGTGCTTGCGATACTCGAAGACGTTGAACTCCGTGATGGGCTGTTCATCGAGGTAGACGGTGCCCGCAAGCGGATCGTAAAACCGCTCGACGAGCTGGATGGTCGTACTCTTTCCACATCCTGACGCGCCGACAAGCGCCACGTAGGTGCCAGGCTCAACAGTGAGGTTGAGGTCGCGCAGAACGCGCACACCGGGGCGGGTGGGATACCGGAAGTGGATGTTCTCGAAGCGAATCCGGCCCTTGACATTCTGCGGGATCTTGCCCTCGGTACTGTCGGCGTCAATGCTGGGCTCGGAGTCCAGGAGGTCGACAATGTCCGCCGCGGCACCCCTAGCAGAGGACATGTCGGGCACGAACGAGAATACATTGCCGGCTTGTATGGAACCGAAGACGGTCGTTTGAAGCGCGACGAAGAACTGGAAAGTGCCGAACTCCTGAGTCGAGACGAGGCGCGAGCCATACCAGAAAACGAGCGCGATAACGAAGAAAGACATTGCCTGCGTGGCCGCGAAGAGCAAGTTGGACCAGAACGAGCTAACCTTGGAATCCCGGAGCGGGCCCTCCAGCGACTCGCTGTACAGACGGAGGCAGTCCTCCTCACGGGTAAGCGAAGCAACTGTACGGATGGAACCAGCAGCTTCGCAGGCGAGGTGAGCGGAGCGCTCGTGCGCCTTTTTGTTCTTCTGATCCTTGAGAACGACGACGTGCAGACGAACGAAACCGCCCGAGATGACAAGCGGAACGCAGGCAAGACCGACGAGACCAAGCTTCCACGCAAAGACAATACCCAGGATTAAACCAACGACGAGCGTTGCCGCACTCTGAACGATGGTACCAAGTGTGACGCCGGCGAGACCGTGTATCTTCTGCGGATTGTCGCTTAAGCTGGACGTAAGCTGACCCGTGCTGTTCTCGTCCTTGTCGAAGAACTCGATATCCTGGCGGAGGATAGAATGGAAGCCGATCGAACGAAGCTTGCTGGTCAGCGCCGCCGCCGTAGCACTGAATATGTAGTTCTGAATGCCAATGGTCACTGTCGAGATGAGGGCGATAATGAAGAAGTACAGCGCGTTGCGGTCGCCCTGGACACGGCGCTCGTGTGGGTCCGTGAGCGAAAAGGTGTTGATTGCTTTACCAAAGACGAGACCGAAGGAAGGATAGACAGAGCCGGTCACTGTAGACGGTGTCAGAGTCCATGATACGCTTATACCACACTGATCAACACTCACAGAATGCCGCAATAACCCCTATGAGGTACTGGGGCCACATATCACGGTTGATTTTGCCTATGCGCTTGAATAGGTAGAAGAACGAGTATTTTTGTGCCTTGTCCGTCTCCTTTCCCTGGCCGCGCTGCTCGAGGATCTCTGAAGCAAGCGAGCGCGTGCCCGTCTGCGAGCGACCGAGCGGGATCTCCTCTTCTACCTGCTTCTCAATGCTCTCTTCATGGGTCTCGTGGCCAGCTACGGTGTCGCTACCGTCATCGTCCTTAGGCTGCGATGCCTTCTCGCGGGCTTCACGGAGCTTCTGGGCACTCACGAGGCGCGCGTACGGGCCGTTCTCGTTCTGAAGGAGCTCGTTGTGCGTTCCGGACTCGAGGACGAGGCCGTCACCCATAACATAGATACGGTCCGCATCCTTGATTGTTGAGAGTCGGTGCGCGATTGTGATCGTCGTGCGGCCCGCGGCAGCCTTGTCGAGCGCGTTCTGCACAATACCCTCACTCTGCGTGTCCAATGCACTAGTGGCCTCGTCGAGGAGCAGAATGCGAGGATCCGAGACGACGGCACGCGCGATGGCGATGCGCTGCTTCTGGCCGCCAGACATGAGGAAGCCACGTTCGCCGACCATAGTCTGGTAGCCGAGCGGCAGCTTGGAAATGAAGCCGTCTGCGTTGGCCGTGATGCATGCCTCTTTGATCAACGCCATCTTCTCATCTTCCGAAGCGTGTTCCCATTTCGTGCCAATAAGACCGTGCGCGACGTTGTCCCTGATAGTCGTGGCGAACAATACCGGTTCCTGGGATACGAGGCCGATTTGCGAGCGGAGCCACTTGACGTTGAGCTCTCGCAGATCGATGCCATCGAGTCGAACAGCTCCCTCGAGTGGGTCGTAGAAGCGTTCGACCAAAGAGATGATGGTAGACTTTCCGGAGCCAGATGCACCGACGAGCGCAATGGTCTTGCCAGCTGGGAATGTAACCGAGAGGTCCTTGACAATCGGAACATTTGGGCGAGATGGGTAGTTGAACTTGACGTGCTCGAGCGAGATCTCACCAACGCAGCTCTCAGGCTTGAGACCGGCAGGGGACGACGAGTCGATCGTGGGGACACGGTCGATGGTTTCGTACAGCTTCGCTGCAGCACCACGAGCATGTGTGATAGCTAGCGGGAGTGTGTGAACGGCTATCACTATATGAAATGACGTGTGACGCGCACCTTGCATCTCGGGAGCAAGCAACGCGAGAGAGAACGACCCGATAAGGATAGCGAAAAAGACGTTGACGACGTCACCAGCATTCGCTGAAAGATCAGTAAGACGCGAATTCTTACACATTCATAACGGCAACGTACCTTCGCCACGGTTGATGAGTGTCGTTCCGAAGTAGAAAGCTGTGTGAAAGTCAACAATAGACGGCACAGAAATATCCTATATACTTACCCAGAGCATAAGCGTTGTAAATGATGAAGAAAAATGAGGCAAGTCCTCCGCCATGCCAAAAAGCCGCACTCATGTCAGCCTTGCGAGCCTTGCCGATGAAGACGTCGTACAAGTCCCCAAGAACCTTCTGGGAACCAAAAGCATGTGCAGTACGAACAGTGGAGATGACCTCTTCCGCGAGAGTACCGGCTTCCGCCACATGCTTGAGCGAGAGCTGCATGTAGGTAGAAATGAACTTGTTCATGACGGCACCGGTGATGCCGATACACGGCAGGATGGAAGAAAGCGCAAGAGCCAGACGCCAGGACTTGATATAGGCAAGCACGAAGCCAGTCACAAACGCCGCGCCGAAGTTCACGACTAAAGCGACCTTCTCAGAGATACCCTGCTGCACAAGATCTGAACCAATGTCAACAGGCTAGAAATGCAACAGGATACCAAGATACGTACGGGTGTCCGTCTGGATACGGGTAGCAACCTCTCCTGCACCGACATTGTCGAAGTAAGCGATATCTTGACGGAGGATGGCTTGCAAGTAACGCTCGCGGATCCGCTTTGCGTTGACTTCGGCAGTGTAGACCCAAACGTACATATAGACGAACGTTGCGAACAGCATACCAAGGCCTAGAAATGTTGAGAGTGTGTGTATTGTTCAGATTCTAACTTGCTTACCGATGTAGGCAAGATAAGATGCATTGAGAGCAGCGGCGTGCCGGAAGTTGGCGGCGGCGGAAGCCAAGTCTGCTCCTCCCTCATTTATAGTCTGCCCGAAGCTAACGAAGTTTTCAGTGAGTCGACCGAACAGTAGACTCATTAAAGGCTGGTAACGTTTTTGGTGAGTGTAGACGCTTGAGCGGATGACGAGATACGCACCTGTGCGGCACCTGCCGCTGCTGCACAAACCAAGCCGATTGCATCCAAGAAGAGTTCAAAGGGAGTGGAGAACCTAAGGGGAAGACAGATGTGAGGAAAGGATGCAGCTTAACGACGAGTACTACGCACCTGAACAGGGAGGTGAATGATGCAGGCGGAATGTCCTTCTTGACCACTGGTGGGGGAGCGTCGGCAGTACGGCCATCTGACTTCTCGTCGAGCTGAGTTGCTGCTGCTTTCGGCTTCCTGGAGAAGATACCCTTCTTTGGCTTTTGCTGCTCGAGCTCTTGCTGGGCCTGCTGCCCTTCCGCCTTCTCGTTTGTGGGAACGTCCGAGTGCGTCGACTCTGCGGCCATGCTGGCGTCGCTGGAGCCTTATAAAGGCTGGAGAGGGTCGACGACGGACAGAGGGACTATATAATAACGGGAAGAAACGAGAAGGTTGACGATGCATTCCGGCCGAGCATGCGGGCCCTTATAAGGCACAGAGCACCCATCACTCGGTCGAGGATCAAGTAGGCGCCGTACATGCCCCATCGTAAATCGCCGAACGAAATTGAAGATACAGATCAAGCTCTGCTCCCCTGCCCCACAGCCGGCTTTGTCTGGCCTCTCGATCTCTGTCCACACCTCCACCCGACACTCGGTTTTCTGCTCTTTTTTGTGTATTTTTCTTCCTCTCCAGACAGCGCGGGAAAATATTCCGTGCTTTTTGCCCACGTTTTCACGAGATAGTCGCCCGCCGAATCTCGTTCGATCAAAAGATAAACAAGCTCCAAGTGCTCGGGATGAATTCCGCTTACGCGATAATGTATTACATTGCTGCCAACCCCTTCCTTGCTTGCGTCCCCCGGCCCGCCAGCCCTCGCCGTTTGCTGTTGCCGCTCGTTTGCGCGTCCTCGGACCAAAATGATTTTATTCGCCACTGGTAGGCAATATAATCCCCCAATTCCCAGTATCGGAGCCCTATCCACCGCATCCGAGTCGCAGCGTGTGCTCAACATGAGTCCTCTGCGCTTCCACAGGTGAGTCAGCGCTCGTTGATCAACGGTCTTTCATGACCGTTGTGCCGTGAGGTCTGACATGCAATGAAGTCCAAGAAATGCCACGCAGCCGCCCAGCCTGCACCTCGAGTCATTCCGTACTGCAGCGGACTTCAGGGAAGGCGCAGTTACCCTGGCGTCCAGCACTGTGGCTGTGTACTGTGCATGAAACGCTATCCACCGAAATATACAGATCTGCAGATCCAGAGATGCACCAGGGCTTTCTCGACGTGGGCTGCGCCGTTCGAGCACACTTCTGGCTTGGCATGACCCGTCTTTTCATAAACAGCTAAATACACAAATATCTGAAATATAGAAGCACCTACCAAAAAGTCCGCCGAAGTGGCTTGCCGAGCCTAGGCCCCGCCACTTCGCTAGAAGTCGGGAAGCAATTGCACGGCGGGGTTACACAGATCGGCTATCACAAATTAACGATACCGAGGCGGAGGCGCACTTGTGTCTCGGAAAGGCAAGCATGCAGGTATGTAGGCCAGCTCCTCTCTCGGCCGTGCAACGCATCTGAAAGCCCTGCGTCAAGTAAACTACCCTTGAAGCGGACAGTGCAGCTATCTTAGCTCAACCTCTGAATAAACTACCACCATCCAAGTGTCTCCTTCCGCTCTTCGCTTCCTTGCACGGATGACGGCCAGCCTGCGCTCCTTCTCGATTGTGCGCACCCCAAGCGAGTCAGCCGCCTTTCGCAACGTCTCAACACGCCTTCTCTTCTCATTCCCCACCACCCTGCAACGCTTCATTCACTCCCAACGTGCATAATACTCGCGACGCATGTCCTTTCTCCTGTCTTCCGATGGTCTCTGCTCTGCACCGCTCTCTACCCAGTCCTGGACGGCCCCTGCCTGCCGTTGCTCAGTGCGTTCAAGTGCCCGCGCGCCTTCCAAGTCACGTCCTTCCACTTCTCCGCGTCCGTGCGTCGCATCGCCGCTTCTACATAACATACCTCGCGGAGCCGCGTCTCGTCAGGCTGCACGAGTCAGACGGCGTACCACCCGCTGTAGTGGCCGTTGCTCGGCTGCTCTCTGAGCCTGAAAACACGACGGCAGGCAAAGCACGCATATTTCTCATGCTGGCAATGGGCCGACCTGAACTGCCGTACGAACCATCTTTCGACCCACGGTCAATTTTGTGGTGATTGAGAATGCCGCACACGGTTCGGCCAGACCACCGAATCTTGCAGCTCACCTTCTGTGGAAATATGTCTTCCCGTCTGGCTTTATGCAAAAATCTGTTCGTTGCGTAGGCTGGGGTTGATGATGATGTCCAATAGCTCGAAGCCGTGCCGATCTCGCGATGAAATCTGAGTTCGAGCGGGACTCAGAGCAGTACCCCAGATACAACTGAAGACATCTAGATGTGTGACTCGGACTGCATAGTCGTACTGTCGGTTCCTTCTCGGGACCGGGAGGACCGTTGCATCAGCAAGACTCGCTAAGCGAGACCCCGAACACCTCAAGCGTGAGCATTGCAGCTCCTGCACTCGGCTGATCTCCCTAGGCATACCTTATACAATACGCGCCCGACCGCAGCCCACGCATACGGCTTAAAGACGCGACGTTCTATCTACGTCAACTTCCTGTTTTCCGATGGGTGAACTGCCGTCCCGAGTTCGCACATGTACAGCCTCAGCCCCAAAGCCTGAAGGCGTATGCGAAGATACATCCTGTCTTTAGTATGGCAAATGCCTTCCCATTGCATTTTGCAACAGACCCAGAGAAGACGGCACGCGGTTATCCCCGCGTGACACCAGACTGGCTGATTTCTGAGAGTGGATAGTCAGACTAGCATTAAATCCTATAACATCCTAATAACCAAGATTTCCAGATTGTCTACTAAGGAGGGCAGCCCTAAGTCGGTACAACGAGCGGAGTGTAATGTATGCTGTAGCTAGTAATGATGGTAGTGATTAGAGATGTCGAAAGAGTGAGAAAGGAATGAGGCCGGGACGTCCAACGGGGCAATTACACAGCGCGGGGATATCAGTAATGAGGTAGCAAAGATCATGGGAGATGAACGAAGACGATAGCAAGGATAGACAAATCATTGTGGACTGACGGGCATATTCGTGCCGTCGTACGAGAAGCCTATATGTGACGTCAGCGTTTACATAGCGGCTATCGAGCAACGAGGCCACGTACCGGCAAACTGAGCTTGCACCGTCTGCGAGAGCTGCGAGCCCTCGACGACGCTGTCGAGGGGCTCCTCAGTAGTGAAGACGGTGTCGAAGTTCGAGACGTCGACAGGGCTTGCGACGCTCGGCTTGAACGGCGGCTGGATCTGTTTCTTGAGCAGCTTGCTGAAGTCGATGTTTTTCGCAAAGAACGGGTGCTTCTTGATCTCCTCTGCGCCATTCACTCCGAGCCGCTGAGTGGGATCGCGCGTGAGCAGACCAGTGAGGATACTGCGCGCCTGCGAGCTAATATCGTCACCGAAGACGAGTGGGTTTTGGAGAATCTTCTGGTACATCTGCTCCGTATTCTCTGTGGGAAGATTAGAGGTCGAAAGACGAAGGTAGGCAGGGGTACTGACCATCGTAGAATGGAGGAAGACCAGAGAGCATTTCGAACAAAAGGACACCGAGGGTCCACCAGTCGATCGTCTTGTCTGTAGTTGAACATTAGTGGCTGTAGTACGAAGGGATGAGACTATGCTCACTGTAGCCCTGGCCAGACAAGATCTCTGGTGCAAGATACTCGGGGGTACCGCAGAAGGTATTTGTGGTGTCGGAATCCTTCATGTTCAGCTTGCAAAGACCGAAATCACATAGAGCGATGTGGCCAGTGTAATCAAGCAGGATGTTCTCCGGCTTCAGATCACGATAGACGACGTCCAGTTCGTGGAGATGCTCGAGGGCAAGCAGAAGTTCGGCGCTATAGAACCGACTCCGCTCCTCGTCGAATCGCTGCTCGCGCTGCAAATGATGGAACAGCTCCCCGCCGTTGACGAAGCTGTAGGTGTATTAGGCTCAACGAAGCCATGCTCAGAATCGATGCACGTACGCGAGGACCAGGTAGAGCTTCTGCTCTGACTGGAAACTAAACTTCAGTGGCACAATGAATGGGTTGTTGACGCGGGCCAATACGAGACGCTCGGCCAACGTATGCGTGATTTCGCCACGCTCGACGATATGCTGTTTTCGGATGGTCTTCAGAGCATAAATACGAGAGGTGTCACGCTTTCGGACTTGCATGACCTACCATCAGAGCTCAATCTTATTTGTCCCACAACAGGATGACAGGTCACACACCTTTCCAAAGCTGCCCTTTCCGATGACAGTGATCAGCTCAAAATCATCAATGGTCAAAGATGCTCCCTATAGGAACAGTCAAGTCAAATGATACGACGTGGCAGGCTGTGAACACATACTGAGCTCGGCCGGAATGCGATACCAATCTGTATCCGCCCTGAGCCACCCGAAAGGTCATACCATTGCTCTTGCGTGGGCATGTCGTCGAAGTCTGGGGTGAAGCGGATGCCGCCCATGAAGAGATCGTTGCCCATGTCGTCCGCGATGCCATCACCACCGCGCTTGGGCTCCTCTTTGCGCAAGTAACATTGTATCGAGATCTCGGAATTGCGAGACACGTCGCTAGTCGTACAGTTAGTCAACCGATCAGGTACCAGGAAGTGGTCGTGTGCTTACAAGTTGGTTTCATACATGTACAGAGGCTTCCCTAGGTCGCCGCCGAGTGGCGTGATAAGGACCTGATTGACCTCGAATTCCATAACGATGTACGGCAGCCACCAACATTGCATTCGCTGCACACTGTCACGATTGCTGCGCTTGCTAGCCAGCCTTTGTTGATTGACACTTGAAGGTGACACGGAGGCCGCTACTTTTGCTTGCTGAGACTTGAGCGCCGCTGCTACTGCTGGCGGGATGTTGCCTCCGGGCACAGAGAGGTCCTCTGCGCCGAGAACACGAATAGCCAGGATACCTGAACGAGGCATGGGTCGTCCGTCGGGATTGCCTGGGGTGGGAGTGGTCGAACGAGGAGAAGAGTCTTGTGCGGAAAGATTAGGTTTGGGCTTGCTCTTACCCAGTTTCCAAGACATTATCAACAAAAGCTGATTAGAGATGAGATCTAGGAGAGCGAAAGCCTGCTTTGCGCTCAAACCGTTACCAACGAGCGACGTGGCAGGGGGAGGCACAGAGGTGGTCGTGCTGGATACAGTCTCGCTTCGCGCTGATCCGCCTCGTCGCTAGCCCGGATAATCCCAGAGATTGCCGGCACATCCTCAATTAGGCAAGCGTAGTAGTTCGGCAAAAAAATTCGCGTCGTTCCCCCACAACTCCATGGAAACACGATGAGCAGAAAACTCCATATGGCGACCAGAGACCGGAATCCCGCTCTGCCACTGCAAGAAGGTGCTGAAGAGCGCAAGCGAGATAGTCCAGGAGAGGGGTAGGCTGAGGTCGCCACAGCAATCCAATTGGCAAGTGTAGATATCCATAGCTACTGTCAAATTGACTCGGATGTGCGTGATTCTCCCCATGCTGAAAGTCTCTCCAGCGCGGAAATCTGGCAGAGGCCTCAGGATTCGCTAAGACTCCCACGCTTGTGCGTTTGATGTGGACGCCTACTATCCTCATTTGGAAATCACAATATGCTCTTCCCGCTTCGACGACTCTTGCAGGAGCTTGCAAATTTTTTACTTTTTTTTTTTGAAGTATAAATTCGACTATACACACTATAGAACTCTAGAGTCGTAACATGAACTGCAGGGGCAAGAAGCCTGGACGGATGTTGCCGTAAGCAATTTACCCGCGGATTTCTGGTCGGGATGTGCCGAAATTCAAACACCGCTGAGCAGACAGTAAACCTTACTGCTTGCCTCGTCAACAGAACCACAACGGCGCCGTGGCCTGTCACAAAAAGTTCACTCGTTCACTTCCTCCCTCGCTGACCTCAGTTCTTCAACAGCCCTCGTCCTTACATCAAAATGGTATGTTATAAACGTTTGCATGAAAAGCCATACCGGATTACTCGACTGTGATACTTACTCTATCGCTCCGCATCTGTGGCATCTGTAGACTCTCGCTGCCGATCTGCTCAACCCGCTCCCCGCCTCTGAGACCCGCAGGCATAAGCTCAAGCGTTTGGTGCAGTCTCCAAACTCATACTTCATGGACGTCAAGTGCCCAGGTGTGTAATCACTCCCCTGCGTCCTTACACATAGCCTCATGCGTATCTCATCCACCCCAGGTTGCTTCGCGATCACCACCGTTTTCTCGCACGCGCAAACCGTCGTCCTCTGCGGCGCATGCACAAGTGTCCTGTGTCAGCCGACCGGTGGTAAGGCGAGATTGACCGAGGGTACGTCTCCACCCCTATCACATCAGACAACGCCCACTCATCTCCTGTATCTCTTGCAGGAAGCTCGTACCGTCGCAAGAATTGAGCTATCCGTCAATCCTCATATCTCCTCGCACATCCAGCTTGTTGTTCTGGCTTACGCATCCATAATCGATCTCCTCGTCTCGCTTTCCTCGCACGTTCTCACGGATTGCGGCCGACAAGGCTGCGCGCCACCCACCAGGGCTCTCACGCCGCCCCCGGCCCTCGCTTCATGTATTTGCCACTCATTTCCTTGGGGGCACTTTTAGTTTCAGGCCTATGTTGTTCAGTGTATGATATATGCTTGTAAGCTTGCACATGCTGTCTGCACGCTGTCTGACTGGGGGATGCGCTCGGATTGAATGCTGTTCATTGGAGAACGGTTTTGCACGCGGAATTGCCCACATCCTATTCGCACAGTCTCACACGTGAACGTCAATCCATATGTCTATATTGAGGTGCAAGGGTCTCATGAGTCCTTGTGATACAAGATGAGAAGCCGTCGGGATTAATGCAGTCTAATATGACGACGGCAGGAGATAGTCGCATTGAGGATGAGGACATGCGCATCTTCGCTACTGACGAGAAGGGCGCAGCTGGGCTATGAAACATGGCTCATGGAGTCACAGGGTCCTGTGACAGCTCATAGAGCGTTCAAGCTAGCAAGCAGCTGCCGTCGGTGCTCTGAATCTGCCTTCGCCAATCGAGCGAAGCTACGGGTGCCTCGCCCTACGAGAGCCTTCAGCCTGCGCATTTCCTCCGCCTCACGAACGTGCCGCGCAAGCGCAGCTTGATTGTGCGTGATGCGCTTCTTCGATTCCTTGTATGGCCCGGTGGTTTTTGCTTTCAGTCCTATGCCGAGACGATCGGACTTGAGAACGGTGGCGATAGGCGTAAGGAGTGGTTTAGAATGCGCGTCAGCGTCGGGAACGACGAGAGTGGTCGATGGTCGCGGAGATTCTTCCGCAGATTCTTCATCCTCGACCTCTTCTGCAGTTTCGCTGTCGCTGTCTGAGAGCGTGAGATCTACGACCTCAATCGTCTTGATCATGCTGATCTCGCCGTCAGCATCCAACTGCACCTCATGCTCTTCTCGCTTGATTAGACTGCGATCCACCTCTTTGCCCTTCCCCTTCGCTACAGCCCTTGCAGGGGCCCCAATGTGGTTCGTCTGGCGAGACGCGGTTGCACCGAGGCCCTCGCCTTCGGCCCATCCCTGCTGCTGGAGCATCCCCCACCCTTTGTTGAACGGACCCAGCGCGAGGAATACAGGAGGCTTCACAGCCTTGTCTGCGGGAGGCGGCGGCTCTCGAGCAAGGATATCAGCAAGGGTAGGAGGAGTAGAGGGAGAGGAGACAGGTTCGGACTGAAGAGCTCGAGTTATGAACCAGTTATTCTTGTCGGGTCGTCTATAGGGTGTCGGCACGGCAGTTCCTGCGACGAACGTCGCTGCTGGAGTAGAAATTCTGGAGGATGCGGTCGCCTCCAGCGGGGCAGTGCTAGCTCTGGGTGGTGCGACAGAGCTTATTGGCCCCGCAGTCGAGCTGACTTGATTCGTCAAGGATCTGTACCACCCTGCGATCTCAGTCTTGGGTTCCTCTTTGGGTGGAGGGGAAAAAAGGTGTTTAGGCAGCCCCATCATATCGTTTATCTCGTCATACGAGACAACCGCTTTCACGAATTTCGGTGCGTTCGTGACGCGCCGCTGAGTACTGAACGCCGACTCGGTCTGCCATGCGAGGTCAATGTCGACATCGTCCCGCTCGATATCTTCGTGTTGCTCGCTAGTCTGACCAGTCGCAATCTCGAGAGTCTCTCTGTCCTTTGGATCATAGTGTGAGCGGATGACATGCGCGACGGTCGCCATGAACGTTAGGGCAAAGTTGCGAAGCGCTCTCAGGTCGCCACCTCGATAGCCAATCACGTCGTAAGACGTCATCAGGCGCCTCCCAAGCGCTCGACACTGGTATCTCGCTTGCGCGGGATCACGAAACCGCCCAGTTATTGACTCACGAGAGAAATTTGGAACTTTTTGGTCGCAAAAAATATGCGAAAACAGCCTGAAAAAATAAGTAAGAAAATGCCATATTTTTCCTCCCGGTATCCGGCGGCCCGGCGACTCGGCAACCCGGCAGCTGAGCCGATTGTCCGCCGGGTGCCGCAGCCACGGGCGCTTTGACAATGGCCTGGCGGACAATCGGCTCGGCTGCCGGGTTGCCGAGTCGCCGGGCCGCCGGATACCGGGAGGAAAAATATGGCATTTTCTTACTTATTTTTTCAGGCTGTTTTCGCATATTTTTTGTAACAAAAAAGTTCCAAATTTCTCTCGTGACTGTAGCTTGGTTATTGACCCACCAGTGACTAACGTCAACTAGAACAAGAGGCCGCTTCGCTGCGCTCCGCGACTGCTGTCCTCGTGGATGTGGTTCTGCGGGCGGGAAATTTAAGCTGAAAATTTTCGATTTCACTTGCTGTTTCGATTTCAGGGCTGCAGCATAGCCGCGCTGCGCGCGGCGTAAGCAAAGGAGAGCGGAAGCAACGATTGGGCCCAATCAAGGAGAATGACGAAATAGGGGCCGTCGAAAGGTATATAAGGCGAGGGATGGGAGAGGGGGCCCCTGGAGCGAGTAAGACAGGGATAAGAAAATCGTTTCTTACTTTAAGGGCATCTGCGTAATAGTATAGTAATTGTCAGTCAATGGCTGTGACTGGGACGACTCGATCGGCGACTGCCCAACTCCGAATCCCACCGGTCAATAGGCGCCAGCGCCATAATTGGCAATGACTGTGACCCGGAAAACCGGTCAGTACCGGTCAGTCACGGTCATGTCTGACTCGATCGTTGACCAGCCACTGACCAGTCTGGCACAACACTGGGTGGAATCATCAGCTTAGCGCTTTGTATTGGAGTCTCTCTTCGCAGACTCGGATATGCTACTTTGTCAATCGTTAAATTCTCGCAAGCTATCGTTTGCAAGGCGAGGTCGAATTGCGATCTCGCCGGAGAAGTGATTTCCATCGTGCAGCTTCCCCCCCCCAATCATACATATACAGGGCCAGGATAGCCTCCGTAGATGAGCCCCCAGCATTACAGTCACTCTAAGCTCTGCAATGTTACCTGGCTCTGAGGTGGGAAGCGATGCAGACGATATTCTTGCAGCCACTGGTTAGTACCTGCTTTCACCGTGTATTGCACCTTGAACATAAATAATCGATAACGATTTTCGGCATAGCTTCGACGAACCCCTCTACACCTCCCACATCGACAATATCGCTGGCAGATGTCCTCCGCGTTCGAATGATGCTTCAAAGCCTGCTCCCCATCGAGCTCATTGAAGTCATCCTCCACGATGCTGAATATTACTCCGTTGTGTCTCGCTCTACGGTGCCTCGCAATTTCACGGACAGTGATATCGAGCTCTTCGCCATAATCTTGAACGAACGTCAGGGTCACTGCATCCAGGAAGTGTCCGTCCTTATTCGTGGCCATGACCAAGGGTGGAGTTCGTATCCACAAGATCGTGGCACCTACCGGAACTCATGGACATGGTATACCCTTGCGACGTTGAACCCCCACGATCGCAATGGACCGCGTCTCGCTACGAATCGCCACGCCGATCGTGACACTCAGACACATGAATTTCGCTGGGGACGACGCTCACAACTCGTGCAGGATATCAAGGGAACAAGGATGGTTGCGTTGTGGGCGCATGCTCGGTGTGTCATATTTTCATGATACTTGGCGTATTCGAAGCTGATACTCTCCACAGGTATCCAGGATGGCAAAACTTCGTTGAAGAGGCCAGGCTTGTTGTTGCGTTGTACCCGCGTCCCTCTTGACAAGTAGCATACAATAAAGTCGCTCCATAACATAAATTCACGTTCACAAAGTATTATCGTAGGTAGTAATACACGGTATAAAATTTGGCAAGCGAGTATCTAGTTAGCCAATACGCAGAGCTATACCGACTATCCGCAAAAATGATCCGAGAGTATCATACGGACGAATCCCATACACCCCTCATGATCTCGCACTTAACATCTTCTACGTAGAGTCGCAGCCACTGGATCATTTCCTTGCTGAGCTGGTGACATCGAGTCAGGTCAAGAGACTGAAGACGTTGCGGCTGGCCAAACGGGCTAGCCTTCGTTAGCGCTGTCGATGGAGTGTGTGCCAGGATGTGCGCAGTAGCGGCGAATGCAGATGCAGAGGATGATGCTATGGGAGGGCGTTGCGCCGCCGCGGACGCAGAGGAGAGTCCACGAGGGGCTTTAGGATCAGCGGATGGACTAGGGAATGCGCGTGCCTGTGGCGGAAGTCGAGATTCAACAACGGATCTCATGGACTCCCAGTCGAGTGTGGTGCAACCTTCGAGGCTCAAGTGGGTTAACTTCGGGCAGACCCACGTCTGTGAAGTCGCGGGTGCAGCAAGGTTCTGGTACAAGAGTAAGTCACAGGCAGACACCATACTGATTGACGCATACCTTCAGTAGACTCGGTGACGCATCTTCGACATCGACCAATTCCAATGTCGTCAGAGATGGCACTCTCCGGAGGAACCGCGCGAGCTTCAGCTCGCTGAAGAAGCTAGACTCGATGCGTAATCGACGCAGAGGTAGCTTCGTCAGTGATTGCTTCCGCAGGTGCTCGATCATTGGCGACACATTATCAAGGAAGCAGAGGTCTACGCTCTCCAGAGCGGGACAAGACAGCAGGCCGAGTACGACTCGCGTACGAATAGTACCCGAGTAATAGAACGAGAGCTTTGTGAGTCGAGGGAGCTGGATCGTGCGAGCGTCGGTCGTCCGCGCGAATCGCTCGTACAACTCGTCGTACTCGGATGGGTCAGCCTCAAAATCCTGACATGCTCCCGAATCGATGTCGGACATATTCCGGAGGGAAAACTCTTCGAGATGAGGACAGGCACGGATCATCGCGAGTGTCGTCTCCAGAGAAGGTGCGTAGCCGTTCCAGTAGCCTCCAAGCTTGAGCGCCCGGAGCCGGCTCACTAAGTGCATGTCCCAACCGAAGTTGAACGACGTCATCGAGCAGGAGGTAAGACTAGGTGTCTGGCCGTTGAACACGGAGCGTGGTGGGTTAGAGTGCTGCATCCCGTCGTCCTGCATCGAATGCAAGACATGGACGGCGAGAACTTCCAGGAGCGGTGCCGGGTCCTTGCATCGCATCAGGGCAGCATGAGCTTGGGGTCGGTTGGGCACTGTCAGCCGAAACGTCTTCCATCGCCAGATAGACGTCCGGAGCAAGTCCATGGTTCGGACGATGCTTTCGGTTGAGACCGTCCCATGCTCCATCCTTGGACTGAAGTCGACGCATATGGACAAGGGGCAGGATTTGGAGCGCTCGAGCTTGCGGAAGGCATTGGACAGTGGATGGTGCGTGCCTGCGACGACGCGAGACCAGAGGATGGGAGTATTCAGCGTCACCTCTTTCCAATGGCGACAAACAAGCATAAGTGTTATCAGCATGAGTGAGTCTTCTTCCTCCATCGTCAGCACGCATGCAATAAATATCGATGCCAGGAGCTCGCTAGGGAGACGGCGCACCGGCGACTGGAGACGAACGGCGTTCTCGAGGCGGTGCTCGAGCATGTCCCGCTCGCTGAGCAGCATCGCCATTCGAGTCTCCAGATCGTTGATAGCATCGCGGAGGTGGTCAACCGATTCACCGGTAGTTGCTACGTTTGTTCTTGGGACCCACGGGTGCACGGAAGGAGGATTTGGGATGGGGGAGAAGACATGGATAGGTTCGGGCGTCGGAGGGATGAGCGGTTCGGGAGAGGGCGCACTAGGTGCGGGAGCTTCCTTTTCATGACGGTCAAATTCTTCGTATGGTGGCGGTGATGTTGAGGGTATGGGCATCCAAGAGCGGACGGGCCGGGGGGACAATACTTCGTTGGAGGGCATGGTGCCGGCTGAAGAAACCTGGATGGGTCGCTCGGTTCAGCAGACAACGCCGGATGATCTGGCACACACCTAATGCTCTATGATCCGCTATCAAGGCTCCAAAAGGGACAGATATGGATACCGTGGACGTCGGCAGCACCGCGGACTCTCTGACACACTTCCTAGCTCTATTTAGGCTGGTCTGGCGGCGAGTAGGGCGCAGGTAGGGCGTACCGCTGTCTGGCACTGCGTCAGGAACACGCCGCACAGAATGTCTCGGGCTAGTAATGGCGACATACCCGCTGTTCAAGGAGGTCGGGAGCGTCGTAAGGCCTTGAGGGGTTGAGGGATGGCCAAACTGATGCTGAATTTAAGGCTGCGCCGGGCGATTTCTGAACGAATAAAAGACTTTTTTCGTGCAGTACACGAGGCCGGAGAGACTATCTGTCCGTAGTACATCCATTCCGGAGTGTTGGAAAGTGACCTGCAACGTGGGATGGCGAGTGAGTCTGGAGACACGAGGAGAGGAACGAGGCAGATGCCTCGCGCCAAATCAGCACAGGCTTGACTGAGCGAGGATCTTATTGCATCTCAGCAATCAACCACCACGTCCGCCTTATCTTCCGATTGGTGCTCTCAAGGGCAAGCCTTATTCGAGATCACGTTGTTTCTCACCTCATGGATTGCACTGTACAAACAATAACAGTCTCCGTTGTCATAACATCAAAGGCGGAGGTCTACTGTACAGGACGGTGCATGATGATACAGATCAAACTCATTGAGCCGAACCGGCCATGTTCCGGAGTATCTTAAGGCGACCTAAGCGGCACGGAGCGTTCCGTGGTTTTGTAGTAGAGAAACTGCAGCAACACCTGCGATAGGAAACTTGTATGAGCTCATAGCCTCGCGGTGAGTTAATCTATACTTACAAAGATATCTAGGAACACTGTCAACGCACTCCCTTGGGAATCGTCAGCACCGATTTCTAACAGTAGATACCGCGTGAATACTCACCTGCAATCCACCCTGCGTTAGCTGATATATGGTTCGGCTCCAACGATAGAGTGAAGATTGAAAGCACGTAGGTCGTATTGCCAGCAATTGCGAATAGAAAAAGTGCCGAAGATAGACCTTCGCATTTGGTCTGGAAGTTCTTGACTGAACAAGTATAGCTGATTAGACTGTGTATCGCACAGTATACTGGAAAGCTTACCTATCTGTGGTATGCGAGCACCAACTAAACGGCAATGAGAACAACATCTCAGCACGGACAAAATGCAAGCCTACGATAGAGGACAGCAGAGGTCCAGCCTAGGAGTTGGCTGCGCCATTCTATAATTTCTGACGGTGGTTCGCGTGATTGCCCCTGACGCAGACGTTTGTCTATGGCCCAAGCCGCAACCCCGGTACCCAGGACGAAGATGAGAGCGCTGCCATACAGCAGGCATTGCCCGATAACTGAGTCTCTGGACTTCTCGTTTTCATTTGCCCTGCGCTCGGAAATGAGAGGCGTCTCTTCTGAAAGAACTCGCGCTGGAACATCGGCTTCCGGGATGTACCGCGACGATGCGAGTTCTTGAGATCTTCTCAGCCATCTGTAGTAGTAGATCTGTGCCAACAAGACTATATCGCAGACGGTGTACTAGATCGTAAACTCGTAAGCATGACGTTCATGAAGCGAAGCGAATAATGTGACTCACATACGCCGCGAGAATGATGATCGTCGGCAATAAGCCAGCGAGAATAGCCCCAAATAGGTTGGCAAGATCTCCGGCTAACCAGATAAGCACGAAGAATACACTAAGGCCTTCTCCTGACTTCAGCTGATAGTTCTCAATTATCTGCGGAGAATAGACAACGACCCTTCAAATTACACGTTGGTTACGAGCAACCACAACACGGAGAACAGACTTACCAGCAAGCTATGGACATCCATCCTAGCTTCAGACAGCAAGATTAGCCTGTTTTGGATAGTGCTAATTGCAAGGTAGGCGTACGATGCTGCTTGCAGTTTCACTCCCCTCGAAGGACATAGCAAATCCGGTTGCACAAATTTGCACTTCAAGATGGTTAGAAGCTTCGTGTGAGAGGTGTGAAAAGGCGAGGGGAGTAAAAGTGGTCGGCCGAGTCAGCCATGTAGAAACGGGCGTTTGTACACTGATCGCTTTCGGATATTGCCGGGACGCCTGCCGTCAGTGGGCGTCAGTCAAGGCGTCAGTGGTCTCCTCCTTCCAACATTCCACAGATTCCTAGGTCGTAGACTCCAACATGAACGGCCAGGAAGCTTTCCGGAGGCTCTCTCAGCAGCTTCAGAAGGCTAGTAAAAATGCCGGAGGTGGAGGCGGTCTGCCTGGAGGGAAGCGATTCTTCGCCGGTAGCGGTCTGCTCATTGCACTCGTCGGCGGGGGTCTCGTGCTTAATGCGAGTTTGTTCAACGGTGTGCTATCAGCTGTAATTCAAGGAGTCTTGTATTTTGACCTCTCGGTCTCCCACAGTTGATGGCGGTCACCGAGCCATCAAATACACCAGGTGCGCGATCCCATGCATCTCCATGTGTCGGTGTTTATATTCCGCGCAGGCTGCACGGAGTGTCAGAGAAAGTGTACCCTGAAGGTACACACTTAATGGTTCGCACATGTAACATGTCGATTCTTGTCGCAGTCTGATCACTTCGCAGATGCCGTGGTTCGAGACTCCCATCATCTATGATATCCGCGCGAAGCCTCGCAACATTGCCAGCCTTACTGGCACAAAAGACCTTCAGATGGTGAACATCACTTGCCGTGTTCTGTCAAGACCAAGCACTACGGCGCTTCCCACAATATACCGCGAGCTCGGCACCGACTACGACGAGCGGGTGCTCCCTTCGATCGTCAACGAGGTCCTGAAGAGTGTTGTCGCTCAGTTTAACGCGAGCCAGCTGATAACCCAGCGTGAAATGGCGGGTTTGAGACGCTTGTATCATGATTCTACAATTGCTTAACTCTTCCGTATCAGGTGTCTCGCCTTGTCCGCGAGAATTTGACGGCTCGTGCTTCGCGCTTCAACATTGTTCTTGAAGATGTCTCGATTACGCATGTCGCCTTTTCTCCTGAATTCACTCATGCCGTTGAGGCCAAGCAGGTCGCACAGCAAACTGCCTTTCGGGCAGCGTTCTTAGTCGACCAAGCCATTCAGGAGAAGCAGTCGATTATTGTTCGTGCGCAGGGAGAGGCTCGGAGCGCCGAGCTTATCGGGGAAGCGATACGGGCGAATAAAGGCTTCTTGGAGCTGCGTCGGTTGGAGGCTGCCCGCGATATTGCCACTCTTCTAGCAACGTCAGGCAACCGTGTCATGCTGGACTCGCAGACTTTGTTGCTTAACGGTGCGTGTTTGCCCAATCTGATATTACTCATAATGACCTTGATTCGCTGCGTAGTTGCCGGTGATGACGCAAAAACGCTCCTGCAGTCAGCTAAGAAGTAAAATTCTCGCGTATTCTCTACTTGTTATGTTGTCCGCCCTGTTCTTTATCAGCTTCAGAACGCTATCTGTTCATTTGCTTTGGCCGTGGAGTCTCATGCCGCACAAGCGAGGTATGCCCTTTTATACGCCGCCATGGAGGTGCCGTAGCAATTAATATTGTGCGCTTAACGTGGTATCCGGGACCTCGGATACCCCAGGACGTCTTGCGCAGGCTTATTCGCTTCCTTTGCTGATCGCCTACAACTCTCGTGTATTTCTCTACATCCTTCGCCTTGGATTTGTCGTGCAACTATGTCTCAGAACAAGCGAAACAGAGCCTATAGCTCGCATACTGGCACTCTGGACCAAGGTGACAGTACAGAACATTCCTCTGAACGTGAACCCAAGCGTGTGCGATGGGATAGCGAGGACGTGGAGAGACTCTCTACTGAAGAGGATGACCAAGAAGGAGCCGACAGTAACAACTCAGAACCTGGAAAGGTGAGAAATTAGTCAATCTCGCCACGATGTGTACCTGACAGCACTGTAGTTATATCTCGCTGTGAACGCTCAGTTGTGAGTCTTCCTTGCAAGCATAGCCATGATGTGAAATACAATTTTGTTAGTGGACGAGTTGGTGGAGCATATTATGATCCGACAACCTGCACCATCTATGTATTAGACGACAGCCAGGAAACCGGACACTACGACCTGACCAAAATGCGTGCGTGGATTGTTCTACTTCAATGTATGTGCTTCATAGTTGTCCTTAGTGCTGGACCAAGCACAGCCAGACGTCGTCTTGACTAGCTCGAAGGGCGAGGACAGCTGCATGGATATCCTCCATAGTTATAGTACGTGTTCAGCCCACTTTCGATAGCATATAACCACCTAAATCGATCAGTGGATGGTACTGGCGGCAGTTTTCAAGTGCGACCTCACAAAGACTTCATTCCGGCCAAAGGCCGGGACCGCATACTCTCCCTACGCTTGCTCTCAGAGCTACCCGAAGACAGACACATAGTAGAAGGTCTCCCCAGCAGCAGCTCTGAAGACGAACCAAGGAGTGCGTATGACTTCATGCGAAGACGAAAAGAGACAACTGGCGATCCCAACCTGCAAAAATGGAATGCTTGCATTAGGTTAGCGAATTATGCTTCTATCGAGGGCTCACCTCTCTGCGTAAGTGCGAATTACCTCAGAAAGGCTGCGGCTCACTCAGCACCCTCCATAGTTGGGCTCTGTCGGTGCGCTACTCGATCATCTCAGTAAAGTTCGCGTCATAGGCGAGCTGCACGACGAAGGCATCTCGGGTCTTGACATACGGGCCATCCAATATCTCGCGTTTCGCGACGTCATGCAGATCAACGCAGACGCCCTGTACTCGCTACAAGTATTCGACAACGAGAGTCATGCCTCTATCCACTCCGATAAGACAAAGGAGGGCTTGTCTTTATTCGGTATCCTAGACTACACCAAGACGTCTCTCGGCAAAGCGCTTCTCCGGCAGTGGCTGCTCCGACCCTCGCTTTCCAGGGATGTCATTGTAGCGCGTCATGACGCAGTGGCATGCTTCATACGCCCAGAAAATGCCACTACCATAGAGTCTATGCATGTCCACATGAAGGGCATCAAGAATGTGCCGAAGATCCTGGCCGTTATCAAGTCTGGCAGGGCGAAGGTCTCCGACTGGCAGAGTCTTGTGAAGGTCAGTTTCACTGCATCTAGCGGAATGGTGTGGCTAAGCTCTTCTGTAGTTCGCGTTCCATTCCGTTATGTTGCATGAAGCCCTGTCCGAACTGGACTATTCTGGACGAGTAGAGATAGTTAGGAAGGTGTGACATATTTTTCTACTACGTCTTCAATGATCTTGTAACAGATCTTATCATTTGATAGCTTTGCAAAGTACTCGATGTCGCTGGCATAAGATATGTCGGGAATGTAGTGAACGAAACGGTGAGCATATGCGCTGCCGACGGGCCAGTAGGCCCTCAAGTGTATGTTTTCAGATCGACTGGGAGGAGTCCAGAAACGCTGCACGCGTCTGCGTTCGTCCGCACATTGACGAAGACCTGGACAAACTCAAGCACATCTACCATGGCATTGATACCGTCCTCGTATGTTCGATAGGTTTTACTGCTACTTTTTCGCGACTAACCGAATTGCGACGACAGTCCAAAGTTGCAGAGCGGGTATCCGCCACTGTACCTATCGACTATGCGACTACTTTGAACGTGGTCTACTTCCCACAGCTAGGTTTCAAGCGTTTCATCGAAGTTTTATCCCCGATTATAATCCGTAAATGCAGGGTTTCTGATATGCGTTCCGATGCAGGACGACTGGAGAGAGAATGGTGTAGATGTGATGGAAGGCTGGAGCTTTCAAGTACTCTTTGTGCATATCCTTGCCTTATGTGCCCGCTAACACTCTTTCAGTTCTCTTCCGAGTAAGTAAAGCAGCAACCTCACCGCTCACGCATGTACCACCGACTATACGAGTAGCGTTCAGGTTTACTTCAAGTCCCAAGAAATGCATGGTCAGTCATTTTGTGCCCTGTTATCCGCAGTGCTAATCCTCAGCCACAGACCTTGATCGGCACATCGGAGATATACACTCGTCTATAGTTGGTTAGTCCGGTCGAGGTCAGACATGGACTAGTTGATCGAACGGGGCTCTAGATCGCGAGATAGAGATAGTGCAAGAGCTGCTGGAGCGCGTTATCAAGTATGAACAGGAAATGACCGCGGCGTGCGACATGTTCGCAGAGCTAGATTGTTTGCTTTCCTTCGCTGAAGCTTCCAGAGCTCTGGATTTTCATCAGCCAGAGCTATCAGACGAGAACGTCATCATCATCAAGCAGGGCAGGCGGGTACCTTGTGACTGCCATTTCGCGCGTAGCGTCTTAATCGCATACAGGCATCCTCTTCAAGAGATGGTCGTCGACACCTTCGTACCGAATGATACGTTCTTGATAGGGTCTGACTGTTCGCCGGAGGTAGCGGAGGCACTTAGCGAAGAACACGATCTTGATGACTCTGTTAAAGGGTGCAAGAACAGCGTGATGATATCTACAGGCGCGAATGCCTGCGGTAAAGTAAGTCCATCGGCGACCACTGGGCCTCGTTGTGTGCTGATGAGACGTAGAGCGTGTATCTCAAGCAGGCAAGTGCTGTAAATAGTGGTACAGACTGCCATGCCGACTGACCGCTGTTTTGCGCAGGTGGCGTTGATTCAGTACATGGCACAGGTGCACCAGTCTTCCGTTTAACGTTTGCTTACACTGATTCCTCCTGTAGATAGGATGGTGCGTATAAAATTTGATTCACGGACGTGCCGATCTTAGTGTTGCGTTTAGCTTTATCCCGGCACAGTCTGCCATACTAGGAATTACAGATAGAAGTGAGTACTGAGAAGTTACTGCTCGTAGAGACTATTGAACCTGTCTAGTCTTTACGCGCATCCAGACGCGAGAGTCAGTTTCGCGAGTATGTTTATTTTCTTTGTCTCGCCGAAGCACATGAATGGGTATCAATATCATTTAAGGTGCAATCCGCCTTCATGATAGACTTGAATCAAGTTTCCTTGGCCCTGCGCGACTCTACTGAACGTTCACTCATTCTACTCGACGAATTTGGCAAGGGTACGGTGTCATCTGGTGTGTCGTCTTCCTAGTAGGAGTGCATTGCGCGTTTGACACTGCTGCGTAGACGGGGCAGCTTTATTCTGTGGTGTGCTCAAGCACTTGATCAACCGCGGCTCATCCTGCCCGAAAGTCATTGCGGCTACACACTTCCATGAAGTGTTCCAGGAGGGCATGCTAGATCCTGGCGAGCTCCCAGTTACTTTCGTTCATATGCAGGTCTTGCTGACTTCAAGCCGAGGCGAGGTGCTGGGTATCAGCACGTCAGAGGCCTCAACTGAAAGCGGGGCCACTGAGGATGATGATATGCGAGAGGGAAATGCCATGCGTCCAAGCGAACGAATAACATATCTATACAAGTCAACCAGCTCAAGGTTAAAAGTGAAAAGACTGACATCATGTCGCCTACAGGATTGGCAGAGGCCTTAGCAAACACTCCCATGCTGCAGTCTGCGCAGAATTATTCGGTATCCCTCGACCAATCGCCCGCAGGGCTCAGTATGTCAGGTTAGTGTAGACTGGTCGCACGACTATAATGCGTAGTCTGACGCGTGGCTTCAAGCTATCTATTATCCAAGAACGAGCTCGGAACGCTCCTCGACGAAGAGATGACCGAGGATGAAAGGCTCGAGCTACAGCTAGCAGAGGAGATTTGTCGACGATTCTTGGCTTGTGACCTGGAAGCCGAGCGGGAGCTCGGAACGAGGCAACTACTAGCGCAAATTCTTGGTCGGGAAGAGACGATAGAGAACGATGGAATGGACTGAGAGGCTGAACGTGCAGATGGTCCACGATAGAGAGTAGAGATGTCGCTGGATGGATAATGGACATAGCGTACACAGATCCAGACCTGCAACGAGATACTGCGCATGCAACCGACCATTGAATAGAGCAAAGAAAAGTAGAGAAGCTTGGCGGCTTACACAGCACGCCTGACTTTGAATGACCACAATTCGAGGAGACTTCAACATTGTTCAATAAAGTTATATTCAGGTGTCCGCATCTCGGCAGTGGCTCCCTGGGGTCATAGCGTCCACTTTTCACTTCCTGCCCTTCCAGCCTTTGCATTTCTTTGCAACTCCTCCCGCATACCTATCGTAGAATGCGGGCCAACTTTCTCTCTTCTGCACCTCAAGCCATCTTGAGTCCGCTTCGACCTAAACGCGCCATATTCCAACTTGCCCTAGCTCTCCGCTCTGGCGCTCTCATCGTCTGCCTCGCCGCTCGCTCGCTCGCTCGTCCCCATCGTCTCTCTACCCATCTGCCTCGGTCATGTCTCGAATTCACCCGGTCACCGCAACCTGGGCTTGCTCTGCGGACGGCACCGTCTGACAGCTCGCGACCGTGGATGCTTCGTCGGCTTGCGCAGCTACAAGCTGACGCAAATAGTCCTCCCTCGTAGTACCCCGCCTTGCACCGCGCAGCAACCACTCGACTTGTTCGACGATATCGAGAGTTATCGTGGTGCCGTCGATGGATTGCTCCGCCGGTACAGACAAGATGTCATGCGCTTGTGATAGGCTTGTAAGAGGGACCGAACTGCAGTTTTCCCGACTCGAGGGCCCAGGTCAGCTGTGTGCGGTGCAAGACAGAGCACAAAATCCTCTTCGCGGCCTCGTAGACCTCGCCCTGTCGCCCTGACGACTCGATACGAAGAGAGAGCATGTGCGGCGGATCGACAACGTCTCGAAATGCCTCCCAAGGAAGGGACTCCATGGTTTCAACGTCCGCGAATGAGAGCTCGACGGTGGCGCTCTCGACGTATGCGAGCGGATTTCCTACACCAGGGCTTGCGCTTGGCCATCTTATTTTGAAAGTAGTATCAATATAATCGCCAATAGTGCCAGCTTGATCAACTGAACAGCAGCGAATACTAGCCGTGTCCATTGCTCAGCCAGTCAGCCTTACACTATATGCATTACGCGGAACGTGAGATACGTACGAAGCATGCTGCGGTGCTGAGTGTCAAGCCACATGCACGCCTTATTGAACGTATCGGGGACCAATGCTAGTGGTGCGTGGAGGGCGGCACCCCATGATTGGTCATCGAGACCAAGGCGAGCGGCAGCCACAAGGAGATCAGAGCCAAGTGCCGTCTCCTGGCACTGCGTTATATCGCACCAGGAGAGGAGCGGTGGAGAGCGCCGCCGAATCCTGCGAGACTGGACGACTGGCGACGGATCGAAGAAGGTGAGTCGGCTGCAATAGCATTCTTTGAGTGTTGAGAAGCCGTCGATGAGCCGTGCAGGCTCGGTCTTGCTCGTGAATACTAACCCATCGAGGGTCAGGACAGAGAGTCGGACATACGATGGAGTAAGGCCGGGTAACGATTCAAATGGCACCCAACGGCCGGCCATTGACGCCAAGTCATCCGTCCGGTTCATTGCGATACACGTGAATCTTTTTTCTCATAGTCTGGTCGAGAGCCCGTGGGCGTGGTGAAGCCAGGCTTTGGCCTCCGTAGCTTTCTAACGGATGTCTATTCGTTTGATAGCCCCGGACAGAGACGAGGTTGCGAATTGAGGGCTGTAGACGATGCTCTTCAAGAACCGTACATCTTCGGCGCTGCGTAACTCGAGTACCTGGAAGAGAATAGGTCTGATTGTTTCCGACCAGCACTTGCACACGAGGCTGGGCGCAATGAGTGTATGTTTCAAGCGGCGGCGTGCGTCCAAGTCAGAAGTAACGTAGGTTGGCGTGATACAGCCGAGAATGGACGATAGCGTTTCAGGTGGCAAGTCAGCTCCCGCAGCAGACGACATCTTGCGGAACGAGAGATCAAAGGCACGAGAGTCTGTAGTTGTGCGAGGGTGTGAGTGCAACCAGTGGTGTGGAGGATACGAGTGGACAGCGGACGACACAACACCCGGCGCTCATCCACTTGCCCCGCAGATATTAAGTTTGCAAGGACACCGCTTTGCGGTACTTACTTGCATTTTTTGAATTTTCCACGCGCACCGCCATGAGCTCAAAGACAAGACGGCTGACCTTATTGGCATGTACAGCCAGGACTTTCAAGTCAGGATTGTCGGACAGTTATTTGCGAGGACTCCCACATTGGCGGCACGTCGATGAGGGAGCTGCAACTCGTTTTGTGGAGCTGTCTGGTCGCGGGCCCGTGGCGAACGTTTGTCCAAAGGCGGGCAGAACGACCTGGGGAAAAATAATGACATCCTGTCCAGATAGCAACTTAGGCAACTTACGTGCGCGCTTAGAGCCGTACTCTGGTATCGATCGGACTGGAGAGAGGGTATGGGGACCCGCCCGGCGAGACGATGGTGATGAAACCAGGCTGGCAACAGCGTACACGAGCTAGAGCTGTAGATAAAATCAGGTTGTCATTTAATCCGCAACATGCACCCGACGTGTGTCGTTCTTTGTGGTGTCGGAAGGCCTACCGCTCTGACAAGAGGACGGACCGTGCCAGCTCAGCGAAAGACGTCGTGTCCGAGTCTCAATGCGTCCGAAACGCGGGTTTGCAAGAGCCTACCTTCACGATGAAAGTCACTCTACTAGACACGTCATACACTCGCGGGGCCCCACCTTGTTGTGATGGTCGCTATCATGGGCGTTGTGAAAATGTTATCATCGACATCCTATACTAGTAAAAGTTCACTCAAACTTTCGACAACGTGTATGAGGCCGAGACACTGCGAGACGCGCTTAGGCCCCTCCGTTTACTCGGGCTTTGGCTGTTCTGCTGCTTCTATTCGCGGCACCTCCATGCTCTTTCGTGCCGCAGGCTGCTTGTGAACGATATCTGCGCCGTCTTGCTTCTGCTGCTCTGACTGGCCGGAAGGCTGACCGTTAGGCACAGCCTGCCCCTGCCTGAGCCCTGCCTCGCGTGGCTGTTGGGGGCGATCCTGTTGGTCAGCAAATTCGTCTTTATCGAAGGAGCGCTTGCAACAGCGAGTACAGCATCCTGCTTGGTGACCGTCACCGGACCCGGAGCCCCAGGCGTTGTCTGAGACGGTTAGCGCACAGCGGAACAGCGGTCAAGGCGGGGGCGTACTGAATAGACACCATTGCTCTAAAGACTCCGTACAGCATATGCCTAAAGTGAGTCAGCTCCCTGCGTCATAGCAGTAAGAATAGACACGCACAGCACAGCCCGCCCGCGATAATCCCAGCGTCTGCAGCATCTGTCATCGTACTAGTCCTGGGTTCGTTGTGGGCGAGGATTGCGGTGGTTGTGTTAGAGTGTCAATGAGGGGCGAATCAGGTCAAGAACATCTTAAATGTCCAAGAAATGGTAACGAAGGTTTGGCAGGAGATGTTGAGCAGGGAAAGAGCACTGCCGAGAGGAGACGGCAGGGGCAAAGCGCCGCCGAAGTTCCCAGGGACATCTGTATCAGGTTGAACTCAAACCTTGTGCTGGCTCACGATGACCTCAGCCTCGCGAACACCCCGTGAGACAACTCGCAGCGGGAGGCAAGATTGGCAATACCACCCGCGCCGACGACAGTCATGAGGCCCCTAGCGCACGGCGGGCATGGCGCAGCATTGGTCGCCCACCGTCCCGTAGTCGCTGTCCACAGCCCCCGCGAAGCCGGGACGAGAAGGGTACAAAGAGAGGTCAGGTGCACGGATACGTCGGCGGCTGCGAGTGTCACAGTTCCAGATTGGTGCATCTGCGGTGCCGTGGGCTGATACAAGCCCGAAACCTCCCAGCTGCTTATGAAAGCCAGGTGCTGTGGCCGTGTGTCCCCAGCTTCCACGACACGCACACCCAACAGCCAATACTCGACCGGAGCGACCACGAAAGAAGCTCAGCCTGAAGTGCTCTCCCCTCTATCCGCCCCCCGAAGCTTGGACGAGGGTGTACTCGGTGCCGCTGCGGACAGTGAAAGGCATGCTGTGCTGCTGAGCGTTGCACGACCCCACACTCCCTCGCTCTCTGACTCTCAGCTTGTCATCTCCCTCCATTGCACGTCGCGCTATACGGCCTGCTCACCGCCCCTGCCGCCCTGTCCTCGCCGCCTCCCCCAAGCGACGCATAAAAAGTCTCCTCGGCCCTGTGATAGAATCTTCCTGGTCCGAATCGATCGCCCTCCCATCTCGCCCTTCGTAAGCCATCCCCAAGCAAAGCGCCACAAGCGACTGCCGTTGCACGCGTAAGCATCTCGGCAATGTACACCCAAATCACAGATGTTCTCTTCTCCGAGCGCGAGGACAGCCTATGGGACGCCTCGACTCTCTTCCCGGGCGAATCCAGAAATCTCTCTGTGACACAGCCCATGGGTGTATTCGACAGCAACGACTACCCACTTCTGCTCTCATACCCAAACCCAATGTTGCACAAAAGCCTCGACGATCTCTCGCTTTCGCTCAACGCTCCCCCGTCCTTGCCAGAAGTTGCGCCGATGTCATGGCGTACGGCGGCAACGGAGGCGGCAGAGGGCATTCACTACGTGAAAGAGCGCTTCCCGAGCGAGCACGTCTCGTACCTCTCACCGCCGTTTAGGATGGAGCCGATTCAGGTTGAGGCAAACGAGAAGGTCGTGCTCCTCGACGAAGTCTCCGACTTCGCGGTGAGGGTGCGCAAAGTGGACGACGGCACGGTTGGTGTCGTACCCGTGTGGGACATCGAGGATCCGCTGGAAAGACTGGCGAGGATGAACATGGAGTTAAATGAAATCGTGAGTCGCCGCATACATGTGTCCGTTCAGGGCAGAGGGCTAGATACACATGCAGGTCACGTCGCCGTCATCACCGGCCTTCCGTCGCACGTTTGCGACCTCCTTCCCGAACCAGACCTTCGTGCACTCGATCAACGACAAGACGGGCGCAGCCGCCGACGGCTCGTTCAGTTCGCCTGAAATGGGCTCGGACGACGACCTACCCGTAACGCCCACCTCGCTCGGCCCAACGCCGCGCAAGCTGGAGGCACGCAAGGTTGAGTTTGCGCAGACGCCGCAGAAGACAATATTCCGCTATCTGAGGCCAGAACACTTCGATCCTGACGTCAGTGATGATGAGCGCTGGTGCGATGGCTGGGAGGAACGCGAGGGCGCGGTCGACGAGGAGTCGGAGGGTGTGCCCGCCGAAGGCGCTGCACCGGCCGAGCAGGAGCGGCCCAGTCGACCGAGGCTCCGGAGGCAGGAGGCATTCTTTGCGTAGGACCCCGACGTTTGGCATTCCGTTACGGTTTCTCAAGACGATATTTATGACTTGTTATGATTGGAATATGACTCAAGCTTGCTCTCCTCCTCACAAAGGCTCCTAGCATTGGACTAATTCTCGTGTATCATAGAGGGTCTATATTTATGTACCGTATGTAGCTGACTGCTCTCGGTTTTTGTAGTCGCCTTACTGCTGCAGGCTACTGCCGGTATCGAAGTTCGAAAGAATCGGAGTTAACGCGGCAGGGTACTGAATCACTAAGTCCGAGTGCGCCTGGTCAGCGATAGTGATGCCAATTCCATCTTGTCGTTACATATACCACTTTAGGCCCCTTTCAGTAACCCGTGAGTTTGCAAACTCAGACCCAAGCGCTAGTGTGACCAATAAGTGACAAGCCTGTGACTACACGTGACAGCCGCGAAAGCACCGTTCTGCCGCGTCGCGCAGGGCGGGGAGCAGGCCCTGAGTTCGTCTGAGGCTGGTGAGTGCAGAAATTATGGTATGGTCCCCCGAAATAGTACTGCTGCAAAGAAATGACAAGCTTGGAAATAACAGCGGTCAAGATGAGTAATGAGAGCTTCAAAGGCAGGACTTTGTGCATTTTTCACTGTTCAGCACAGGCCAGAAGGGTTGCCCTAGGTATTACCCCAGCTGATGCTATGGATGCAGCAGGAACTTGTCTCGGACGGCGGAGGCTTGCTTGCAGACGGAGGGCATCACTTTGACTAAGTGGAATTACATGTGCAAGTGACAGCGGGGTGACTGGGCCGGCATGCCGGAACTCGCGCGAGTTTTCAAACTCACGCGAGTTTCGAAACTCACGGGTTACTGAAAGGGGCCTTATGTAACTTAGAGAGCCTGCTCATTCGCTGGACTCGAATCTCACTAACTTACAACTGGTCTAGCGGTCACGTTGACGTCGCACCGGCCCGTCCTGGTCTGTCGATACCGTCATCATAGCATTCTCGCCCTTTGTAATGGACGCCTGAGCAACGGGAAAACCAAGTATTCGCCAAGGTCTTTCGAATTCCACTGTTCTGCAACTGCAGAAACGGTCGCGCTTACTGTACCTGTACGACTAGTCCGGCGGTCACGCGCCACGCCAATTTTTCGCTAGCCCCTCCAATAATTTTCTCTCGATTTATGGCGATTTTGGGGAGTCATCGGAAAAATTATTTTGGGCGCTTCCCATCGGACGGGTACAGTATCCTTAGTCCCCAAATTCTGATTCCTGACTACAGGAGGCATAAAATCTCAACAAGACAAGGCAAAGCGTCCCACTTAGATTTTTCGCTGGATTTATTGACTTTTTAAACATATGTTGTCAAAAGCAAATGACCAACAGTCCTTGTGGCGTCGTCGGTGTTGCGCCATCAAAAGTTGATTTTTGGGCCCGCTAACGCAACTTGCATCCAGCCAGCTAGTGAGCCATCTGCTCACGTTCATGTCCCTTTGAAACATGAGGTGTAAACGCGACTACTTAGTTTGCTACCTAGGAGCTCTGACTTAGATAAGTACTGCGATGCGATCTGGAGGCAAACGGAAGCCAAACCCACGTAACCAATCTGTAGCCGAATACTCCAACCATCCGAACGTCGACACAGGCCGGCTCACCGACCCTGTCCATCCTCCCCAATTCTATCCGCATTCTGCCTCCGCCGACGTGAGCCCCCTCGTGCCTGAGGTGACGCGTCAGGTACCAAGTGCGATGGGGTCTTTGCACCACACATCCATGGCTTTGTCTGTTCGCACTCGGTTGAGTGCGAGAGACGGAAGGGTACGCTCCTGCAATCTGCGCAGCCGTTCGAACGCCGTGGATCCTGGAGGGCGTGGGCAACGGATGTGAAGCGCACGAGACATCGTTCGAAGAGTTTCGTGTGAGTGATGCTTTAGACTACACATAACGCGTGCGAGCTGACTGTCTCTGCCTCAACCTACGATGGTGGCCCATATGAAACCGGTACTTTTATGTCGGTATCCAACGGGGAAGGAATGGTGATGGCTGAGGCAAAGTACGTAGCCTGCAGTATTATCTTATAGTGTCACACTAAACTTCTGTTGTGAAAGACTTCGCGCAGGCGGGGGATTCACGAGTAATCAAGGATAAATTCCTAAAATAATTCTACATGTTCTTATATAGGTTATCTACTTCCTAATCTGGTCAGACCAATAAAATGTACCTTAGGAAGCTGAGACTAAAAGGAAACATAACGGGGTGCAGAGCCGAGAGTGCTCTGCGCGGGTCATATCTAAAACGGGCATGACAGATCCATATTGGGCATGACGGCCTAAGCGCGTCATGTCGGTATCTCTGCCCGCGCGGCTGATGCGCATCCGGCGCCTCAGATACCACAACAACTTCTGATGCTACAGTGGCGGGAAAGATGCTGGTGTAAAGTATATTAGATGCATGTCACTCGAAGGGGACGAGACCTTGTTCTCCCTCGAGCTGTATAGGAGGCGGTGTCGGGTCAGTATCCTAATCCTCAGCAACTTGCATATCAAATGCTACAATTGTGCCCCTGTGTGCACGCTGCTAGACTCCGAAGTGTGCATCGATGTTACCACAATCCAAGGAGAACTGCAGCTACGGGCCTCGGGCCCCGCAATGTCACTCTTCATGCAGCACAATGCAGCCCCCTTTCGTACGTTCCTTCGTTCTTTCTGCAGCGGCAGCGCTGCGATGAGGTGCTCATTTTATTATCCGAGGACAGGCATGGCGTTGCTTCAGCTTAAAATCATTCCTCGCGCCCACCGGACAAGGCACCAGGCGCCGCATGACCTCATCGATCTTCAAAGTGTGCCACGCTCTGGCCCCCACGATGCTACTCACCATATACGGAAATTTTATTGCCAACTGCTGTGCGGTGTGGTGGCTCGTTACGTAGCCAGAATTTATGTCAGGTATGGAGTTTGCACTGATGTGCCCGGGAGGCTCAACACGATGCTGCTATTCCGCACAGGGTCTCGCGGGTGTCTATCCCGGGCAAAAACTGCACGGCAACGCTGCCTACTTTGTCGTCGCTTGTGCTAGAGTGCCGCCCCTCCTCTGTCGCTCACGGGGTAGGAGTACGCCGTCGGGCTCAGTGCTTTGACGCTTTGGCGCCCTGTACAAGCATATAAAGCCTCGACGTGTCATTTGGGTCTGCAGACACTCAGCTCCTACACGCCCTCTGCATATACTTTCCTCACCTTATCTCTTCATTCTTAACACAATGTCCCTCTGGAGTGGAACGTACATTATCACCAGCAAGGCCAACGGCTTTCGCGTCGGTTAGTACTACATCGAGGACATGTCGCCTATGCTGAAGCGTATTACCACAATCTCCCCCGGGTCAACTTTAGGGGACCCTCTGCAAAGCCGGTGCGCGCCATTGCTGCTCATGCTTCCCCTTGACCGATTGTTTTTGCACGCAGTGAGAACTCGAGAGGTGTGGCGACGACTGATTCAAGCTGTAGGCGAACGACGCGGCAGTTGGCGATCGCGACGGCCGTGTCGTTGCTTATCTGTTCGAAGCTGAGCAAGCGAACGAGTGGATCATCAAGCCGTGCCCGCAGATGGGCGAAAATTGTTATACGTGAGCGGTCGGCGCTCTGCACGATATAGACCGTCGTACTGATAGCTATGTTTGTTTTTGTGAAGCATCATGAAGCCCGGTGAACCCCTCGGTTGGATCGTCACCGATACAGACGAGGAGACGCAGGTGCGGCCAATGAGTACATATTCTGCCTTGTATGTGTCATTGACGAGTGTCTGTACTCAGATTGTCGTTCGCCCCCTCATCGTCGCCCCCTCATCGTCGCCCCCTGTGAGCCTCCGATGTTTCCTGCCAATGAAGTCTTTGTCATTGTTCGTGACGGCAACTGATGGGAGGACCAATATATCGATGGACAACGCGACTTTTGACATGTGACCTGGACCATAGCGAATCTAGCCTTCGAGTAGTAGGAATTTAAGTAGGCCCGAGTATCCTTGGGCACACTTCACAGGTCCCACTTTGGCGGCGCAAGACCAAGTACGGTGGTGACGCGGCCTGGCAGGTGACGTTGGACGTGTGAGAAAATTCATCAGTCGCATGGCCCAGGAAGTAGCCTGTCCATGTAAAAGGCCGACGAGGCTTCCGACTCTTCCATTCCTCTAGCGCATCACATCGCCACCATGGATTGACAGTTATCTTCCCGATTATTGCATGCTGAGCCCAACGTCGTGTTGAACCCGTCATAGGGCCCGTCATCGAACCCTCGGCCTCAAGCACGACCGTTCTCGCGCACACATATGTAAGCACAGTCGGCGAGCGCAGCGCGCACATCAGAGCCCGCTGCGCGTTGCACTCCCCCGTTTTCAAGTCCTATTCTGCGTACCCGATATGCTGCCCGACGGGCTGTACACCATCGTTTGCAAGGCAAGTGGCTGCAAAGTCGGTCGGCACCTCGTCGAAGCCAAGACCCTCCTGCCGAAACGGGTGATGGTGCTCAGACCTGAGGGTAGTCTCAGAGGGGCATCCGAGGCCCCAGTGCGTTCCGATCTCTGGGTACTCTTTGCCGCACATACTTAACCCATATCCTGGCAGTGGCTCATCCAGCGCACCGGCGAAAAGGACACATACAAGATGCAGGCGGGCGGGGCGCTCGTCGGCGCCCTCAAGTCGAGGCTCGTTGCACACTTGACCACGGAGGAGGATGCTAACACGTGGGTCATTACCCACCGCCCAGAGTTCGGTGATCATTGCTTCACGTACACGCGAACCCGTGGCTTGACCCGTGCATGTCGACTGATATACCCGCGATATCTAGGATCCAGAAGCCTGACCTGTCTGCGGGATGGATCGCGAGTCGTCTTGAGAACGAGACCCCGGTAGGGCGTCCTGCCACTGTCTCATTTCATGGCTCATAGGTCTATCCTCAGCTCGCTGTTCAACCACTCAACACAACGAAAAGCTCAGCTCCTGCAATTTCCGAAGAGCACGTCTTCGTTATTGTCTCTGTCGCGAGCACACAAGTATGCGCGCCGGAAATGTAGGTCCATACGTGCACCCGACGTCGTGAACACGATGAAATGGATGCAAATCGTGGTGCTGGGCCTGTCCAGACGTGTCCCGACTGTTAAGCACCTATTAGATGTACTAGATTGATGTGGACACTGGGATTACTGTACTGCTGTCTGCCACCATGGCCTAATCTTTTCATGGATTCCTGCGTACATCTAGGAATGAATATGATAAGTGTCGAAGCTGCACTAGGGTCGTCTCCGAATCGTTTCATTTTCCAGACACTCTACAAATAACGTGACGCTGCGACGCGTTTGTTCATTGGACGCCAAGCTCAGGCGATTCCCGATGAGTGTCTCGGTTCCAGGACGCTGAGCAAGCGGGAGGCAGTAGAGTGCAGCGGTACAGCCTGTTGCAAACTGTTGCAAAACGATAGACCACCTTGAAACCTTCGCTAGCACAGTGATTTGGTGCTCCGACCTTATAACCCCGGATGCGGGGCAGCTGCGTGACGCTCATCGGCCTTGGACGACGGTGAATCGCTGAACGAGTCGCATCCAAAGCTCGCAACCCCGATGCTTCTGCTTCCCTATACTGGTTAACCTTCGGCGACACACTCCTGAATAGCACATGCACAAGGTGCACCCGCCGTCGGTATTCAATATTCAACGCTTACGACGGTATACGGTTAAGCGTCTGCTGCGTGATGCAGCGGAAAAAATCAGGGGTGGCTGTAACAAACCATTTGTAATGGTCGATTAGCGAACTTTGTAAATTTCGCTTATCCGCGCAAAGGAAACTTCAAACTCCGAAAGCCCTCACCAAAGTCGAGCCGAGCACGGGGCTAATTTTATACTATTTTGCGCGGATAGAGGTGCAAAAGCACATTCAGTTTGTTTCATAAATACACCTAAGCTATTCCCCCATGGGGATGTTATCGTTTTAGTGGTACAAAAAGATACACTGCTTTTACACCTTTTGAGGTATTAGAAGAGTCGAAATATCCTTAGGGCGAAATCATCATCAAGTTCTTTCTCCATGTGTATTACTCTATATATGGATAGCCCAGCGGTAGTTGCACCTCTTTTTGCTGCGAGCTGACCAACTTTTTACAACAAGATTGACTAAAAAAAGGCGACTTTGTTTTACTCTTATTTTCAAATTTTACCTATCATATATTTTCGCCGGAAAGTGTTCAGGCTTTTTAGCTTCTTTTCTCATGGTCATTTTCGTACCTCTGTCAGCTAAAAATATTTACTAATTAGCCCTGTGGAGGCAGCCCGTAGCCAGTGAGCACGATTATATTGATTCAGCCAGAGCGGCATATTGCAGTGGAAACCTGGCGATTATTCGCAGACGCTCCTTCAAATCCAGCGCACGATTTCCATCATCTGAGAGCGTCTCGACGACGTTCGTGAGAGCTCGTGTACATCTATAGCTCAGCCATGATTGAGTTTACGATAGGCCGCCCTTATAAGCTCAACCAACCGCACGCGTGCCCTTTTTCTCCAGCCACGACAGGTCGAAGGCCACGACGCTCGCCCCGCACAGGCTGCCTCCGCGCGGCCTCTCTCGCGAGCGGGCCAAGGCCCGAGAATTCAAGTCCTCCAAGATCGCCCCGAGCTGGGGCTCGTCCTAAGGGGCGAAGCGACGTGACCCGCAAAGTCACACCAGTTCATGTACCCGGGTGCGGGGCCCGTCCCGCTCCTGGGGGGCATCGGAGACGCGGACGAGTGGGACCCCAAGCTGCGGCGTGCGCCAACGTATGCCATAGCTTTGGGTCTCAGCCGTCCGCCGAGAGGATGGAGTGGTGGTGTTGAAAGGCGTCGCGGGGACTTGGCGAGATCCTCTGCCGTGCTCCCGGCCGTATCGCGTCCTCCTCAAAGGTTCTGCCTGCAGACCTGGTTGTCCACGCGGACGCTCATGCCGCAGTGGGCGCGCAGAGTCACAAGTGGTGCAGACGGGGACGTATGAGCGGCTGCGTGCAGCGTTCGGTGCGAAGAAGATTCTGGTCATTGAGTGCAATCGTGGCTCGCGGAGCTTGTCTCTTGCGAAACCGAACTCGGCCTACTCTCGGTCTGTCGTATCTCACGAGAATTCGACCATCTCGTGTCAAGTCGTTTTCTCACTCTATATCCTTCTCGGTATTGCTCTATGGGTATGTCGATCCTCTCTCAATCTGTCAAATTTGTTGGACTGACATTGGCTGGCTAGAATTGCTGCGCTATCTTGTTTCAAGTTGGCGGAGGTGGCTAAATTGAAGAGGCTGGGGGCACATACAATGCCCCACTTCCAAGTCTACGAGCCGCATTCCCCGCCGTGTAGAACGGCGCTGACGTCCAGCACCTTCAAAGCCCAAGATATTCTCGATCCCCATTGCACGCCGATTCCCCTTCATTATCCCTCAGTCCGCTCACCAGAGCCCTCCGTTCCTTCTATCAACCTCCCATGGTACCGGCTACTTACCCACACATGTGAGATGGAGGCTGCACAATGCCAATCCTAGTGCTAACCATGTCCCTTCCAACAGATCCCCGCTGCTATACGGAACACAGCCGACTCCCAGCCCCGTCGCGGACGACGGGCTGGAGGCCGCCTCCAGCGACGAACATCCCTCGCATGGAACTACTCCGTCAGCTGCGCAACTTCATGTTGTGCTGGAGGCGGCCTCCGGCCCGTCGTCCGCGACGGGGCTGGGGGTTGGACGTGTATACCGTCGCACCCCCGTCACCGCTACTGCTTTTTTCTCAATATTACGCACGCTGTCGCTCCCACTCTGGTGAGATAAGTTCCTTGCGATCTCAAATCCTGACACTAATGATCTGAGCTTTACAGGAACTGATCTGTCAGATGCTATATCATCTAGTTTAGAAAAGCTTTCTGAATAACTATGTGTTGTCGTCTCAAAAACCCTATGCAATATGAACGTTGTTATCATGTGCCATTGCGACTCGGGTGAATTCGGCGCTGGTGAACATGGTCCCAAGCACAGGGGGTGATACAAGTGAAATATGATGTCAAATACGAGTCTTTGTTACCGTAAAAAACGAGGTTCGGGACTTCAATATTTAAGTGCTGAGGTCAAAATATATTGCCCTTTTTGTATTAGAAAAGGTTATATCTCTATATTTCGGCGTACGATCGCGTGCCTCATTCCCCGCCTGAATCTCAGCCAAATCTGAGACATCGAACCGTTTCGACAACAGCCTTGCAACAGCCTCAGAGGTCTTTAAGGCCGCCTATTGCTGAGTGTGAAGCTTGAAGCTTGAAGGTGTACCACCACAACGACACGTCAGAATGGTCCTCATGTATATTGCAACGTCCCTCGCAGTCAGCATAGCTGCTGTTGCCGCGCAAGGTGGAGGATTCGTCAATCCAACGACCCAAAACGGCAGCTTTTTCCTCACAGCGAATGATGGCCTTGGAGAACCGCTTAACGTATGTACTGCATTCACCAGTATTACCTTGTGATGAAGTATCTTTGTGCTCTAGGTTGTAATATCAGGCCTAAGCTCTCCAGAAGTCTTAACGGATAATGGGTTTCTCAACTTCGCCCGTGCCGTAGGCCTGTAAGTACTGCAGTTTTAGTGCGATTATCACTTTCTCACGTAGCCGGTGAAGCACTCAAGACTGCTCTATATTCCCTGCCGGAACTCCGTTCACGGCCAACCTCGGCGACGGTGGCGGCCCCCAGAATCAGACCATGGAGCTTCGCGAGGATTTTGGCGATCCCTTGTTCGGATCTTGCCTTGAAGTGTTTATGGGAGGCGTCCACCTGCGGTATGTTTGGCGTTTCGCAAACATACTCGTGTCTGAAACTGAAAATTTTCGCTAGCGTCTTCCGGCAGAGTGGCCCGCTAGCCAATACGAGTGCTCTCTTCCTAGCGTAGGTAGCGGTGAGGCTGTCGCGCCAGATATGCTGATACAATCTCGATTGTAGGGTTTCTAACGAAGAAGACCTGTTCCATAACCATACGATCGCCCAAAATGGCTATGATACGGGCCGGTATGTGCAATGTTCTTCCAAATCTGGATTTTGTATGCTGACACCTGCGTAGGGATCTGTTCGCTAACACGGCAGCTGGGATAACGCAATTCAACGGGACCTCGTACAATACTACTGTGCAGAATCTGATAGGCGTCATGCCAGTCGGCAGCCAGGGTGTGAACCATGGTACGCACAGGTTTCTGAATTTATACGGCACGTTACTAGTAGCGCTCATGTTGATTCGTGGCCGTAGGGATTCCTGTCGACGGGAACGCAACCTTACTCACAGTTACCATAGTGTAATACTGGGCGCTATGATTACACCTGGCGGAGGCTACCACGATATCATTTATTATCAGATCTTAACGATGACCAGCAGCTTTAATACTCCTTGAGGTCCTGAGACCAAGCCTCGGATGCGGCAACGTCCTTCTGCAGAAGCTTCAACTGAGACTTCACTGTGTCAATGGCGTCCTGCCCGAGGACAATCCTGAGCGGAGGTTGAGACAGCTCGGAGATCTCGTAAATCCTCGCGACTGCCTTGTTCACGTCACCGCCCTTGAAGTCCGGGGCAAGTGAAGCTTCGAACGCATTCCAGACTTGAGCTGCAGGGGTCGTTGGCTTCGAGTACGCGGGAAGCCGCTTCGGTCTGAGCAGATCGCTGTTCAAGCCGGGCGTCCGGAAATGACCTGGCTCGATGAGAGTGATCTGTCTTCCGGTGAGCATATAGTCGCTCATGCGCTCCGAAACTAGCTACTTACCCTGATGTTCCATTCAGGATCGATCTCTTCGGCGATGGCCTGAGTGACAGCTTCGAGAGCTGATGTGTACACATTAGCCTAATTTTGCAGGACCAAAGCCTATGGCGTACCGTGTTTGGTGGCACTATAGTAACCAATGCAAGGTAAGGGCCGGAGGCCTGCAACCGAGCTGATGGTGATCAACCTGCCTCCGACGCCGGGCGCTTTTTCCTCTCTGAAGAATCTCACAGCTTCTCTCGTCACGTTAGCGGCGCCGAAGAAGTTCGTCTCGAACAGCCTGCGCGCGATGTCGTCCGGTGTGCCCTCAATCTCACCCGTGGCGCCCATGCCAGCATTGTTGAACACGACATCGATAGGTCCGAATACGCCCTTGGCCCGTGTGAACGCCAGGAGGATCTCTGACGGTTGCGTAACGTCGAGCTTGAGGACGAGGAGCTGGGTGGTGCTGTACCGGGACCGAAGGTCGGCGAGCTGCTCGGGCCTACGCAGCGTCGCGACGACCTTGTCTCCTTTCTTCAAGGCGAGCTCGACCATGGTTCTGCCTATTCCAGTCGAAGAGCCGGTGACTGCAGAGCAACAGGTGAGATCATAGTTTTGATACTAGGATCGATGAGATTGACCGCACCTAGCCAGACACGGGCTGGGGACATGCTACGAATGGTTTTCAAAAGTTCTGGGATTTGGAACTGCGCTGCGAAGACGGGGGTGGCTGCAGGTCTATAGATCCATGAACCCCATTCTACTGCCTTTTATATGATATCCCACTGCTTCTCGCATTTCTTCTCCAACTGGAGGCTCTTGCTGGCGAACTTGAACGAGCACCATTCGGCCACAGATCCACCGCTGCCCGTTTCGGCTTATTCAGCCTAGGACCTTGCACTGCCTTAGTAAGTATGGGAGAATCCTCCTAAAACTGGCTAAATATTTTGAGAGTATGCTTTGCGCTGTATGTCGCTGCAAATTTGCAGTGGTACATATCCCGGTTGGTCGGCGTTTTGTTGTGATGGCTCCGAGTCGGTGCCTCACGTTCCACGCATGCGTTTCAATAGACCATGAACCATTAAGCTGCCCTATATTGCATGAAAACGGACATAAAACAAATCATGATACCCAAATTCACTGCTCGCTACTCCAAAAGTAGGTTCGAGTTATTCGACGTATTTATCGACGAAGGGAGCTGGGAGGAGCGTCTGCGGTGAGGGGTGCCCAGGGTCCTGGTCTGGTATCGTCATGACCCCGTAGCGTAGTGCAATGGTGCGAAGCCGCCGCTTAGCATGCCTCGCGGTTCAGAGCGTTCACGCGCGAGCATAGAATATCTTAACGGAACCTCGTAACTACCAATAACACTGCACAGAGCTTAATGGTACCAATCGGCTCTTATGGCGCGTGTCACGGTACGCCTCTCTGTCTTTTCTGATCTGCGCTGCTCCGGACGCTTACGCCGGCATACGAGCACCCAACGCTCATGGGACACTGCTGCTTAGTGACCAACTCGAAGACCGCTTCAGTGTTATCACGCAACGCTTGCTTTTTCACGTGTATGATTGGTAGTGCGTAACATACGTATGAAGATATGATGCACAATGCGGGAAAGCTGGCGTGACCCGCCCATGTTGCTGTCGAGTCTCGACAGACATGCTTTTCGATTTACCGCTGTCATGAGATAGGTTGTTGCTTCTGCACCGAATTATTTCGTGAAAGCTGCTACAGCATGATATTTTGTGATTATCCTGTTATCAACCCGCTTAATCCTCCCTCAGGTTCTGAGACCAAGTTTCGGACGCGTCGACGTCCTTCTGCAGGAGCTCCAGCTGGGATCTCACGAAGCCGATGGCATCCATTCCAAGGATGATCCTGAGAGGGGGCTGAGACAGCTCGGAGATTCCGTATATTTTGGCGACCGCCCTATTCACATCGCCTATCTTGAAGTTTGGGTCGCCAGCGGCTTCGAAAGACTTCCAGACTTGAGCTGCAGGCGTTGTGGGCTTCGAGTACGCGGGAAGCGGAGGTGCTGCCGTTCCCTTCTGCGCCGTGGATGTCCGGAAACGACCAGGTTCGATCAGGGTGATCTGCTTCCGCGTAAGTGCGACGCCCAGATGCTGCAAGACTGGGCACTTGCCTTGATGTTCCAATCAGGATCGATCTCCCCGGCAATGGCCTGCGTGGCAGCTTCGAGAGCTGGGTGTGTACGCGTCAGCCTAATTCCAGGAAGACCAGGGCGCAGGACGTACCGTGCTTGGAGGCACTGTAATAGCCCCCAACAGCGATGGGCTTAATGCCAACGAACGAGCTGGTTGTAATTAGCCTGCCCCCGGCGCCAGGCGCGTTCTCCTCCCTGAAGAACCTTACCGCTTCCCTCGTCACGTTTGTTGCACCGAAGAAGTTTGTTTCGAACAGCTTGCGCGCGATGTCGTCTGGTGTACCCTCAAGTTCGCCCGCGGCAGCGAAGCCGGCGTTGTTGAACACGACGTCGATGCGTCCGAAGGCGTTTTTCGCCTGCGCGAATACCGAGATGATCTCCTTCGGCTGTGTGACGTCCAGTTTGAGGATGAGGAGCTGAGTTGGACCGTATTGGGCTTGCAGGTCCGCAAGTTCTTCGGGTTTGCGCAGCGTCGCGACGGCCTTGTCGCCTTTCTTCAGGGCGAACTCGACCATGGCTTGGCCAAAGCCAGATGAGGAGCCGGTAACTGTGCAAGAATACGTAAAATCAGGACATGAGATTCAACGACGAGATTGACCACACCTAGCCAGACGCGGGATGAGGACATGTCACAAATGTTCTGCCAGGGGGTTGGAACTAGTATGTCGTGGAGACGAGTACGATCGCAGATATGTAGTTCCACGCATCTCTCTCTCGTACGCCTTTTGTACTGTGGTCCACTTCTCCTGACTTTCTCTCAAGCTGCCGGCCCTCGCCGCTGACGAGCTCTGACCAAACACCGATCAGTCGCAAATCTCGACCGCCCAGCGTACCTTATGTATACCAGGGCTCCTCGGATTTCTTAGTAAGTATACCCGAGCTAAGGAGTTCCGCCGGTCGAGTGATTTGCGCCGTACGTGCCACCAGCTTTGAGTAATACAGATAGCCCGGTCGGTCGGGATATGTTAGCCGATGGCTCAGCGCCTTACGCTTTGCGCAAGCACGATAGCGGCACACTCACTGCTGGCCACAAATTCCTTTGCCATCTTGTGAGCCATGATCCAGATATCCATTCAGTCCACTCTTAATGCTGTACTTTTGAGCGCACCTCGTGGGTGTCTGCGAGGCATGCGGCGCAAAACATCAGGGCAGCGGGGACATATATGGTAAGCGCGTTGAGCCTACTTCGAACGCCGTCGTCATTCTTCGTGTGGACTTAGCGCATGAGAGTTGAAAATCTTTGGTAGCTACGAGTATCGCGTGGGGCGCGTCCTAGAATTACGATGTGTTGCAAATCACGTTATTGCGGCCGTCCATATTGCAGCCTATGCGCTTTCTGTTGTTATCGTATTTCCCTCCGGCTATCAGCTTGCCATATCATTAGACTGACGCTGATAACAGACAGTTTAGGTCCGAAAAGCGGTAGTGACACCCCTCGTTATGAAAAGAAAAGAAAAAAACGCAGAGTTCCCATCTAACTTCCACTTCAACGCCGTCCGGTGGGCGAGGTGCGGGGTCGAAGCGCTTAGACAGAGGTGGTAGTAGGGCCGCTAGCCGCAGTTTCGGTAGAAGTACCAGGAGAGGTGCTGCAAGTGTCGGAGGCAGGGGCAGCTTGAGTAATGTTGGGCGCAGTAGCAGTAGTAGGACCAGAACCATTGGCGGCCGGAGCAAAAGTAGCAGCGGGAGTAGCACTAGTGGTGGCGGCGGTGGCGGCAGTGTCGCTGTACTTCCAGGACTGAAGACCGAAGGAATCATACTCAATGTTGCGAATGCCGAAGACAAAGAAGAACAGGAAGAAAGGGCCGAGCAGGAGGTCAAGAATGCCGTACCAGACCATCTCAGAAGTCGGAGAGATCACGTTCGCACCCTCAGAGCAAGCCCAAGCGATCGGGTAGAGGAGCGTAATGAGGACGACAAATCCAGAGCCTTGGATGTAGCCAGAGCGCATGCCATCGCCGGCGTTGGAGGTCGTATGAGGTCCGAAGCCAAGAATGGCGATCCTGAGACCAAGTAAACTTATGTGAACCCAGTAGTGATATTCGCACAAGCTTACCAAATGTAGACGAAAGCGACAAGGCCAAAGACATAGTAGCCCCACTTGTAGGACGAACGGACGAGAGCGCCGACAAGACCGCAGACGACGACGACCCAAGCCCAGAATGCGATGGTGAGGATGTCCGTAAGCGCAAGACCGGTAGCGGTGAGAATCAGGACCAGCAACAGCGGAAAGTTGATGAACCATTGGATGTACCGAACATACTATACGACGCGTTAGATAGCAGCAGGACCAGTAGGTCGAGCACTTACCCAGATCTGGCGCGTGCCAGTCGCGCGGAACTCAGTAGTGATCGGTGTTGCACCGAGGTCGGACGCCATGGAGAAATAGGCGATGGTAGAGACAGTGAGGACAATAAGAGCGATATTGTGGAAGAACCGGGTGCCCCGAGGACGCTGTGCTGTGTCAGCACTTTGCGAACGCGAACCAAGTGAGGTCGTACCATGTGTGACCAGACAAACATACCCATCATGGAGACCGTCATAATAGCGAAGACAGCCCAGAGCCAGTCAGAGCCATGGTTGGTGATGTGAATGTCCGCGTTCGGTGGGTTGACGTCCACAGAGCCCATGACTATAGGTCAGGTGTAGAGATTGTGCGGTAACAATGGGTGTAAGTAGTAGAACGAGAGACGACGGCGAAGAGCAGATGCGGGTCATCTTGGACGAATCTGGTTCAAATACCTGCGAGGCTGACGGGTAGCGTTATGTCGTCACTGGAAAAGGCTGCCCTTAAGCTTTGCATGACGGATGCGGTTGACATCGACATTAATGCCTGTGAGCGTTACCGTCACGGGTCACGCGAGTCGAGCAGGACGCGGTGCGCGCCCGCGGCAAGTCAACGAACAACCTCCAAGTCCTAGCAGGATGGGCATCAAAGGCCTCACCGCCATCATCGCAGAACACGCACCGAATGCTATCAAAGTACACCCAAACTTCAGACGTATCCTCCCTCGCAAAATGGCTAACTTCGCGCAGGAACATGAGATCAAGACCCTCTTCGGCCGCAAGGTCGCCATCGACGCGTCCATGTCCATATACCAGTTTCTCATCGCTGTCAGGCAAAAGGACGGAGAGCTCCTGACGAACGACGCGGGTGAGACGACCAGGTTCGTGCTAGACCTGGCGACGGCGCGTGTTGCTCAAAGAGCCCGATAGTCACCTCATGGGTTTTTTCTACCGCACGATACGAATGGTGGACAACGGAATCAAGCCGCTGTATGTATTTGACGGAAAACCCCCAGAGCTCAAGTCCGGAGTCGTACGTGTATTTGCGCCTGAGTGTAATGCGTTCTCACGAACTAGATACATAGCTGTCGAAACGTTTCGAGAGGAGAGAGGAAGCGAAGGAAGATGAGGAGGAAGCAAAGGAGACAGGTGCAAATTCCACGGAATTCATTTAGCGGCTTGCTGCTGAACACAGCGAATAGGTACGACGGAGGACGTGGACAGGTTCTCGAGACGGCAAGTCAAAGTCACACGAGAACAGAATGAGGAATGCCGAAGGCTCCTTACGCTGATGGGCGTCCCATGGGTAGTGGTGCGTCTAACCCCTGCTCTCCCATTATATCCTCTATTCAGCTTAGCATGGTCTTGAGGCACCGTCAGAAGCTGAAGCACAGTGTGCTGAGCTTGCGCGTGGCGGCAAGGTGCGCTTGGTAGACCATGTTGACGACCATCGCGACTCACGTCCTGCACGCCACAGGTCTATGCAGCTGGCTCAGAAGACATGGATACTCTCACCTTCAACTCCGCTATCCTCTTACGACATCTCACCTTCTCCGAGGCGCGCAAGGCTCCTATTAGCGAAATAAACCTCGAGAAGGTCCTTGAAGGCCTTGAAATGAGCATGTCACAAGTCGGTCATCCCATCGCTGCGCCATGCGCCATCCCACTAACATCATCATGCCAGTTCATTGACCTCTGTATTCTCCTTGGCTGCGACTACCTCGAGCCCATCAAGGGTGTCGGGCCCAAATCCGCGTTGAAACTCATCCGCGAATACGGCGGGCTTGCCGAAGTTGTCGAGCACCTCCGCGAGAAGTGTGTGACGTGATTTTTTCTTTCTCTGACTGCGTGGACTGAGCTATTTCTCATTCAGGCAAGCCGTGAAAGGGGAAGCGGCCGAGGACGGGAAGAAGAAGAAGGGTGGGATCTCGGTGCCGGACGAGTGGCCCTGGGAGGAGGCAAAGAAGCTATTCGAGAAGCCGGACGTCACGCCCGCGAGCGAGGTCGAGATCGAGTGGAAGGGGCCTGACGTCGAGGGCCTCGTCGACTTCCTCGTGAAGGAAAAGGGCTTCAAGTGCGTCCTCGTTTTCTTTGTGTGTTGGTGAGGATACTTTGAGCTGACATGCAGCTGTGCGGGATAGCGAGGACCGTGTGCGCAAAGGCGCGGAGAAGCTCACGAAGGGCGTCGCAGCGAAGCAGCAGGGCCGCCTCGACGGGTTCTTCAAAGCACCGGCGAAAGCAGAGAAGAAAGAGAAGAAGGATGAGGACAAGAAGCCGGCGAAGGGCAAGAGTAAGGGAGACGCCAAGGGGACGAAGCGCAAGGTCGGTTGCCTCTAATCTATTTCTATGATGCAGTTACTCATGCGCGGTGGGCCCTAGGGTGAGGACAAGGATACGGGGGGCAGCAAGAAGACGAAGACGAAGAAGTAGGGAGCCTCGCATTGCGGGAGGCGCTGCTTCAGAGTCATGGTTATGTCGCTGATATCTAACTTATTGAACTGGTATCTATACCACTATGGCGCTCAGCGTATATCTCCAGATCAAATCTACCAGCGGAAAGCAGCTCGCGTGTTTCAATAGTTCCCTCTGTAGCCTGGTACACTACGGTCCGGTCAGCACAAGTATGCTTCACGTCGGACACTATGTGTCTCCATTGAGCAAACACCCGGCTGGAGCGTATCGGAACCATCGAAGGTGTCGAGAGACCAACTGTCAGGGGTAGCTCATGCGGTGATATTTCAGGTTCTTGCCTGTGAAGACCGTCTCGGTTGACTTCTGGATTGTATTCAGACATCGATACCGACGTTTTCAGAAAGTATAAGGGTAGGGACAGTCTATGCTGTTCGAGCACAACCTGGAAAATCAAAATCGAGCAATAACACCAGTAAAACAAGACAAGATATGGTGCTATGGACACAAGCTGGGCGCCGGCATGAGCTAAAGGGGGATGGTGCCCTCAGGGGGTGTACAACAAGACCCGACAGCAATGGAGCCGTTTGTTCGCTGCCGAGACTCATACCAGCCGTCAACATAGTTTCAAGGACAAATTTTGCGCCACTTGAGAGACGCGGACTCTTATGGCCCATCTATCATATGCATACAATCAGCTAAGATTCGAATCACACATCGTGCAGTCTTTCAGTACGTTCTCACCTCATCTCACCCTTGAGGCCAGATTTCGACATTTTGACATTTGGAGGTGAGACGGCCGTAAGCCATTGACTACGATTGTGTTTTGGAAGTAGTACCACACAACACAGCCTAAAATAAATTAAACCACAAGCTTATCTTCTTCGGACTGGGCACGATGCCCCTCAACATTGATATGAATTACCTCAGCACCCTGCTCATCCTGCTCATCTTCTTTATCCTCCTGTGGCAATACCTGATTCAGCACCGCAGCGACAATACCTGCGACAAGGACTGGGGATGTTTATTGGTAAGTGCTCGACATCCAGCAGTCCAAAACTCTCACATGGCGTACTAAGTACGATCGTAAGTGAGTCAAAGAAGCCCTGCAAGGCGTTATTCGGGTGTTGCACACCGGCGAACAGGAATGTGAGGAAGCTAGGCACGAGCAGGTCCCCGATGCCGAACGACAGCGCGGCCGCGAGCACGAAGCGGTCCCGACGTGTGAAGTGGCAATACGAGAGGATACGGACGCCAGACACTACGACCGACGCAAAAAGGAACGTCGTCACGCCGCCTAGCACGGGATTTGGTACTGCAACACATGGTCAGTTGATGTCGAAAGGCCGGGCGGAACGGAAACGCACTCGCAAGGAAGACACCTGAGAGCTTACCCAGGATGCCGAACAAGATAAGGAATATGCAGCAGAAATATCCCGCGGTGCGGTTCGCACAGCGCGTGATCGCAATGACCCCGTTGTTCTGTGCGAATACCGAAAGCGGCGCGACGGTGAACAGCGCGGAGAGAAACCCGCCGACACCGTCACTCAACACCCCGCCCTGGATCCGCGTGTTAAATTCATCGCCATCGACGGCCAGCCGCGACACCTCGGCAGACGCAGTGATGTCGCCCATCGCCTCCATCGTAGTCGAGACATATACAGCTAGCATTGGTAGGATAGCCGGCGGGTACACGCGCAGCTTGAACCGGTGTACCCACAGGAACGTGATCGCCGGCGCGCTGGTAATCGAGCTCCCGTCGATGTATCCCACCGCGCCAGCGACGATACATCCCACAGCGAGGCCGACAATGATAGAGATGTTCTTCAGGAATGGCGAGCCAAACATCTCAGTGAGCACGATCGACATGAACGACAGGAAGCCGAGCCCGATGAGCTCGGGCGAGCCCCACGCTCGTGGGCGCGGAGCAGAGGTGTCCGGGCAGAGCGTGAAGGGGCCCGAAGTTGGCCTGCCCATGCAGTTAGAGCCGCCACCCCAGTCAGGGATACCCGACGAGCCGACGAGTGACGCCCCGATCAAGAGGATGACTGTGCCGGTAACTATCGGCGGAAAGATCCTCCTTAGTCTGTGCGGCGAGACGAAGGACAAGCCTATTTCGAGGAAAGAGCAGATCAGTGACGTGCCCAACAACTTGCCGTAGGCGTCTGGGCATGGTCCACGCGTGATGGTTCCATCTGCGGCGGTGGTCGAGGGACAGGTTCCGTTTGCATACATAGCATCGAATATCTGTTTGCTAGTCAGATGGTAAGTATACAGTGAAGATATAGCGTGCTTACCGCAGTCGCCGTGCTCAACGTTGCAAAGCTCGTACCCACGACACTGATCAACCCAGTGCCAAGATAGTAGTTCTTGAACAGATGTATCCTAGACAGCTGCACCATACTCAAGATCCCTGCAAAGGCAGGGTGGGTAACCGAACAACAGAGATAATATAAGACGAACTCACCACATCCAATGAGGGAAGCTGAGATCATATACGCCGACGTGTTCGCATCCAAACTCAACGAACTCGCAAAAATAATCGGTGGCGCGATGAGCCCTGCGAGCATTGCAAGCGCATGCTGCAGGCCGCACGCTAGCGCAAGGAGGAGCGGCAGATCCGAGTCCAGCGGATAGAACGGCGGCATTCTCTTACGCCTCTTTCGGCCGCCGATAGTGAACGGTAGCGTCGGCAGGCAAAGCCAGAAGTAGTCGTAGCCGCCGAAAAAGCCCTCCTTGGTGGTGAGCTTGTACGTGAGGCGGTCGATCCGCTTTCGCATCCCGCTCGCACGACTCCCTGCTTCACGTATGGACGGAGGCGGCACTAAGCCGGGCTGTTCCTTGGCAATACTAGAATGGAATATGGCTCCAGGCGAAGTGGCGTTCGAAGCGGAAAGTGCAGGTGCCTCTGGGGACAGATAGTCGGAGGCCATGATAAAGGACGGGGCCAACGGATGGAGTCATAGGGTGTCTTCCTCGCACTTATAAGGCCTGATAAAGAGACAGAAGTCCCAAACGACTCTGAACTTGTCTCGCGACTGTCGCCTCGAAGAGGGCGAGAGAAACGCGTTCCAGTGATGAAGCTAAGCTGAAGTTGGATGAAACGTTTGATCCCGAGCGACCTTGGAACCACCTCTGTCCCGCGTGGTATCACACTGCGAAACGAATAAACTTTGCCGCAATAACCTGAACGCTACACTTCGCGCGCACCACCACCACATCCCGGAGCGTGTTAGGGGTACCTCACCTCATGGCGTTTTCTTCTTCCCGCTTTACGCAAACTGCTTTGAACCGGTCCAAGACTTGCACAGCACCCTGACGGTGCCAGTAGCTTCCATGCTCTGACCGTCGAGTACAGCGGTGAGGCTGCCTCGCTCCATGTAGAGCGTGTCATTTGCCGTCTGCTCTTCGTTCTTTCGCGGCGAGCGTAGCTTCGGCATTATAAAGGACTGTATGAAGGCTGTAAGCTATTGAGTCTGGTGCACATACGAGGGCGTCTCTTGTACGGGCCAGGCGTTGCAGCCTGTTTCCTCTTGGTCATTCTAGGACCCCACCCTTCTTAGACAGCCTGCGCCGGCTGAAGTCCTCGCGGCGACTGCTCAGTCCTATCGCCATCCCAGTATGCCTTGTACTTCTTTTTCAAAGTCAATGTTTATGCCCCTGTCATGGTGGGCGGTAGAAAACATCACCTCCGTCTCCACTTCCACTGGAGGGCCTCCTGTTCACGAGCTGTACCTCCTGCGGCAGCAGTTTATGCATTCTTCTAGCCTCAATTTGAATCTCTACCGATTAAGGCCCGTGTGTGGGTTCCTGTGAGTCAAAATAGTGGATCGATCTTATCGTCGAGGCAACCATGCCTCGAGTAAAAAAGGGGAAGGCTGGATCAGGCGTAGGATGTATTTCAGAGTCATGATATGTCAAGGATATCCCTTACTCAGCAAATTATTGCAGAGCAGACGTTGACTCGTGGTGGGTGTGGACAAAGAGAGCCAGCTGTCGACGCTTTGTGGCGTCCACCCCGGGCGTCCCGGCTAATCTTCCACAAGTTCATTATGGACTATATTGTTCTCAATGGCACATCTAGTCTACTTAGTCAGATTATCGTTCTCTTTCGATACAAACACTAGTGCGACCATGCGAATGGTACATCATACAGCCTGAGGAAGATCGCTTCATTAATCATTCCCCGTCCGACTAAGCCGTGCGGCCGGTCGCCAGCAGATCTGGCGCTGCAGGACGCGTTCTGAGCATGAAGGAATCAAGCATCTACTTGTTAACTTACGAAGATGCCTGCGTGCAAAAGGATCACCAGAAACGTCGTCGCCATCGGCTGAGACTTGTTTGCGAGGTGTCAGCAACCAACAATCCAACTGGACTGGGCTATGACAAGGCTGAGGAGACAGACGAGAGGAATGGAGGTGAGTAAAGACCAGCTCGAGTCTGGCTTGTTATTGAGCAGTACGAACTCCTTATATACATGTCAGACTGAATATCTGGAATATCCTACAAATGTACGGAGGTGTATAGAAAGTGAAAGAATACTGTAGAATCTGGGAGAACCATCCGGAGTATGTAATATTCATGACATTACCCCCCCCTTTAGAATCATGTCCTCACAATTATTTACCAGTGGATCCAAAGCCTCCCGTTCCTCGCTGAGTTTCTGTTAAACTTGACACCTCCTCGATATCGCATGATGCAATGCGTTCTAAAATGACTTGTGCGATTCGATCACCGGTGTGTACCTGGAAAGGTTGATTGGTGGTATTGATCATCACCACGCGTACTTCTCCGGTGTAATCTTGGTCTACGACTCCAGTGCCAATATCTATCCCTTTGACTGCTAACCTGCTTTGTGGCGCGATCCATGCATAGGTTCTGTGAGGGGCATGCATTGCTATGCCGGTGCCAACAATCTTACAATTTCATGCCAGTATTTTTACACTTTCAGCCGAGTAGAGGTCGAGACCAGCGGCTTCGTCCGATCCTTGCTTCAGGAGGATTCCACCCATCCATTGTACTAAGAGAGTGGTATTGCGTGTGAGCATGTGAACAGGTCGTGTTAATAGAGGTGGAATTCTAATTGTCATAGGCGCGGGTTTGTCGGGACGTCTGGCATGGAATTCCTGAAGGAGTTCTTGACAATTAGTCAAGTTCACCCGTGATTCCCAGGAACGGCGATCACTGTGGGGGCTATTCTTCTAGAGAACCTGATACTCAAGGTTCCCATTTCAATCATGATGGGAGTCAAGAATTTCTTCGACTTCCCATTCTTCCTCGCCATTTACGAGGTCAGGGACTATCGGATTGTGTCGTTGAGAGGGATACGTTGGTTCTTTGAATGGACTTAGAAGACTTTCGTTGAAAACAGGGTGCTGTTTCCATTGACGGGGGAGTTTTAATTCATAGGCTGAAACGCCGACTTTGCGTTTGACTTTGAATGGCCCATACACCCTTTGGTGCATGTTTGATTAATCATGTGGCAGTAACTACTACAGTGTGCGATGTATTACTTACTAGTAACTGAGCTAGCAATCGAGTAGGGCCTGTAGAACCTCTCCGGCACCTCTCGGCATGCTATATATGGTGTTTCCATCAACTGGGATTGAAATATAGACCACATTTGGGAGATATGCCATAACATACCGCTTTGGGCGCTTGTTTTTGTTTTATGACATGGGAAGGTGGAGAACATATGTTTGAACATATTTGCTATACTAAACATATGTCAGAAACCAATATTGAGCCCACTATTCACAAAATACTCGCCGAGAGTCGAGTTTTTGCGGATATAGCGCGGACTTAAGCCCCATCAGCTCCATCAAGTGCCACCAAGCTGCTATCCGGCTATCTGGCTCCCTACATCAATTTCGCTTTTTGGGGCCATTCTTGGCTCAATTCCTCCCCTCCACTTTGTCCAATGAACTCCAAACCTTCTGACATATGTACCTGTACCTATGTAGAGTAGTTATGTGCAGTTTAGAGTGAATATAACTGCTGTATAATATACTATACTTTTGTTTCTATTAAAAATTGATTTCTTTAGGCCTGAAAGTAGCAGGTCACCCTTTGCGAAGCTCCTACAGCTCTTCTAATGTTATAAAATTATGATAGATGGCACTAGAATCTTTCCCAAGGGTGTGGGGAGCCTGAGGCATCCACAAACTCTCTGTAGAGCCTGCGAGGCTTGGCAAGTAAAATGACACATATCAGATGTTTTCATATGCTGGAAGGTGTCGCTTTTAGCCCAGGATAAGACAGCTATGGATTATTTTCGATCCCAGGCCTTGGAAGCCGTCCGATTAAGCGGATCTTAGTATTTTCTACAGGCGCCTATTCGCTGATCTCGTCGAAAACACCTCCTACTGGCTCAACCACTTAGAATCGGACGAGCGGACCGTTTCCAATCGATTCCCAGCCTATCAAAATGGGGGTATACAACTTTATAGGTCTAGGGAACATGTATTGGTGGAGCAGTGCATCAGTTAACCCCGGAGTGACACCTTGATGAAGTTCTGACCAGTTCAAAACCACCATCTGTGCACAGGTGTGTGCCTGGCTCCTACAGCATAGGTGGGAAGGAAATCACCACCTGGGAGGGTCAGAATATGTCTGAATACTATGTATGTAGCTGCATTTAGCTTATCTCTGCCTGTAGGCTTCTGTACATCTGCATATGTGGTGTTTTTAAGCCCTGTTTGCATACCCATGTTGTTGAGTGTAGGTTAGCCCCATCCCAGTGTGATAAGGCTCCACAGAGCTGCATATATTATTTACTAGTGCTAGGGCATCCGCACAATCATTTGTACCTAGCTACATTCATTACTAAAGGCTGAGAACAGTGTCCAAGCTATCATGAGTGCAATAAGAGTTCTGACCTCCTGCCTGCATCTCTGCATGTTATCCTGGCCTCTAAATTGCTTCCCCATGCTTGCATAACATGTATAGATATGTCTAGAGCCATCCGACTTTCTTCCAAGCTCTATACAAGGTACAGGACCATTTGTTTCTGGTGCCCTTTTTCACTTTAAAGCTTATTTATTACCTAATATAATGTATACACCACAGGAAGACATGAGGGTTAAGATATACACCACACAAGTATACTAAAACCTATTCTAACACTTGCCCTGACAATTCTATGAGGGGGGAAGGAAGGGGAACAGGTGTAATAGCTTGCAGAAGCTGGTTTCCCGCGCTCTGGCGCTTATTTCAAATCCGGGAGTGCTACCATATATATCCAAAAACTCGCCCGGCTCCTGGTGAGTTTTTGTGAATAACAGCCCAAATACTGCTTTGCTGAGCTGCTAACTAATGGAGAACT